AATCATGTTATTGACCACTCGTTATTAGTTCTGGCAGCCAACAGCTGATTATTTGGACTGTTATGTCTTTTAGGAATCCAGCTTTTACAATATTATGCACTTTGCAATGGAAATGAAATGGAGTTTAACATCCTACTGTTAAATTGCAATGGATTATAAATCCCTAATATGTCGATCCGAGACTTTATAAACAACAACCTTAATTTACTCTTATAGGCCTTAAGGCATTAACATCTTTTATCATTTCAGGGAATTATCTATCATGGTTTGAAGAACTACCGGGTTTCTTCCCACCCCCACCATCTGGTTACAGAATTATGGGAGTGCCAAGTACAGAAATGTGTGCCAAGAGTTGCTACAAGGTGGACAATGGCGGATGCGATATATTCTACTATAACTCAAAGCGATCTGAGTGCTGGACGTCCGCGTCTCTGTCACTTGATATAGTCGGTTATGCCGGTAGTCCAGTCGATCATTTAGGATTCAAAGCATTCTCTATAAAACGTAAGTGTTATGTGTAATGGGCTACTCAAAGGTCAAGTTTCAAAATGTCAAAAGCCAGCCGCATAAGAAACATGACTAGAAGTTGCTTTATCTGTGGCGGAGAGAGAGTTCAACCCAAAGATCAATTCGGGAAAAGGTGGAGCAAGGTAGCGAGAAAAGAAATTTTATTCAAGTCATTGCCGAAGATATTGGTGGTCTGCATCCTTCTAAAATACTAATTATATGTCGTGATCTTTTGCCATAATTCTAACTAGTATTACATTCTAAATTTGTTGTCCTTTCACTTGTAGATAAATTAAATTATTTCCTTAAAACGAACAGTACTCAAATGGTTGATGTAAATGGCACAATGGTGTCTGATATAACGGCCGAAGACTGTGCTGCCATCTGTAAACGAATGGGTTACCACTCTTGTCGGCGTTTTACAAGAACAATAACAGGACAGTGTCGATTCTCCAATCAGTTTACCGGACCAACTATATTCGATACGTCATCAACCCTTTTTACACGTATGTTCAATTTAATTATATTTGTTTCCGAGTTCACGAAAACGAAACATTGCCAGTAGTGATTCGATGAAGCTTAAAGGGGCATTATGGGAGATTAGGGCTGACAGTTCTTATTGTAATAGGTAAAAACTTGATAATGTAAAGTGAATTTGCTGAAGATTTCAGTCAAATTGATCTACTCTGAACCGAGAATTTAGCGATTGAATTCTGGGCCTAGCCTCGATCATCATTACTAAAGTCGGTACGATAAAAAAAATAGTCTCGATTATCCATTTTTGGATTAATATCATCATTGATTCAAATCCAGTAAATATCGCTGGCTAGCAATGACATCGAGAGTTGTTTATGGTCTAATTAATAATTTAGATAACATTTAGCTCTTGTATATAATGTATGTTTAAGTGGAAACGCTTCTGTTCGGCCAAAATGTTTCCCATAGCACACTGCATTGGGTATGCCCGTCGTCATTAGCCTAATTGGTGCGGTACACTTGGACGTTTAGACTGATTTTAAGTCGCTGTATAGTCCTACTAATACAAATGTGGCAAAACAAGAGACTTGGTGTACTTAACACATTATTATATGATAATATCCTGAAAATGTGTTTCAGTTAAAACTACCACTGCTGCAAAACAACAATCAACAGTTAACACGCCTTCAACTTTAATAAAACCATCCACAGCAAAACCGTTAACAACAACAGGTAGCCTTTCCGAACTATTTAACATTTGTCGTGTCTTGACATCCCACTGCTAATTGCAAGCTATTGTGCTTTGCCATTTGGTGTTTGCAATCCCCTTGTTCTGTTTCAGAGCATCATGGTCAACAATCAGTAAATATTCAAATCGTCAAATTATTTGGATATATATATATATAAATGTTATACCCCACTATGATTCCTGTCTCGTACTGTTCCTTTTCACTTTTCGTGTTTTATTTATTTATAACAGTATATTTATCGCCTTGCCGTATTTTATATTTTTTCTCAAGAGAACAAATTAACAACAACAACGTTTGGTATGGTTTTTTTATTTATGTATATTTTAATGCATTTATTTTTATTAACTTATTATTTACTCTACTGAGTACCGTGTTGAGTTTAATTTAGACCTACCATTTGACTTACTAAAATGTAATGCATAAATGAAAAGTGGCGCGGTATGGGGTCATCCGTTTACGACCAAGTCAGGGCAGAACAGTAGGGCGTTAAACCCCATTTCATTCCCTTTCATTCCATTTTATTTTTGCAGGTGTAGGCACTGTTGTTATAAATAATGGTAAGACTACAGATTGTCAAATAATCAAAGTGCAACCAATCGGTAAGCTTACCAAATATTCTATTAGACGGACGAAACAGTAAAATGTAAAATGTCCATGACGTGTTGTGGATTTTATTTCACCCATTAATCCTTAGTTGAAACAATGTTGACCCCATCTCCCTCTCTCCCGCGTTGTATAAAAATCGTGGCATTTGTATTTAAATGTTTGTTTTTAAATCTTAGAACGTTTGTCATTCTCTGTTCTAGATTCCGCTAAGGTACAGTTTAACCTGTATAAACAGGACACTGTCCTCCTGTCTAATGATGCCACTCGGGCTGAGAAAGTGGATGATTGCATGTTTTATTGTTTTGCTGAAACAACGTTCCAATGTGAAGCGATCAGCTTTTGTCCAGACAACGGAGACTGTCACTTTAGTTCGCATCACCCAGATCTGAATGCTACAATTTTAAAAAGTCAACCAGAATGTCAAGTATATGCACGTAAGTATGGTTGATGATGACAGCTCTTGTCAGTTTATTCGGTACGATTTTGGTTATTTAACATCAAGGGGTGGAACGTAGAAATGTGGTATCGTTAAAGGCACAACAAGAAAGATTATTCACATATTGTCATATAAGTCACCCAGATGGTTGACATATTGGCATCTAAGTCAAGCAGTTAAAGGCACAACAAAATATTAATAACCAGTTAAAGATAACTAGTTGATCTTTCTTGCTACATTAGTTCAAATATATAGGTAATGTGAAATGAATATATTGAAAATTTCATTCAAAACATTTTATTGTGTTTGAAATAAAATATGACAAAGATTGTTCATTATCATAACAACGGTACTGGTTATTCGGGACTTAGCCTCGTTTCGCCGATTTTAATTAAATCATTAAATGGCCACAGCTTTCTTATCTACTTAAAATCGGAGCCCTCCGATGGCCCAAAGAGTTGATTATGGGCTTGTCATGTTAATAAATGTTTCAATAATAATTTATATACCATCTGAAGTGAACATAAAAACATGCAATACCAGTTAAAGTCACAAGGCACAATATGACATTTTGTTCAAATATTGCACTACAAGTCATTGATATGGACATTTTTATATGAAAAAGTCCTAGGCTAGAAAAAGATACATAAAGATGATGGAGTGAAATCAACAGAAACAATATACATTTTAAATGACCATCTGACGTTAGGTCCAAAATGACTGTTCAAAAGACATTATCCTTGGTCTTCTTAAAAGGTTGTTGAGTGATCAAGTAGTCTAGATCACAAAGCATGGGTTAAACAGTGGGTAGGATAGCCCTAGTTCATCAAGTATGTCGTGGCATCAGTTAAACAGGAGGCTGGGTTGACCAGTAATCTCGATCAAAAGATATATCGTGGTATTGACCCTACACCAGCAAGTGCTTAGGTCTGCTTACCTACTTTCACTGCTAGCAAGGGGAATAACTCAAAAATGAAATACCAGAATGACCTAACTGGTGTTGAGTCGGTGGTGCAGGATTAGGGGCCTGGCAAAGATAGTGTCTTGTCGTCCGGATGTGGCGACATTCCGAGGTCCCGTGTAAACATTGGCGTGCACGTATAAGTAACCACGACAGTTGGAATTGGATATAAGAGTAAGCCATATTGCCGTGGTCCGGGCACAATGTCCCTCATAGCACACTGCATGATGACGCATGGCCGTCTTCATTGGATCAAGTTGGTGCAGGAAAGTAGGACGTTAAACCCCATTTCATCTAATGTCATTTTATTTCTCTTTATCCAGGAAGTTACGTGAGTGAATATATTCACAGTCCCGGAACAGAACAGCCTGGTACAGCAGATAAAGAAGACATTAATATACCTACAGCTGACATATGTGCTAAAACATGCTCAGAACGTGCTGAATTCACGTGCAGGTCCTTCGATTTTTGTCCGGATACAGGACAGTGTATGACGTGGAGATCACATGATCAACAGCATGCGAGTAACAGCAGTCAGTTAGATACGTCATGTAGTCATTATTCAAGTAAGTTGTTGTCAATATTTACATGAACCGGAAGTAGTGCTGGTTGAGTACAACCGGGTCAACAGTGAGCTTTTGAATAATCAAAATCAGCAAGAACATCCATAGCCGATATTAAATATTCCGATATTTGAAAAATGTTACTATATAATTTATTACAGATTACCAAATATTCACAAATATTTTGTTTCGTTTTATTTCTGTTACATGGTAACGAATCTGCCTTTTGTCGATAGACAAGTCCCTGTTTGTATTTCAAGTCGTTACTAAAGAAAATAGGTTCTTTTTACTCTTGACGGGGCATAATCCTATTTCGTTTCGTTTTTTATAGTTCAAAATTTCGTTTCATTTGTTTGTACTACACTGTGATCTAGAAGAGGTGTTCGATAACCTGCGTTCTGGATGGCGTGAGGGATTAGCCAATAAAACCATCTGTTACGGCGACTTCTTGGCGTACGATGCACGCAACTGTGGGTAAACCCCTAGAAATGTCAATGCCTGACGTTCTTCGTACGACCTCTGACGCGACCTTTTACTACAACCGGTCAGATCTTCATGTAGTGTAGGCCATTGAAAGTATAAAAAACAAAAAAAATATAGATGTGTATTTTTATCAGATAGTCAACGAGTAATGGGCTTGAGATATGAAACAAAGAGAGAAATCAGTGTAACTGTTTATCAATGTCTACTTTCAGGGAATCATCTGATAGATTTTAAAAAGAAAGCAAACCACAGTTTTACAGATGACGTCAAATATGAACTTCACTTTGGTTTATCACTCGCCCAATGTTCCCAGCAGTGCGTTGAGGAAGAGGAAGTGACGTGTAAAAGTTTTGTTATTTGTCCTGTGTTAAATCAGTGTCGTATATTGTCCGTTCATCCTATAACTAATAATGGTGCTCAAGTTATATCATCTCAAACATGTGATCTGTATACACGTGAGTTATATTGTTTTTGTTTTGTATTTATTAGTCTGTACTTTCCTTCTGTTTCCTTTTTCATTCGTATTTCCACTCGACACAAACTAGGTCATTTCTGAACTAACATATGGTTTAATAATTCGTTTGCGCGTAAGGGTTCTTTAGGCGTGGGAGGAAACCCGGGAACCCGGAGAAAACCCACGAGGTTGGACAGGCGACCCTAGTTCTTGTCACGCACAACCGGTGAATCGAAACCACTCCAGTTGACTCACTGACAGGCCTTATGATACAGTCCACACGTGCTAACCATTCAGCCATCCAATTCCCCTACATTTAAAGGAGGCAAGTCTCTAACTCAATATTATCCACCATCCTCGACATTTCAAACACGAAGTATTGGTCAGTTTAAATTAACATTGATGTTGTTATCGTACCATGAATAAATGGTCTTCTGATATCCAATATTTAAGAAAAAATGAAAATTTTAAACTTGTCACACGTATCGCGTGCCAGAATGCTTTCAAGGGCCATTTGTAATGAAGCGATAAACCACTCCAAAAATACCCCACAGGAGCATACTACCAGTGTAGACTGGAATAACCAGACGCCAAAGAATTTCATTCAATTTGAACTCTTCGCGTATTTCTCAATTAGAAATTACAGTAAAAGCAGAAACAATTGAATGTAAATCAGTTTATATACATTCATATTACATTATTATATGTGTTGCGACCGATTTGTGTCCATTTCTAGGTGCCAAAAAATACAGATTTAGCCACATTAAGGAACAATATTGGTGTCAGTTATTATCACATATTTGATAGAACTAGTTAAACACGTTCCAAATATAATTTTAACACAGAGATCACTACGATAGATGCGTTATGTACGATTTCAAGAAAGGGAAGTGACAACCTTGGTTCTTCCAAGGAAGTATTAGTGGGCAGAAATTCTCCCGTGTATCTGTTACCACTCGTCACATCACTCAATTATATAGAAGGGTAACTCGTGTTCTCTTTCTGCCTTAGTCAAAAGTGAGGCGGGTCTGCCAATTCATTTCTTGTATATTTTGTATTTCAGGGGAATATTATAGAAATGGTAATACGCCAACAAGTAAACCAGTAACAGTACGAACACCAGTCTGTCCAACTAGTCATCCAGTGGCAGTACAAACAACGCCTTGCCCAACAAGTAATGCAGTGATAGTACATTCACCATCTTGTCCAACGTCGTCTGGTACGACAGTTTTATCAGGTATGCGAATAATATAAAATTGACCGGAACAATCGTTCTAATTGAATTTACATATTCACATCCGCCGCAGTGGTCATTCGGCTGTAGAAAAAAACATAAATAATTCATTTCATTTCTTGTTAAAAACTAGCAACTCCGTAATAGAAATATTGTTATTCCACAGATTAGTGTCTTATCTATAAGGTAGGATCCTAAGTTTTTCGACTAGATTAAGGTGTCGTGTTTATAAGGTAGATAATTATTTCGACTCGATTAAGATGTCGTGTTTATAAGGAAGATAATTATATTTTCGACTATATATAGGTAACTAGTTTATAAGGTAGATAATTACTTCGACTAGATTAAGGTTTCTTGTGTATAAGGTAGATAATTATTTTGACTAGATAATGGTGTCATGTTTATAAGATAGTTATTTCTACTGGATTAGGGTGTCATGTGTGTAAAGTAGATAATTATTTCGTCTAAGGACGTATGGTTATAAGGTGTCTTGTGTATAAGGTATGAGCGAGGTAATTGTTTCGACCAGATAAAGGTGTGGAATCATAGTAGAAACGACTCTCTATAATACACTGTAATAGTATCAAATATAATAGTGTATTTTATACTTTTTAATGATGACCAAAATTACAAGAGTTTCCAACATATATTAATTATTATAATGTTCATGTTTCAGATCCACAGACAACTGATCCAACAGAAACAGATCCAGAACAAAATCCATCAACGTTAAATCTTACAGTTGGTAAATACGTTTATTCAAATTTCGGCGTGGTCACATAATGTCACCCAATCTGTTTCACAGAGGATTAAAAATTCTTCTAATAACTCTGTAAAAGATAACAGTCTTCAACACGTGACGTCTCATCACGCGGCGTCAATCATTGGCTCAATGGCTTGTGTATTGTTTATATAAAAAGTTACTGGTTCGGGCAGAATGGTGCCTTTTACTCAGTTTAATACCCATTTACACTAAATAAGATATAATTTTTAACTACAAATAAGTCAAAGGTGAATTTAATTTGTCATTAAGTCGCATCGCTGTCATCCTTATCAGTGATTGTCGCGGCCTAGCGAATATTCACTGCTGATCAGTATGGTCGTCACCCTGTTCGTCAACAATTGACTTGTGAACGTGATAGAGGCTAAAGTTTTCGTTCCCGAGTTATGCCCCTCTTTTCTAAAAAAAAAACCTTGTGAACGCAATAGAGGTTTTAGTTTTAGATGAATTCTTTTCAAATTTGGCGTGAAGCATTGTGGTCATGAGTGATATTCGGCGTTCTGCGCGTTTCAGTTCGAGAGTTATCCCCAATTTGCCGAAAACCATGTTGCGACTTTTATTCTAGCTAAAACATAGTATGTGTTATATTTTGATACAGGTACTGTAAGTGGTATATGTGTGAGTGTTTTTGTATCGGGCGTCCTGATTGGTGCAATAGCATGCTACATTATTCAAATTGTTAAAAAACGAAGATCGAATGACATGGAGATGAGACTACTTTCACCCAAATAAACATTTATAAATAGATCATGGACAGTTCTCATTCTGAAGTTATCATCTCATTACCTCCATCATTATTTATTAGATGTTAATAAACGTAGTACTTTATCAAACATCTTGGTTTATTGGTGTTTAAAGTCTACTTATCACAAGCTAGGTCGTTATTGGACCAACACATAAATGAACGATTTCAACGTTTTAAATCTTTAAACCTAAACTAAAAACACAGGCATTTGAAGGGGTTAAAATGAAACTTCTTACTACTGCTTGACTATAAGGGATTAAAATAAAACTTCAAGCAGTAGTAAGAAGTTTTATTTTAATCCCTTCAAGTGTCTGTGACTTAAAAATATGTTTTTTTAAAATGTCACAAATATTTCTAATTTTTATTTATTGATCTATGTGTATTTTTCGTTAGTGTGTTGACACCATTTAGCAGATTTTAGTTGATATTAGTGGCATTATAAATCATTATCATCATCATCATGCCGGCGACGCACACACCCTTCGTTGAAACTACAATGAGACGTTAAACCCCATTCGATTATTTATTAACGTGATTAGTTTTCCTTATTTATATCTTTACAATAATGTTGTGCTTGTTATGTGTATGTGGCACATATTATACGACTTATCTTCAAAATGAATGGGTTTACTTGAGGAGATGATTTATCTACAAGCTCGCTAACTAGCGTGGTTTCCCCTTATTAGCAGTGCAAAATAATCCCTGAAGGTTGGAATTTGATATTAAGAGTAGGTTGTAAGTAGTAGTTATTAGCACACTTTCCGAGGTGTATCGGTGAATATCAGGACAGTTTAGGTCGAGGGGCCCAGCCGAGGCGGAGCCGAGGCGGCTCCCGACCAAAACTGTCCTGATATTCACCGATACACCGAGGAAAGGTGCTAATAAGTTACTTACATCACATTTCTATCGAGTATTGTGAAGCAAAATGTGAAAAATAGTATTTATTATCGAGTCGTTTCAACCGAAAAGTGACAAATACTTTCTGTTTTTGCATTATTTATCCCTTTCTGAGCCTCGCGTTACATTTCATGGTAGAATGATTTCGCAGTGGAGAGACGACCTGAGTAGTATTTACACGTGCGTCTTGCTATGATACAATCACGTGTTTGTTTAGACCACATCGTCAAAACAATGTCTATGGCGTAGAGGACTGCGATATTATTAAATGTAGTGTAAAGGAAATGCGAAACGTGGGTCATTCCTGGTGAAAGTATGCATCGGCGGATGGTTCTTCCGTAGAAATTTATTTGTAATAAAGTTTATGACTTTCTAGGCGTTTTTTTTCATCCTGCTTATTTTCAATGCCTGTGAAGTTTTCCAGCAAGAGAACTGCGCCTTCTATCATCACAATTAATTAAAATAATTATTCAATATTCTAATTTATATATTTTGCATATTAATATAAATCAAACCAAATTATGAAATAGATGCCAATTGGTATGTATAATAATTGATTTTTGTAATATGTTGTTATGTTAATTTAATGTCATTGTATATGTTTTTGAACTGCCATGTAGTTCCCCCCATTTTGTTTTGTTACTATGATTTTGACTAGTTGTTTCATGTACATTGGTTAGAGCCTCGTTATCAATTGCGATCTGGGTCGGACTAAACGTCCGCTACTTATTGCTTGATAGATATCTAAAACGGTATAAAAGTATCCGTGTATCAGAAATGATCAGTACTCTTTCTGTACATTTCTGATACACGGATACTTTTAAGCATGTATTGCAATTAAACAGGACAGTTTTACCAAAGCTTGTCAGTGGCAACGAGTAGAAGTGGGATGTAATTACATTTACTATTACTCATTACTATTGCTATATTACTCAGAAGTTAACAATGCTTCAGCCACAATTAGGAATGTGGAAAAAATTTAGATCATAATTTAAAATCTATTCTGGTGCGGTGGGGATGGTGCTGCCTCAGGATGGTGTCGACCTGAAAATAGGCCAGATAAAGACCCATCGGAGTATGAAGGAGCCTTAGGAATCCGATGAACCCATGGAACGCACATTGAGCCCACTATCTGGGCCAGCCCACCGGCTCGATCTCAGTAATATTTTATTATATAACTGTCCTGTTCTCAACGAACTATTTTACCGCTAAGTGTATAAATTACTTGTAACCTATTGATGAAATCATTATGCAGCATTTAGTAATTGAATGTATAATATTAAAACACAATTTATATGGAAAACAATCACTGAGTTTATTTCACACTACTTACTTGAGAACGACAAGAGGAACTTGTTGAAACGTAGTGTGAAATAAACTAAGTGATTGTTTTCCATATAAATTGTGTTTTTATATAACCTATTGATGTACCTTGACCCACAATATTGAACATATTATTACCGAGAGGTTATAATGAGCTTAAGACTCTCCGGGGATTCTTAGGGGAGTAGGGATTATAAGTTAAAATCATGCGTGTAAATGCCCTGGTGAAAACACTAGCAAGGTTTTTTTTAAATTTGAATACGTGTTTTGTTAGCTCTTATTTTATTTGCCTCGTAATTTCAACTGGGGGGCTACCGGAATCAAGAAACTCAATTGAAGAGACGACCACAATCAATTATTGCGTCTTTCCTGTAGGTGAATCCATATGGCTGGTCCCCGGATCCATTCACATGATTTGATATTTTGTTTATTGCTTGCAATATCTTTTTTGCCTGCAGGTTTGTCTTTTCCGTTTTGTGTGTATGTAGTGTGGTCTTCCTGCACTTACTTGTAAACCTACGTGCTAGGAAAACTGATTTGTATATGTCTTGCTTCGCTAACCTGTGAATAAATATTGTTTCAATAAATAACAGGGACAAACACATCTGTCTGAAACGTTGACATCCTATCAAATGCTATTCCAGTTCCATGTGCTAACGTTTCTTTTCAGTCCCACTGGTGCTAGAGCTGGCACGGGGCTTTTGTTTTCAAATTGTTCTGTTGCCGTTAAAGTTGCTAATGTTGCTGCTGTTGTTCCTGGTGTCGCTGTTGTTGTTACTGTTGTTGCCGTTACTGTTGTTGCTGGTGTCGCTGTTGCTGTTGTTTATGTTGCTGCTGTTGCAGTTGCTGATGCCGCTGCTGTTGTTGTTGGTGCGGATGATGATGACCATGCGAACACAAAACATTCAAGTCGTGAGTCCGGTTTTCGAGGTCACCAGACCCCTAGTATCTATTACGTTTTACGTAAAGAAAAATGCAGGCAGTTGGAATCCGACGAAGGGGGGGAAGAAAAGCCGCTGTCCTGGAACACTGTATGGCGCATGCCTTTCTTCATTAGCCCGACTGGTGGAGAAAAGTATAACTTTAAAACCCCTTTTATTTCATTTTTTATTCAGACGAACTGTCTTATTATTGAATTTTGATGATAAACTATTGTTAACATGGAATCGAACACATATTATAGATGAAATAATTATAAGATAAAGTATTTAAGCAAATTGCCTAAGATTTTATTCAACTTTGATGATAAATTTTGATTAACGTCTCAATCGCTAAAGCGAATTGTCCCTGTATTCAACTTTGTTGATAAATTTTGGTTAAAGGGACAATAACACTCTTGCTGGCTTGACAGCTCCAGAAAATAAAAAATAGCCTTATTCAAAGTACTAGATGTGTTAGTGTCCTACCTGTTGTGTAAATTATCCATTAAATCCTTTCAAAAATATTTTTAAATCCAAGTCACATTTGAAAAGCTTTACCTCAGGCTTTTCAAATCATTTAGTTGACTTTTTCCAATTTTTTAAATTAGGTGTGTTAAGATGAAATTTGTATCATCAATTTATTGGAATATTGTAAAATAGTACAATTTGTTGACCAGAATAAAGATTGGGACATATTATTCAGTAACAACAAGAGTGGTATTGAGCCTTTTACCTCACAATCTCACACATCTAGACAAAATATTTATTCAACTTTGATGGGTTACGTCACAGTAGATGAAGTAGTGCGAAATGTCCCTTTATCGCAAAAATAGAGACAATTATAGATAAAAGTACTTAAGTGAATTATCCCTTTATTTAACTCTGACGATAACCTGAGTTAAAATCCCAATCACACCACACACATGTGTATTATTATAGATAAATTATTGCATTGGTGGAACAGCGACAAAATACTGTTCGACCGTTCCAGGTTTTGTGGGCATATCAGACGATAAACTGATTTAACATCTCGATCACACGACACAGACATGTGTATAATTATAGATAAATCATTGCATTGATTAAATACTGTTGGGCTATTGGAGGTTTTGTTGGAATCTCTGATCATTTAGTGGATCTTTAGTTTAGTTTTCAAATACCGAAAACACATTACATGCAACGTGAAGTGATCGAATCACTTTTGATCCTAAATTCTGAACTATAACAAATTTCTTCTAGCGAAAGCAAGACCGATGCCTTTATTGTGTGCTGTGTTATGTCGTGTTTTAATAAAACCAAATAATAAATATAAATTACGTCGTGTTCTGTTTAAACCAAATAACAATAATATAAATTGTGTTAATGGCATTTAGTAATTAAACTGTAAATATGCTGGGCATTATAATATAGAATACACTGGCTGTCTGTAACTGAGCGACGTTTCGACCGGAAGTTACTTGTGACCAAGTCTTTATGGAACGGCAATAAAGACCAGAGAATCCTTGTCAAAACGTCGTTCGTAGTCAAAATGTCGTTCGTAGTCAAAATGTCGTTCGTAGTCAAAATGTCATTCTTAGTCAAAATGTCGTTCGTAGTCAAAATATCATTCTTAGTCAACACGTCGCTCAGTAAAGAGTAATAGTAATTCCATAATATACAGGTTTTTATCTACGTATCGAGATCGCGTGTTGAAATCAATCAACTGTATCCTGAATAATACACATTTGTTTAATATTGTCGTAAATGTTTGAGTTCGTAGCCAGTAGCACCTCTTGCCCAATATCTCTGAAAGATGTAAACTCCGACAACTCCTAATATGGCGCCAAGTATAAGCATACCAAATGCCACGCCTACTATTGTTCCTGAAATAAAAAAAAACATTAACAAAATAGCTGATCTTGCACCGAATAAAGACTTTAAGTCAGACCCCAAAAGTTTGTGCCTGTCCATTTACTTTAAGAGAGAGGGCGAGAGAGAGAGAGAGAGAGAGAGGGGGGTGTTACTATAATTAACAGGACAGGAACCACAATTGTATTATTTAGTGGTCTGTATCCATAAGAAATGATAATGCGTTATACAAGCTATTTGTTATAAATCATGGTATGTAGATTACCTGTTTGGCTGGCCTTATTCTGTTGTTGGGGGCTTGTTGATGTTTCAGTCCGTTCTGTTGTTGGACTTGGAATTGTTGGGGCTGATGGTACTGGTGTGCCTGTTAATAGAAAGCACAAATGGTAAAAGCAAAAGAAAACTGAATTGCGTAGAAATACCTCGAGGTTCCCAGTTTGAAATTACTGAATATGACCATTTCTTCCCAGGAAATAACCGAACTGTTCTTACCTGTTTGAAATTACAGAATATGACCATTTCTTCCCTGGAAAGCCCCAAACTACAGAACTACTGACATATTTGATTTTCCAGAGCTTTAAACGTTACTGACCTCACTCGCCCCTCGGGATGCAGTTTGATACAATCGCCACCTACATTACATTCCAAAGCCCTAAACCTTACTACACAAATATCAATATTGGACCTTACAGACTCAAGTTCAATTCATTGGCCATCATTATTTGTCCGTATTGATCTTATGCGTTATCTGTTTGTGTAATGTATTTACTCTTGTATAATGTATTTATTAACAACCAAAACGGAAAAAATTGCTCGACCTTTATAAAATGTAAAAAATAATTATATTTTTTATGATTCTGCCAATATCCAAATTCAATTCGAAAATCCTAGATTTAAAAACATCAAATTTCGGTAAAAATCTACGTTACACAATACCAAAGTTCGAATTTTCTCATATGTTAAACATTGCATAAATATTTCTAAGATCCGCCCGCTGGTTGCAGTATTACAACCAGTAGGTCTAAATATTAAGGTTGTCTGCAGAATTCGTCAAAGTCACGAGATGTCAACAGGAGACCTAGCCCTAGCCCTTAAACTACCCCTAACACACAGCCCAATCAAGTGACCTAACCCTGTTTACATCTCGTGACTGTAACGAAATCTGTAGGTAGCCTTAATATTTAGACCTGACCACAAAACTATCTGACAGCAAACAGCCTCCAAATTGTTGGGCGTGGTTTTCTGACTTCTTTCAACATAATTAAAAGAAAAAGAACACGAAAAAAATTTAAAAAGGTAAATCCGCTGACAACGCTACTAAACATCACTATATCAACATTTTCTTCAAAATTTAAAGAGCCATTCCCGATAATATTTTGAAGAATAAAACTGCTTAATTTTGTGTTAAAGGCCCTTAAAATCGTCTACCTTAGGATCGAGCAACTAATTCAATATACGGGATATGTTTTCAAACAACTTAAACCCGTCAGTCTTCATCTGGAAATAGACATGGGTGTCCCAAGCTGTATTATACGGTGTCTGGATAAAACCAGGCTTTTATTTTATAAACATAATGTGTAGGTGAAATTTACCTTTCGTTATCAAGTACAGCAAATGGGTCATTCACTGAATAGACCTTTAAAGGAACGGGAATCGATTATCAGGTCACCCAACAAAAAAATTGACCCTAAATCTTAAAAAGATTTTGTGTCCGGATAAGCATTTTTGACGTTCACGTCCAAACGACTCAATATTTTGAGCTGCAATTTTAGACAAGTCAAATACGCACCATTCCTCTATATTATTATTTTGACACTTAAATTACACACGTCCTCGGACTTTTACTTTTGAGATTCTGTTCAAAACGGGATAGTCCCTTTAAATTATAGCAAATGTATTTATACAATCTACGTAATATACGTGATGAGGTTTGGTGTGCTAGGGTGCTAATAGATCGGATATCTAGTTTCTTATAAGTTAGTCTGACGATTATAGATAACACCGATCCTCCATGGACTAACACATAGCGGCTTTAGTTGTCTAACTTACCTCGACTGGAAGCTTCTGTTTTATGTGAAGTCGTTGATGCTGTGGCTTTTGTGGGTGCGCCTGTAACGAAAACAGTGATATAAAGAACACATTAGAGAGAGAGAGAGAGAGAGAGAGAGAGGGGGGAGATGGGGTGGGGACAGAGTATTGAGAGGATGCGAGCATGGTCCCAGGAATCCATATCAATGGGACTTTCAATCAAAGACTAGAATTAGAATTATCTTGTTTTAAATTTGAAATCATTGTTGTTAACTTTTGTTTACAAGCTATGTTCTATGCCCCAGCGTTGAGCTGGGGGGGGGGGGGGTATAATCAGTGTGTTGATCCCGGGCACCACCATCTGCAGGTGGCCTTGATATTTAGATCTATGCCCCACCGTTGAGCTGGGGGGGGGGTATAATCAGTGTGTTGATCCCGGGCACCACCATCTGCAGGTGGCCTTGACATTTAGATCTAATCTACGAGGCACGCCACTGGGTATTGTTACAGTACCTGTTATTATTGGTGTTGTTATTTTTTGGGTGGTTGTGTTGGTGTTCGTGGTATTGGTGGTGTTGTTGTTGATGGTGGTGGTGGTTATTTCTGTCGTGGAGAAGTCAGCATTATCTGTGGTGTTTGTCACTCCTCCCCCATTGTCGGCTGTCGTCATTTCTACTGTGGGTGCGTTAGTCTCTGACGTCACGCCCGACACGGTTGCGCTTTTAACCCACGCAACACAAACAATGAAGCAAAATATTCCAAAAACCTGAAAATAAAATTTAATAGTATTTTAGGATTAGTTACGGACTAAAACAATCTGGACATTGGCGAATTATCGGTTAATTTATATTTGACATGCTATTGTTTTAAAGCAAAATAAACTGTTTTGAGAACTGTATGGGTAGAGATAGACAAAGATAGTTAGACAACCCAATTCACAGAAGAGAGAGAAAGAGAGAGAGAGAGAGAGAGAGAGAGAGGGGGGGAGGGGGTAACGTCCACTCGACACAAGTTAAATCATTTCGGGAATAACATATGGGCCAATTTTATTTCAATAATTCACTTGCGAGTAGTTGTCTTTAGCAGTGGGAGGGGACCGGAAGGCCCGGAGAAAACCCACGAGGTTGGACAGGCGACCCTACTCCCTGTCGCCCAATTCACAGAATTCACAACTGACGAATAATTCGAGAAATTGTAAGTTCAGTTATTGTCATTGACCAATAAAACATTGATCCATAACGATTGCCATGGGGATAACCTGAGGCCTAGATAACGATTCAGATCACTTGACATTATACATACGTCGAGTAGTTTGATGAAAGGTCTTTTATTTTATGTTCTACTTTCGGTTTTACTTTAAAGATAATTCAGATATCGTTTATCCGTTGAAGAAAGGTTATACGTATGTACTAGTTATTTGGAGATTAATTCAATATTACAGTACGTCATCCTGCACACAGAGAACTTACTACTTTAGGATTAAATCTCTACCCTGAATATCTGTCATATTCTGTTCTTATCTTTCAGTCAATGTCTACAATCAGGCAATGTGTACAATGTCTGAAATATACCAGTCAATGTGTATATTGCCGGGTTAGGGTTAGGGTTAGGTTTTGGGCTAGGGTTAGGGTTACAAAGGCATTGTACACATTGCCTGATTGTAGACATTGACTGTAACATATACACACCTAGACTAATTAAACAGTTTCAATTTCATGAAATAGAAACGGAATAAATACTTTGCAATATTCTCGAAGTACACTTACACGAATTAGCTCCGGCTAACGTCCTTGAATTAGGAATTAAAATATTGGCCTGTTCTCAAACGGAGCTAGTTGTTGACATACAGATTATGTTTCAAACAATCTACATATTGAGAAATAACGTCAACTCGACACAACCAAATAAATTGAAATTGGGTTTAACGTCCTATTGTTCTGATTCTAATTATAATTCCTAATTCTAACTGTTAAGGGTTCTTTTACGTGCACGTCAACGATTAGGCGTTGTTCCTTGCCATTTGTTTTGGAAGCCACGCCGGAGAATTCAGCCATCACTGTAATCGAACCCAGGACCGCCTAATTAGGCGAACCAGGGGACCACTATATGGTACAGAGAGAGAGAGGCAGAGAGAGAGAGAGAGAGAGAGAGGAGTGGGAGGAAACCGGAGGACCCGGAGAAAACCACGAGTCACGAGGTTGGACAGGCGACCCTACTCCTTGTGACGTACAACCGAGAATCAAAGCCACGTCAGTTGACTCAATGACAAACCCTTTGATACAGCGCGCACCTGCTAACCATTCGGCCATCCAACCCCGCCTACATGGTACCAAAGTTATATTATTTTAGAAATAAACTATTTACCTTCATGATGTTATATACAAGTATTTTGTTGATAATGGATGATAATGGAGATGAATTGTTTCTACAGCATATGATAAGTAGTAATAGATTATATTTAGGACGGCCCTTGATAACTTATACATGTATTAACTATTTTTAAATATTGATAAAGCCCGTTCATGTCTAAACTAAACGAAATGAGTAAACAAACCACGTGATCATATTATTTACTTTCATGTTGATGCAAGTATTTATTTTTACATGGTTGCAACTATATCATTTTAGTCCCAAGGGCGGTTCAATGCGTATCAAGTGATCCTGGTCGCGGTGTTGATTAATTTTAAACATAGCCTACATTATGCAAGATCTAAATCTATCTATTGCAGGTCTTTCTTTGGGCCTGAAATGTTATATAAATTATTAATTAGACATTAATTCACTTATCCATACCATAATCAGCCTGTGATATTTACTGGATTTGAATCCGATTTACTGTTCAACACTCATAGATGATTTACACCATGTTCCTTATCGTGCCGACTTTAGTAATGATGATCGAGGCTAAGCCTAAAATTCAAACGCTAATATCTCGGTTGAGAGTCGGGCAATTTGACTGAACGATTCAGCATATTCCATTTACATTATCTAGTTTTTAACTATTATAGCGAGAACTGTCAGCTCTTTATCTAATCTTCCCTAATGCCCCTTTAAAAGCTTCTTAATGCCACCGAAAATTTAGTCAAGCTCTCTTGGGTTTATCTTTACTACGTGTACACTGTAATGGGGGAGCCACGGCGGCTAAGTGAGTAAGACGCTGGTTCGCTAACCTGGGGGTCCCGAAGTCGCTCCCGGTGTTGGCCGAGAAAGTCCATCGAGATTTTCCGGCGTGGTTGACTCTTGTCAGTTGTCTAGTCGTTAGGATGGCGTGCACGTAAAAGATCCCTTGGCAGTCGGAATTCGATATAAGAGTAGGCCACAGCGCCAATGTCCGGGTACTATTTCAGTCATAGCACAGTGTTTGGGGTATGACCGTCTTCATTACAACCCTTTTCATTTAATTTCATTTGTACACCCTAATAATGCTGCGCCGAGTAACATCACAAAGACGAAGAGTCTGGCAAGGATCAAGGTCTAGTCGCGCGGCTTGCTAGAGCATTCCAGGTCCCTTGTGCACGTTGACGTGTACGTAAAAAAGTAGGCTGATACGCACATGTCCAGACACTTCCTGACACGACTGTCACTATAGCACACTGCATAGCGTTAGCCCATCATCATGGGCCCATTACGGTACCGGTAGAGGGCGAGTTTTGGCAGCTTCATACTGTTTATTGAATGACTTGATAAACGAGACTATTCGTTACCGGTTGTAAGTTTTACCAAGCGGTACTTGGAACGCAGCGATAACTTGGCAGTTGCTCGCTGGAAAACGTTAGATCATAAGGTCTGTCATTATGTCAGGTGGTGTGGTTTCGTAGCCTGTGTAACTTCGTGGGTTTTCGCTAGGTCCTCCGGTTTGCTCCCACAGCTTGAGGCTCCCTACAAAGGGATTTTTGAAATAAACATATTTTAGTCAAAAAATGACCTACTTTGAGTCAATTGTCAATTGGACGTTGAACTAGAATAAAGGGCCCTATAATGAGAGAATTTTTGTCCACAGAGTGAAGCCACGGCCTACTCATATTTAAAATCCCAACTGCCAAGGTGTAGTTACATGACATGTACGCAACTACGAGACTTCAATTTTTTGTCCCACCCGAACGACTATACGCCAACGACGAGAGACTGTAATAAATTATCTGAAGATTCATTATCTCATATTCGTGGCAGTGTTAAAATAGCATACCCCCCCCCCCCCCCCCACACACACACACACACACACACACATCTATATTGTGACATGGGGTTTTACGTCCTACTCTTCTGCGCCAATCAAAGAGTGACGTTCCGACTGTCAAGGGCTACTTTATATGCAGGCCAACACGTGCATGGGAATCGGCTTTTTGTCCTTTCCAAACATCTCGTGGAACTTTCTCATTCAATCTCGTGATTAAACACGGGACCTCCTGACCACTGAGCCAACGCCCCACCGTGGCAATCTGTTTCACAGAGAATTACGAGTCCTCTAATATCTCTGTAAAAGATGACTGCCTTCAACACATGACGTCATATCACGCGGCGTCAATCATTGGCTGAATGGCGCGTGCATTGTTTATATAAGACGTTACTACTTCGGACAGAATGCTGCCTTTTAGTCATTTTAATACCCATTTACACTAAATAGGAAATAATTTTTACCTACAAATACGTCAAACGTCTTTATTTATTTTTCTAATACATCAAAAAAATGTTTTAGAATTTAATATGTCGGTGGAAAAAAAGTTAATATTTGAGACTCATTAAGTCGCATTGATGTCATCCTTATCAGTGAATGTAGTGCCCTAGCGATTATTCACTTCTGATCAGTGTCCCGCCGTGGCTCCCTGATACTATCGTCTGTCAATCGGAGATATGATTTTGACAGTTATCTACTAGATGTACAACAATATAGATTATTTCAATATTAAATTTATCTAAAGATGTGCCGTTCTATCTAATGGGGGTATCAGCCAGTAACAGTCAGTAAAATCAGTGATAAAATAATATATTATCAATTAGAAATTACTTATCAGTGCACTTTGATTCGTCGACAGCTCACTTGAGTGTATCGGGCTTTCATACAGGCCGGAAGACCAAGATGGACGACATCTTTTACCGCCTACCGAAGGTAATATTTTATTCATATATTTGTTTTATCTAAAAAAAACATTGAAAACAAATACTGCTTTTACAGTTGCTTGTCTAATGGGTGACAGAATAGTTAGCGTGTATGCGTTGTATCATAAGGTCTGTCATTGAGTCAGTTGGCGTGGTTTCGATTCAACGGTGGTACGTGACAAGAAGTAGGGCCGCCTATCAACCTTGTGGGTTTTATCCGGGTCCTCCGGTTTCCTCCAACTGCTAAAGCCCACTACGCGCAAGTGAATTATTGAAATTAAATATGAACCTTATGTTAGTCCTGAAATGACCTAGTTTGTGTAGAGAAGACGTTAAACTCTCTCTCTCTCTCTCTCTCTCTCTCTCTCTCTTTCTCTCCCCCTCTCAGAAAATATTATTGAAATGATTTAAGATGCGCGGATATGAGGGGATTTCATTTTGGAAAAAAATTGTCTAGGATGAATTATCTGAAAAAAATATGAATTTTACAAATTTATTTACAAGTCTAGTGAAAGAAGACGGATATATATGCACCATACAGTGTGCTATGAGGGGAAATTGTTCCACTCTGAACCGAGAATTTAGCGATTGAATTTTAGGCCTAGCCTCGATCAGCATTACTAAAGTCAGTACGATAAAAAAAAACAAAGTCCCGATTATCTATTTCATGATTTAATCATGAATGAAAGTTAAGCAGCAAATCGGATCCTATTCCAGTAAATATTGCAGGCTAGCCATGTCATCGAGGGTTGATTATGGTCCGGATAAGTTAATAAATGTCTAAATAATAGTTTTTATGACATTTCGGACCTAAAACAAGACTAGCTAGCAATAGGCAGATTTAGCTCTTGCAAATGTATGTTTAAAGGAAACGACTAAAAGTTTATATGTTGTATTTCTATCTATTTTCTAGTATTGTTGCTTTATTTGTAGGCTTTTATCTTGATAACATTGCTGGTTTCTGCCAAGGCAGCGTGGGAACCATGTTCTTCTACTCCAAACGCTACACCTAAACCAGGAGGTAAGGAGTCGAACTGTTCCATATTGATGATGCTATAACCATCTTTCACACTAAACATCTGCGTAATTCAAAAAAATAATAATAAAATATAAAATTTTAAGATAAAAATATACAAAACTTCTATATCCATGACGAAATTAAAATATATGTTTATTGTCATTTGTTATGGGCCCTGCTCTTCAGCTGTGCCATATACACATTGGTAGATTCAACAATTGGTAAACAAAAACTCGATAATGCACCCCGACCACTCCTGCCCCTCCACCCACACCACCGTCCCTTGACACCCGGGGCACGTACTTAATTGATGAAAGTGGCGTTATGGACGATTAGATAAAGAGCTGTCATTTCTTGCTATAATAGTTTAAAAAATAAATAATGCAAAGGGAATATGCCGCAAATGTCAGTCAAATTACCTCATTTTAATAACTCCGTAGCCTCGAATAGGATTGCCTGTCCAACCTCGTGGGTTTTCTCCCGGACCTACGGTTTTCTCACACTGCTAAAGACCACTACGCGGAAGCGAATTATTGAAAAACAAATTGAACCATAAGGTAATCCCGAAGTTTGTGTCGAGTGGACGTAAAACACCATTTCTCTCTATATATTTATATATATAACAAGAACGACCAGCTCTTATCTAAACCTTTCATAATGCATCTTTAATTTTAAATTATCATTTCCCTTCAGGAACGACAGTATCTTTATGGGTTTTTTTCTTTTTACAGACCCTAAATTACCGTCGTTACCGCCATCGTTCCAGACAAGAATAGAGGCTAATATTTTAGATATGAATTACAGTATATCAGCAGTGGAATATGTTGATGATGAAAATAACCGAGCTGCGTTACGGATGTGGAGAAACGGAATAGAATCCGATGTCTACTTCGATTATGACAACAATCAACTCTTCTCCGTCGTTGGTAACTGTTTAATAATTTATTATTAAAAACCTGGCCACGAGTTCACAAAACACTCTTAGATTTAAGTTAAGAATTTACTCAACTCAATCGTTGTTGATTATGACAACAATCAAATTAAAAACCTGGAGCCTGTTTCACGAAATTTTAACTAAGATAAAATACAAATTTTAGTAGTTTGATTGGATAATATTAGATTGATTTTAGTGTTTAGCCAATCAAAATTTAAGTATCTACTAAAATTTGGATTTTATCTTTACTTAAGATTTCGGGAAACAGGGCCCTGGTCACGAGTTCACAAAGCATTCTCAGATTTAAGTTAAGAATTTATTCAAAATTGTTTGCCTTATTTTAACTAAAACATGGCCCTTTATAAAACTGTTTGCCTTATTTTAACTATAATATAGACGTTTCAAGTAAAATGACGTCACAATCCTTGAATAACTCGTTTATCGCCTAATATTTATAGAGAATACATGTACTGTTAGTAATTTAACGGGTGATGCAAACACAGTAATATTTGGTGGAGGAGGTGCTGCTGGTGGAATACCCCACGTCTACTCTACAGCTGGGGTTTTACATTTCGCTAAGGAACTTGGAGAGGTTATGTACTAATCTTATACTTATATATTTAGGATTATTTTAGTAAATTAGTATTCGAAATATATTTAGGGTTATTTTAGTAAATTTGTATTAAAAATATATTTAAGGTTATTTTAGTAAATTAGTATTCTAAATATATTTAGAGTTATTTTAGTAAATTAGTATTAAAAATATATTTAGGGTTATTTTAGTAAATTAGTATTCGAAATATATTTAGGGTTATTTTTAGTAAATTAGTATTCGAAATATATTTAGGGTTATTTTAGTAAATTAGTATTAGACCCCGTACTAACATATTAGGGTTATTTTAGTAAATTAGTATTAGGCCCTATACTAATGTATTTAGATCTATGTTGTAGGTGTATTTCAATATATACAGTTCCCTTAGATAGTATAAGTATGCTATATGGATTAGTGTTCTATTTATAGACGTATATGGGATCAGGAACTCTCGTGAGGGGTTTAAAGGCCAACCACTGGCAGACCTGTATGTATTGGCCTGTTGTACGTGCCAACTTCACATTAGATTATTATTTTTCTGGTGAGTACAGTTATTACAGTGGTCTACAATTTGATTAAAACACAGATCCTGTTTCGTTGTTTCTTTTTTATAGTTCATAATTTCGTTTTACTTGTCTTTACTACACTAGGATCGGGAAGAGTTGTTATATGACAGGCGCTCTAGTTGATGTGAGGAATTAGCCAATGAAACGGTCTGTTACCGCGACTTCTTAGCGTGCTTTGCACGGAACTGTGGGTAAACCCCTTGAGACGTCAACGCTGATTGATTAATCAATGTCTGACGTCATATGGTCAAAAGCCGCTCTTATGATCCCTGACGCGACTCCCCCAGTACAACTGGTCAGATCTTCGTGTAGTGTAGGCCATCGAAAGTATAAAAAAACGAAACGAAATATAGATCTGTATATGAATCAGATTGTGGTGGTTTCATTTAAGAAGTCAAACTTGCGGGATGAATAGATCAAAATCACGTGTTGAATTTGGTTGAACTGGAGTCTTGTTGGGCTTTGTAGAGTTAAATTGTAAATGGTTGGTTGGGGAGGATGAACAGAAGCTGTTTATTAAATCTAGTTTGGTTTCTGGTCTCAACTGTCAATTATTAGACATGTCATCCTGTCTATCTTATACAGGGAACCGCGGTAGCTTCGTGAGTAACGTGTTGGCTCATTAAAAGGTGGGTTCGGGGGTTTGATCCGGTATTCGTTGTGAAAGTTCCCCTTGGGATCATCAGCTCGTTATTGCTGCAGGACGAGAGCCTGTCACAAATAGCGTCATGTCGTTCGGGTGGGGCGAAAAACTGAGGTCCCGTGTACACATAATCGTGCACATAAAAGAATCTTTGCCAGTTGGATTTCGATGTAGAGTAGGCGAAAACTCTTTATTGCACGTTAAAACCCATTTAATTGCATGGAGTAAGCATCATTTTAACCAAGGTCACTTCCGGTGGACATTGGGCCTAAATTGGATATGGCTGCTACAATTCAATTAATAACAGCTGAAATGAAATGAAATGGGGTTTAATGCCCTACTGTTCTGGGCCCTGTTTCACAAAAACTTAAATCTCCTTAAATCGTCTTAAACTCAAATCCCATCCTAACTTGAGATATATGTGTTTCACAAAACCATTTTAAGCATTTTAGATAAAATCCATTAAAATAATATTGTAAGTTAAAATTGTATCTTAACTTAAAATAGTCGCGTTTCACAAAACTATTTAGGGACAATTTTAACTAAAATCAATTTTAACTTAGGATAACCGTCACCCTCTCCTAACTTAAAATCACGACATTAACAAACATTGATTAGAGTTACGTTGTGAGATCTATTGCGACATATAGATATATTTGGAATAATGATAATATTACCAATGGCCCGGGTTATATAATTTAAACATACTATCATTCACAAAAATAATTTTCATTCAATATATTTTCATTGCATGGGAAATATAGCTGCGGCCCACCCTTTTATTTTATTGTGAGACAATATAAGATATTAGATGACGCCCCAAAGTAAAACCCCAAGAACATAAAAAAACTCAAAACCCCAGTAACAAAACTTTTTTTACTATTTTATATATTACCATAATTCAAGTATAAATTATACTATTGTCAAATAATTAATAGACCAAAAAAAAACCTAAAAAAATCTAAACCCACTTCATATCTAATTTTTAAAAAAAATATCTTTGTGGGCCTACAATTGTTTAAAATGAGAGAGAGAGACAGAGAGACAGAGAGAGAGGGAGAGAGAGATGGGTTTAATGTCCAATAGACACAAACTAGGTCATTTCGGCACTAACACATGGTTCAATTTTATTTGAATAATTCGCTTGTCCGTAGGGGTCTTTAGTAGTGGGAGGAAACCGGAGAACCCGGAGAAAACCCACGAGGTTGGACGGGCGATCCTACTCCCTGCCACGTACATCCGGGGAATCGAAACCCCGTCAGTCCTATAATACTATATACGCCATATGCAAAGTATTTATGGTTTTGGGGTTTATGATGATTTATATAGGAGCCAGGGGTATTTTATATTGGAAAAAAAATCATTTTAATTTAGTAAGATAGATAGGCATTATCCAATAAGGAGTGTGGCATTTTGGCATTTTCAAATTATTTTTGAAAGGGCCCATGGGACTGTCATTTCAAATATACGCATCGGAACATTGGTTATTTCGTGTATTAGTTTAAAAGTTATTAAAAATACTTTTAATAATCGACAATACTTTAGTCTAGATTAGTCGTTTGAGTCAGAAATATCACATGTTTGTGACAATTTCGGTTATCCAAAATACCATAAAACTACGAAATTCAAGCGATTTAGTTTATCGATACGCATTATTTCCATTGAAGCTTGCGAGTAAATCAAATGCCAAGGTCACTAAAGCGACATGCAAGTTCAAGGTCAACCAACTGATACATTTCAAAACGAATAACACGCAATAAACTTATTTATTTCATCTCTGTACGACTGACTGACCATGTGTAGACATTGTTACAACGTATGAAACCCAATGTTAACTGAAATCTATTAAAATTGCATATTAAGTTACAATCGATCTTCGTAAAATGCATAAAATTTAAAATTTCAGTTTGATTTTAGTTAAAATCTATTTTAGTGATTTTAGTTTAAGTTTTTGTGAAACATGGCCCTGCTCCTACTGGGCTAATGAAGACGCTGAGTGCTGTGAAGGACATTGTGCCCGGGCAGCGGCACTACGGCCTAATCTTATATTCAATTCCACCTGCCAAGGTTCTGTTACGTGCACGTGAATGTGTACCCGGCACCTCGATTTTCCCTCCAATCTGAACGACCATACGTTGCCCCTTGCGAGGTAATAATAGCTGAAATGAAATGAAATGGGGTTTAACTTCCTACTGTTCTGCTCCGACGGGCATACTTAATACAGAGTGCTACGAGCGAAATTTTGCCTGGGCAGCGGCACTATGGCTTACTCTTATATCTAATCCCAACTACCAAGGGATGGTTTATGTGCATACACGGGACCTCGGTTTTCCGTCCCATCCAAATGACTAGACAGCTGTCCTTGTCAGGCCCGCCATCCAGCACTACTGACAAGGGGAAACCACGCCGAAAAATCGGGATGAACTTTCTCGGCTAATGCAGGGATCGAACACGCGCTCTCCAGACTAGCGAGCCAGCGTCTTATCCACTTAGTCATAATAATAGCTGAATCAACCAACTAATTATTTTGTATTGAATAGTACCTGGCTGGAATAATTCGGCGGGAGCTCCTAGTGTACCACTGCGAGCTGAGGTGACTGGTATATACACTATAATAAATGATGTAACGCAACAATTCCATCATATATATGATTATATAGATTTTAGAACCTCACCTCCAGATGATCCCAGCGTGTACGAGGTAAGTTCTTAGAGGCATTAGTTGAATGAATTTTAAAGGGGCATTATGTGAGATTAGATAAAGAGCTGAAGGTTCTCGCTATAATAGTTAAACATGCATTATGCAAGAGCAAAATCTGCTTATTACAAGTCTTTCTTTAGGCCTGAAATGTTATCTAAATTATCAATTAGACATTAATTAACTTATCCAGACCATAATAAACTCTCGATGTCAAGGCTAGCCTTCGATGTTGGCTGGATTAGATTCCTATATGCCGCTAACGGCTATTGATAATTAAATCAATAAAAGTGGATAATCGAGACTATGCTGTTTATATCAATGATTTCAGTAATGATGGCTGAGACTATGCAAAAATTTCACCCGCTTCTTTCTCGGCTCATAGTGGATCAATTTGACTGAAATTTTCAGCAAATTACCTTTACATTATCTAGTTTTTAACTATTATAGCGAGAACTGCCATCTCTTTATCTTATCTCCCATAATGTATTTTTAACACATAAATAACGTAAAGAGAATACGCTGAAAATTTCAGTTCAATTTGCTTCTCTCTGACTCGAAATATCAGCAAATGAATTTTAGGCCTAGCCTCGATCATCATTACTAAAGTCGATAGATTATCCATTTTGACGTTAAATCATTCATCACACATTCAAATCCAGTAAGTATCGCAGGCTAGCGATAGCATCGAGAGTTTATTATGATTGGGATAAGTTAATTAATGTCTAATTAATAATTTAGATAACATTTCAGGCCGAAAGAAAGACTTGCTCTTGCATAATGTATGTTTAAACAACATTAACTCATTAAAAGGCGTAGACCGGATGGGTGGGTTGGGGTAACGAGCTACAATTCAACTGAAAAGGTACAACAACTAAACTATATAATAATAAGAAGGCTATTTACTGAAGTTCTGATCGCCGTTTTCACCTGAAAATAAATTTAATGTTATGACATGTTACTTACTCTAACAGTGAGAATATTTAGAGATGTATTTTGGATGTTTTTTTAAGACTTGGTCACGTTTACAGCCAACATTTAAATGGCGGTTGTTAATTCTACTCACTAGAATAACGTGCTTAGTAATACTTGCATATTTTTGATTGGCTAGAGAATGGTAAAATGTAATTAGAATATAGGTCATAAATTCAACCAAATCGTCATATGGTAACACAGTGAGGGGGAAATGGGGTATAACGTCCACTCGACACAAACCAGGTCATTTCGGGACTAACATATGGTTCAATTTTATTCCAATAATTCGCTTGCGCGTAAGTGTCTTTAGCAGTAGGGGGGGGGGGAATCGGGGGACGCGGGGAAACCCCACAAGGTTGGACAGGCGACCATACTCGTTGTCACGTACAACCCTGGAATCGAAACCACGCCAGTGGGTTCAATGACAGACCTTATGATACATCGCGCACGTGCTAACCATTCGACCATCCAACCTCACCCATGACAACGGCGTTGACGTGACCTAGAATCATTATGTAAACAAACACAACACAGCTGTGTTATAGATTCAGTGTCCACTACTAAACATCGTATTTTTTATTCTATAGACACCGGCAGGAATATCATGTCCAGGAAGAAAGAAAGTTCGAGACATGCCTAAATTAAAATCTAAATATTATTATCGTGAAGAGATTATTTCCCCTGGAGGACAACAAATTCAACAAGCAGACGTGAGTTTAAATTTCTCAAAAAATGTATTATTTTTCGCGTTTTCCTCAACTCCTCCTCCTCCTTCTTTCAAAACAAAAACTTTATTCTTCATCCGCCTCCTCAAAAACTGCCAGTCTTCATTAGACAGGCTGAAGTTAGTACAGAAACCTTTATTCATTTCTCACAAACTTAGAATAACTAATAGGTTTGATCCAAATCGTCAAAATTCCACCGACGATTGTTCCAGATATGCTCAGTTGCAGTCAGGTCAGGCCTCGGTTTCACAAAGCATCCTCACTCAGACTTAAGTTAAGAATATACTTAACTTTTAAATAGCTTTGATCCAGAAACACAAAACCTTGCATATGGTTTCTTATTGATGTATTTGATACATTAAAACAACAAAAGTTTATAAAGGGCTATATTTTAGTTAAAAAAAGGAGATAGATTTTGAGTAAATTCTTAACTTAGTCTGAGATTGCTATGTGAACTCGGGGGCCAGGGCTTCGGGCTGACCAAGGTAGTAGCAACGACCATCGACACCCATACGTCATACAGTTCGCTATGAGGGAAATTTGGCCCGGGCAGTAATGCTATGACTTACTCTTACTTCGATTTCCAACTGTTTTTAGTCCTATCCGTCCGACTAGACACTTATCCTGCGCTGTAAAATATCTATAACTAGTTTTGGTTAATTTTAGGTCTGGTATGATTTTGATTGGCAGTTATTACGATATGATTCCAGACCCTTGGATATTTCCCCGCCATACAATAGTCTGAACCCTTATACAGAGATACATGATTACAATACGGGTAAGTCTACAAACACAGAAGCACATGATTACAATATGGGTAAGGAAAATACATGATTACACAATGAGTAAGGGAAATAAATGATTACAATACGGATAAAGGAAATACATTATTACGTTACGGGTAAGAGAAATGCACGATTACGTTAAGGGTAAGGGAAATACATGTTTACAATACTGGTAAACACATGATTACGTTACGGGTAAGGGAAATACACGATTACAATATGGGTAAGGGAAATACATGTTTACAATACTGGTAAACACATGATTACGTTACGGGTAAGGGAAATACACGATTACAATATGGGTAAGGAACATACATGATTGCAATACTGGTGACTCTAATAGTGGGGTTGGATGGCCCAATGGTTAGCTCGTGCTCGCTGTATCATAAGGCCTGTCATTGAGTCAACTGGCGTGGTTTCGAATCCCCGGTTATACGTGACAAGGAGTAGGGCCGTCTGCCCAATCCGTGGGTTTTCTCCGGGTCCTCCGGTTTCCTCCCACTGCTAAAGATCCCTGCGCGCAAGCAAATTATTGAAATCAAATTAAACCATATGTTAGTCCCGAAATGACCTAGTTTGTGTCGAGTGGACGTTAAACCCCTTTTCTTTCTCTCTCTCGATGACTCTAATGGTAATTACAAGAATACCAAACATAAACAAACCTGCGAACTAGACCCACAACAAACACATAAACCCCAAGTAATGAATAATAAACCTATATATCAAAATCAAGTTAATGAATCAGGAGAACAGTCCTAGGCGTCCACTGCATAAGAGTCCCCGCCCTGCATAATCGCACACAATGACTTATGATGAAATGAATTTCAAAATCTGGTTCTAGCATTGGTCAAATTATCCCTTTTTCCCTGATATTTTGAAATTGAACTACACTATAGATATAGCATTTTTTTTAAAAAAAGAAACTGTTGGGTTTTTTAGGTGTTGCCTATGCCATGGATAAATTGATAAAGAATTGTACGATCATGCCGATAGAAAATGGAACATGGGATTCTGCTTACAACAGTTCCAGACAATTTCTGCATATGAGGAGTCCTGGTTCACTGTTTTTCCTGGACGATTCGTATGCTTATTCCGGACAGGTAATGTTAGGTTTCCACTGTTGTACGGCGCGTTGTGATAGGATTGTTTCTATTGAGTCCATGATCTGGTACGTGCAGATACGTTCGAATACGTTTCGATACTATCAACACGATTGCTATGTTATAATCCCCCTCGCAAAACAAGTAAATTCACCTGATTCAAGCATATGGACACTTCAAATGGATTTTATCCGTGGATATCGGGTGGTCGAATTGGTTAACGCATGTGCATAGACCTTCTGTTAAACGTTAAATAGTTCACATTCGATAAAGGGTTGCAAAATACCCCTCGAAGCGTATGCCCGTCAGCAATTTTTTGTTTCTAGATATTCTAATGATCTAATATGTCTTCAATCAAACATGGGCAGTTGAATTAATACAATCTGATTAAAACATAGTTCCTATTTCGTTTCGTTTTTCATAGTTCAAACTACACTAGGATCTAAATGAGTTGTTATATAACCCACGTTCTGGATGATGTGAGGGATTGTCCAATGAAACGGTCTGTTACGGCGAGTTTTTGGCTAGAGGTGTACGGAACTATGGGTAAACCACTAGAAACCTCAACGCTAATTGATTAATCAATGGCTGATGTCATAAGGTCAAAAACTGCTCGTATGACACCTGACGCGACCTCCCACTACAACTGGTCAGATCTTCATGTGGGCCATCGAAAGTATAAAAACAAATGAAATGAAATATAGATCTGTATTTTAATCATATTGTAATATACTCTTCAAAACAAAAAGTAAGGGATATTCCGAAACAATACAAAACTGCGCTAATGCACTGCTGTTTTTATTAGAGGTAACCAGTGTATGTTAATAACCGGTCAATTGCCTACACATGAACATAAACAGTTCATATGTGCGGCTTATCTGACGGTCCCATTTCACTCGTAATGGACGTGTTTGATTTTTGTCTTAATAATGAGTAATTGCTCCACCAATTCTCAGACATTCAGCAATTCGTCGTGGCATGCTCCTAATCCACCGTCCAATCACGATTTGGGGCAATCTGACCCACTCCTCTTTCAGTGCCACGGCCAATTCTTGCAGTGTTGTCGGTTGGCGTTGACGTCTCACGATCAAATGAAACGTAACACACTAAAGCAAAGGTACGCTAAATCTTATGCAAGAACCGATAGGAAAGCAAACATGGATAGATAAACCAGCACACGGCAGTTTTCATCAACCCTTTCTTGAAGTGTCAAATTTGACAATGAACTCCTCCCACGTGTATGGCGCTATTGCGTGTCGCATGTGCAGCTCAGTGGTTCTGTTGGGGCGATAAGTTCTTCAGCTGTGAACATACTCTCAAAGCATGTCAAGTGTCCATGACTATTTATCATATCACAACCTGCATAGGTATTTGCATTTCAATATCCCATACTTTTTTGAAGAGTATATATCTGACCATATATTTTTAATTAGTGCTGTTATTGAATATGACGAGTGTCGTTAATGAATATGATTTAATATTCTTGTAGAGAAAAGCACGTGGTATAGATTGTGACGTATATACTTCAACAAGAGCAGATTTTAGCGACGGATTAAACGTATTCGAGATGTACTTCCTGAGGGTATGTAACATCTATATGTTTGTTATTGTAGGAGCGGAACAATTGGACGTTAAACCACATTTCATTTCAATTGTTTGTTTGTATAAGGTTGGCTGCTACACAAGGGCTGAAATTAAAGCAAAGCTCGAGGCGGGCGAGGGGCATATGCCTGGTGCAGTCGAAACACCACTTCCGGTTTCGGAGTTATATTACTTCCAGTTCAAGGCCCTTCCGGTGCACCGCTAGTATTTATACGAAATTATCGCAAATTTTAGCCAGGTTGTCATTATGCATTGGACTCTTGGCTAGAATAACCAGTCTTGACGTTGTCGTGTTATTGCTCTTGACTTGAATATCCAGTCGCGATAGCCGTATAATTAATGCACTTAACTCACGGCCAGTACGGCCGGTCGTGATAATCAAATAGTTAGTACACTCAACTCTCAACCAGGAAGGTGGTATGTGATAGTCGGATGGTTAGTACACTTGGCTCACGACCGTTATAGTCGAATACTTAGTACATTTCACTCACGACCAGTAAGACCGATCGTGATAGTCGTATAGTTAGTGCACTGTTATTGTAAGGTCGGTCGTGATAGTCGAATAGTTAGTACACTTCACCCACAACCAGTAATATCGGACGTGATAGTCGTATAGTTAGTACACTGGTTAGTAATGCCTGTCGTGATAGTCATATAGTTAGCACACTAGCTAGTAAGACTGGTCGTGTTAGTCGAATAGTTAGCACACTGGCTAATAAGTCTGGTCGTGATAGTTGCGTGGCTAGAACAAGAGAAATTTGAGGGAAGGTAGCTGCTGTTTAATTATGAAGTTGGAATGATAAACGCGACTACCACTTTGTTGACTATGGCAAGCAAATAGTATACATATTTTCCAGACTTTATTGCAGCATGGAGTGGGGGAAATTATGACATTCTCAACATCTAAGTACTTGATAAGGTCAACTGCAAGTTTGGTCAAAGGTCACGAGATGTAAACAGGGCTATCCCTAACCCTAGACCTAGCTCTAATGCTTTTCCCAACCCTAACCTACAATCTCGCCAACAATCACATGCCCTGACCCTATTTACATCTCAGCGACCTTGACGAAAACTGAGCTGGCTTGTATAACAAATAGATTTATCACTTAAGTACCGTGTCGACGATGAGTCCAATCCGATTCCATTCAAATTACGAACCTTCACTTAAATGTATATTTAAATGACTTCATTTTTAACAGGAAGACTGGTCCGCCATGGATAATATTGGTTTAGACACGGACACTCCAGACATTCCTATACGATTAACAATAACGGGACCAGGAGATGTAAGTAACAGATTATTTACAATATAAAATCATTTTTTAAAAATACTTACAGTAACACGGTGGTGATCTGAAGCATCTGTTGATGCCGGTTGGAATAAACGTCATGGGCTTATAAAAGGGAATAGATGTTATAGGTTTATAAAAGGCAATAGGCGTCATGGGTTTAATAAAGGGAATAGACGTCATAGGTTTATAAAAGGGAATAGGCGTCATTGGTTTATAATAGGGAATAGACGTCATAATATTATAAAAGGGAAGCCACGTCAGAGCTTTATAACAGGGGACATGCTTTATAGATTAATAAAAGGGGGCATGCTTTATAACAGGGGATATGCTTTATAGGTTTATAACAGGGGACATGCTTTATAGGTTTATAAAAGGGGATATGCTTTATAGGTTTATAAATGGGGACATGCTTTATCACTCGGTAATCCTCGGGGGATTCCGTTACTCTACATCTAGCCTCGACTGTATGACGGTAAGTGATATGTACCTACGCCAATACAATTGCAATGCGGCGCCGGTTTACTTATTAGGAAAACTTGCCGCTTTTAAAAAGAAGTTATCAAAATTGCGTCGTTCGAATCGTGTATAGAAATTTTAGTGCGAGGTTGTCCTTGTTTGAAGAAAATCGGATAAACTTGAAAGAAAAACAGCTTCAGACTTTGAAATATTTGTATGATAAAACATTCTTCAAAGGCGTCGTCATGGGCAATGCCATTGGTAATCCAGGAACTTGAAAATAGTTTCAATGGCGGACTTCGTCATACAGCCGAGGCTAGATGTAGGGTACTGGAATCTGCTGGGGTTTGCCGAGTAAAGCATAATAGGTTTATAACATGGGGGCATGTTTATAAGTTTATAAAAGATGTCTAATGAATATTATATTTTGTATTAACAGTTTGGATTTACTGTCATATATGAATTATATGATTTTGATCAAGAAACTCCAGATATACAGACAGCCTTCGATATCAGTAACTGTTATAACGACTTTGAAAAGATAGACTTTAGGATCACCTTCCCCTGTAAGTTGAAGATACTGTAAATTCAGATGTAGTGGGGAATTTGTGTCTGTGGGGGGCAACCACCCTTCCCATCCTGAATTACACTAAACCGTATTAAATAGGATATACAGAAACACAACTTCACCGGGTAGTTTAGAATTTAAATATTTCATGTCGCTAAAATTTAAATCCGCTAGATTCAGGAACAGAAGTTTAACAGGGGACACATCGTTGGGCTGGCGATTCCTTGCAAGGCCGTGTAATAAGAGAAACCACTCTGGGAAATCCCGGGGAACTGTCTTAGCCAACTCCGCAATCGAATCCGGGACCTTATGGTTATTGAGTAAGCGGCTTACCGACTGAGTCACCGTGGTTTCCGTCAATGTTTCCATATATGATCTGGAATATCGTGCCTTTACAATGGAATATCGTACCTTTACAATGGAATACCGTGCCTTTACAATGGAATATCGTACCTTTACTATGGAATATCGTACCTTTACAATGGCATACCGTGCCTTTACAATGGAATATCGTAACTTTACAATGGAATATCGTATCTTTACAATGGAATACAGTGCCATTGCAATGGAATAACGTATCTTTTCAATGGAATATCGTGCCTTTACAATGGAATATCGTGTCTTTACAATGGAATACACTAAACTGTATAATAAATATATTTCTATAAAGTCAATCCATTGACATAAGTATTACATTGTGATATTTTGTTTTATATTTTTATTATTATTAAGCCGAATATATTATCTGAATATAGAATATGATATCTGAATATAGATATCTGAATATAGAATATGATATCTGGATATAGAATGTGATATCTGAATATAGAATATGACATCTGAATATAGAATATGATATCTGTATATAGAATATGATATCTGAATATAGATAGTGATGTCTGAATATAGAATATGATATCTGAATATAGAATATAATATCTGAATATAGAATGCGATATGTTATTTTATATATAGCCAAGGCTGGTAATCTGTTATCGGAATACAGAACGATTTTCATCGACCAGGCCATATTACTGATAGCCTCATTATCTGGAGGTTTGTCACCTCTGAGAATAACTCGTACAGAGGTCCACTGGGATGACAGCAATGTTTACATGATAGGAACACTTCTCGACAAGGCGCCACCTATCGGTAAGTAGTATTGTATCTTTATGTAAAGCCATTTTATGGACACTGTTCAGGGGCCTGTTTCACGAAATTTTAACTAAGATAAAATCCAAATTTTAGTAATTTGATTGGATGATATTAGATTGGTTTTAGTGCTTAGCCAATCAAAATTGAAGTATCTGCTAAAATTTTGATTTTATCTTTAGTTAAGATTTCGTGAAACAGGCCCCTGGAATCAAGTGAAATCACTGTAAAGTAAAAGAATCTATACGACAGTATTGGACACTAACAGTCCAAAGACGTCATTTTATATATACTATTAAAAAAAAGTAGGGGATATTTGATTTTGGGGGCATAATACTAAAATATGCAAATGACTACGAAAAAAGTCACTATAGAACCTAACAGAAGAAACATTTCCAGTTACATGTGACGCCCAAACGCACCAATAGCTACCGCATGGAATGCAGGTGATGCTTGGGATCATCATGGGGGTCCAACCCAAGATTTGCACGACTCTGACTTTGAATGTTACAGTCATTGTGGCATTGAATTCCAGGGTGGAAACATCAGTTTAATTGTTTTAGTGACCAGAAAACAAATTTTGATATGCGTCGGCTTACCCAAAATGAAAGGTTACGTGCCCTTGGCATGCTACAGATCGGCACAACACAGGCGGTTGTGGCGCGGACGATGAATGTTTCTCAGTCTGTCATAAGCAGGCTATGGTCCAGATACCGTGATACACAATCTGTACAGGACAGACCACGCTCAGGTCGACCAAGGGCGACAACTCAAGCCCAGGATCGATTTATCCGTACCTTGGCCTTGAGAAATCGTGTCATCACAGCAAATCAGATCAGCGCTCGTCTTCAAACAGACACTGGTGTGAGAGTGAGTGGCCAGACGATTCGGAATCGACTGCATAGGGGTGATCCCTTGTTTGAGAGATCATCACATTCAGGCAAGACGTCGTTGGTGTAGGGATCGTCAACACTGGGATAATCGACGCTGGAGCAATGTGATGTTTTCAGATGAGTCAAGGTTCACTGTTGATTTTTTGGACAGACGTAGGAGGGTGTGGCGTCGTCGAAACGAGCGCTTCCAAGACGTTAACGTCATCAGACATGATCGATTTGGGGGTGGTTCTGTTATGGTGTGGGGAGGCATCACTGTTGCTGGAAGAACGGCTTTACATGTTGTTGCAGGGTGTGTTACAGGCCAGTACTACCGGGACAACATCTTGGCAGTCCATGTTGTGCCGTTCGCACGACGTCATGGCCGCCGTTTCATCTTCCAGGATGACAACGCAAGATGTCACAGGGCCAGGATCGTTACAGGTTACCTCCAACAACAGAACATCACCACAATACCTTGGCCAGCACTGAGTCCCGACCTCTCCCCCATCGAGCATGTATGGGACATGCTTGGACAGAGGTTACGTCAACGTCAACAACGTCCTGCCAATGTCCAAGAACTTGCTGCTGCGTTGCAACAGGAATGGGACAATCTGGACCAAAATGACCTCAGACGTCACATTAGGAGTATGCAACGTCGGATCAATGCTTGTTTGGCAAACAGAGGAGGATTTACCCGTTACTGACTTGGTTGTGATGCTGTGGTAACTTTGCTGTTTGACCCCGGGTATCATTTTACCCTTATAATGGTCAGTCTGTGCCTTACTTAGTCTAACGATCATTTGGAATAAATCGATGAATGTGAACTTCATTTCATTTTGTCATTTGTTTCTTCGTCAGTTTCATTAGGTGACTTTAATAACACTTAAAAATCAAATATCCCCTACTTTTTTTGAATAGTATACATTATGTGTGTTAGTCAGTTAAAATTGTTAGTAATGTGAGTGAAATACCTTTATGTGTAACATGGACGGGAAATCTTCCTTTGTTCTTTTCGTTGCATAAGCAGATTGTTTTCCCTCTTGTAGATTGGGTGGAGCTTAACCGTGCAATAACTAGACATGTTCAATGTTATTGCACACTTTTGCTGGTTTACACTAGTTTTAGTAGAAATCATATAGAGAAGTGGGGTGGGTTTTCCGTGCAATAACAATAAGCATGTTGAGCAGTTGTCAATGTAACAAGTCATTTATAACACGTTTCCTTCGTTAACAGGTTTAACCCCTCGGCCTCTCATGGTTAAACCTGTTAACTCATGAAAGCCGCGCTATAAATATAACTCAACGTCCGCTTACTGAAGTGATATCGCAGACAAATTATTAGTAATCAGACTGCATACATTTAGTGGGTGTTGTGTCACTAGGGTGTTAAAACTGTGACTATTGAATGATATACACCACTACTGTCCAGGTGTGTGTATTCAATAATGATGGGTGTTATAAATAGTCACGCGTTTACACCAGTAGTGACATCTTTTACAGCTAGTTAATACACCTGTCTGTTAATTAATGACAGCTGTATAATTTCTAACCACTTTCTATACATACTAAACATTATTTTAGAATAATGACCACTTACATGATTTAATGACAAAAATTGTCATTACTAATAGGTCCAGGTTCATAAGTCAATGGCGTTAGCTTACCAGTGAATGGAGATTTAACTTTTGTGAATCAATTGGGATAATGAAAAAGGGGACACGGCATGCTACGATGTACATTTTGCACGATTAGCAACGCCTCGGCCTTATCTAATTTCGGTTTTCAACTATCGAGGGATCTTTAATCTGCCAATCGTATGCACGAGACTCGATGTTTTTCATGCCATTCGAAGGAGTAGGCTAGGTCCCACGTCCCCTTGACTGATTTCTTTGTACCCGCGCTTACCCCCCCCCCCCCCCCCTCTCTCTCTCTCTCTCTCTCTCCCTCTCTCTCTCTCTCTTAACCATGTAGTATATATTTTATTTCAGCTAAGTACGTCAAAATGCCCAGTAAAGTTGCACCGTTTAAGAATGCTCTGACGTTACAAGGTGTAACTGATCCAACTTCGTGTGCTGAACAATGTGATAGTGTTGATACGTTTACATGTAACAGTTTTGATATATGTGCTGGCAAACAAGTGTGTACTTTAAGTAAAGATTATAATTCAGATGGAGTAAAACTCAGTGATAGTCTGGAATGCGATCATTACACACGTAAGTTGTCGATTTTTTTCTGTTGGTTAGAAACACCCAGGGCCCTTATTCACGAAAACTTAAACTAAGATAAAATCGAAGTTTTAAGAAATACTGCAATTCGATTGGCTGATGAGTAAAATCAATTTGCATATATCCAATGAAGTTGCAGTATTTCTTAAAATTTCGGTTGTAACTTAGTTTAAGTTTTCGTGAATAAGGGCCCGGGCCATCTGTATATATACAATCCAATCTGATTAAAACACGGATCCTATTTCGTTTCGTTTTTTATAGTTCAAAATTTCGTTTTACTTGTCTCTATTACAGTAGGGTCTGGAAAAGCTGTTATATAACCCGCGCTCTGGCTGATGTGAGGTATTAGCCAATGAAACGGTCTGTTACGGCGAGTTCTACGCGTGTGATGCACGGAACCGTGGGTATCCTACTAGAAACATCAACGCTTACCCCTGGCGCGACCTTCCACTACAACCGGTCATATCTTCACGCAGTAGAGGCCATCGAAAGTATAAAAAAACGAAACGAAATATAGACCTGGGCCCTGTGTCACGAAATTTTAACTAAAGATAAAATCCAAATTTTAGTAGATACTGTCTTCAATTTTGATTGGCTAAGCACTAAAATCAATGTAATATTATCCAATCAAATTACTAAAATTTGGATTTTATCTTAGTTAAAATTTCGTGAAATAGGCCCCTGTTTTTTAATCAGATTGTATACAATCAATCTCATATTTCCACAGAAATGAAATGAAATGGGGGTTTAACGTCCTACTATTCTGCTCCGACTGGGTTATTGGAGACGGGCATATGTCACACAGTGAACTATTGGGGAAATTGTGCCCGGACAGCGGTACTGCTGCCTACTCTTGTTTTGAATTCCGACTGCTAGGGGATCTTGTATGTGCAACCCAAAGTGTACACGGAATGACAATACATTGTTCCTTGTCGTGCTCCTTTCCTGCATCGCTGACAAGTTGAAGGGGGGGGGGGGGTCTGCACGCAGAAAAATCCCGATGAACTTTCTTGTTCCGCGGAGGGATCGAACACGGGACCTTCAGGTTAGCGAGTGCACGTCTTGCTCACCGAGCCACCGTGGCTCCTCATATTTCCACAGAAAAGCGAGTTCACTCGATACAAACTAGGTCATTTCGAGGCTAACACATGGTTCATTTTTTTCAATAATTCGCTTGCACGCAGAGTTCTTTAACAGTGACAGGAAACCATTGGATTCGATGAAAACCTGCGAGGTTGGCCAGTCAACCCCACTCGCTGTCACGTACAAGCGGGGAATCGAAACCACGCCAGATCTTATGATTTTACGTGCACAGGTGTGTATTGTTTGCATTATATTCTACAGGAGTTGTCGGCGGAAGAGTTGATAAAGAGATAGCCTTGAACGATGCATGGATTGTTTTAACAGACCAGGTTGTAAAAGGAACCTTTCAAGTAACTCTGAATCTTGATGATGGTTCGGTAAGTTCATTTTTCTGATTTACATGTAAAAACTTTGACAGTCAAAGCCTTTCATGTAACACTGAATCCTGATGATGGTTCGGTAAGTTCATTTCTCTGATTTACATGTAAAAAATCTGACAGTCAAAGGCTTTCGCTGATTTCGAGGAATTGTTTGGATCGTGGGTTTTTATTGGTATGTTGACCTGTCAGGATCGGCGCATTACTGAACGTGTCCGGTAAAGAAATATCTTCAGACCCAGGCGAAGTGGCGCAAAACCATTTAAACATATTACAACAGAAGGAAAATATTGGTGTAATATTAATTCGACTGTCCATGTTTGATTGAAGGCTATAATCACAATCACTTTAGTGGGTGAAGATCGATTGTTGCTGATTTCAACCTTCGGCATTGTCAAAGGTCGGTTCCCATTCATCAGACGTAGCGCCTGCGCGGTGGACAGTTGAATGATAAGAGGTAGGGCCACTGTCCGGACACGCTTCTCCTCCTCGCTTTGTAACGTTATTCTTCACATAAACGAAATCTTGTGTTGACGAGACATTATTTCATCATTCAATTTGATGGAGCGAAGAACTAATTAGGACCGGAAGTAGATTGTTGAACGCGTATAGTAGTATGCGTAAATATGGCGGTCATATTGTTGTGCAAATAAAAAAAAATATAACTATCGAGTTTTGTTTGTTTTAGTATTTGAATATGTTTGATTTTTTGTTGTTGTAGAAACAAGTGTTAAAGGGTTCAGATATAACATCAGATGTTTTAAGAAATCCTAACAGAGTAGCATCAAGTAAGTTATTTACCTTTTAAACCTTTTCTTCGATCTACCATTAAGCCACTATTGGCTTGTTGACCACCTTGATTACTTCTGGCATTGATATGGCACCATTTTCATTATAAATACAATGCGGTCTACAATACTTTCTAGGGCGGGGGCGGGGGCGGGGGCGTGGGCGGGGGGGGGGGGGGGTAGGATGGCCTTTTGGTCTATAGTGTCACGCTACGACCTCTAGTTGACCGGTCACATCTGGCTTGCGGTTGCGGTTGTGGTTTCGATCCCTGGTGTTAGCGTATGTGGCTTGGAGATAGGGGCGCCTTCTCAACCTCGTGAGTTTACTCCGGGTACTCCGGTTTCCTCCCACAGGAAAGACCCCTGCGTGTGCGCTAAGATAATGAAAATAAAAAAAAGACAACTTGTCTGCGATATCACCTTCGGTGGAAGCGGACGTTAAACACTAAGAACAACAAAATATTTTCTACACCAAGCGGATAGTGAGAGAAAGAGAGTTTAACGCCCACTCAACACAAACTAGGTCATTTCGAGACTAACATGGTTCAATTTTATTTCAATAATCGCTTGGGCGTAGGGAGGAAACCTGGGGCCTAGGCGAATGCCAATGAGATTGGACAGGCGACCCTACTCCTTGTCACGTACAACCGGGGAATCGAAACCACGCCACTTGACTCAATGACAGACATTATGGTACAGCGCGCAAGCGGATTATTGAAATAAAATTGAACCATCTGTTAGTCCCGAAATGACATAGTTTGTGTCGAATGGACGTTAAACCCCATTCGCTCTCTCTATCCCAGTCAGTGCAGAAAAATGGGATGTTAAACTCCAATCATTTTAACTCATTTCATTTCGTCAAAAGTTTTTTTTTCTTGCCAACAACGGAATCGAACCCAGTACCTCATGGGTAGTGAGTTAGCGCCATAACCACCAGTCACCCTGGTTGGCGCCATACCCACTAGCCACCGTTGTTAGTGCAATATCCACCAGCCACCGTGGTTAGCGCCATACCCACCAGTCACCGTGGTTAGCGCCATACCCACCAGCCACCGTGGTTTTCCATCTCGATTATAAGTTATTGTTAGACACATGATAGCAGTGTACAGATGTGTGTTGACATATCAAACCTACCAAAAATAGAAAATAACATATATACCCTTAAACCTTTCCAGAACCAAGACTGTGTGATTCTAGTGGTCCTCTAGGACAAACACCGAGGTCCCATGTACATTTTGGAAGGGGAGCCACGTGGCTAAGTGGGTAAGACGCTGGCTCGTTAGCCTGGAGGTCGGGAGTTCGATCCCTGCATTGGCCGAGAAAGTTCATCGGTATTTTCCGGACGTGGTTTCCACTTGTCAGTGGCGGAGGGGCTGGCAAGGGCAGCTGTCTAGTCGTTTGGGTGGGACGAAAATCCGAGATCCTGTGTATGCACGTAAAAGATCCCTTGGCAGTTGGAATTCGATATAAGAGTAGGCCATAGTGCCACTGCCGGGGCAAAATCAAAATGTCCCTCATAGCACACTTTAGGGCGTATGCTCGTCTTCATTAGCCCAGTCGGAGCAGAACAGTAGGACGTTAAACCCCATTTCATTTCATTTTCATTTTTCACATTTTCATTTTCACATGGCGAGTAAACTGAAACGCCACTGTCCGGGCAAAATTCTCCTCATAACACACTGTATGGCATAATGCCAGTCTTCCATAGTCCTGTTGCCTTGGTGTAGAAACGCAGAGCCGACATTTCATGAATAACATGTATTTCTGTATGTATAGTGGTCACCCAAATGATCAGCAGCTAACTATTGATAATATACTGTTCAATTATTAAGCTCCATTCCATGTTCCATTTTATTTCCTTTACAGAAACAGCCCTACAACATTTCAGTGGACAGGCCAACAAGCAAGTGAATGGATTTGATGATTTGATTTTAACAGGAACATCTATAGATGACTGCGCTAACGAATGTTTAGGCGAGATCGTGTTTTCCTGTCAATCATTCGAGTATTGTTATGATACGGGCTATTGTGTAATGAGTCACACCCACCCGGATGAACGGCCTGATTTAATAATTGCCAGTGATCATTGTGATCTTTATACTAGTAAGTTCTATATATGCTTCAAATTTCTTCAGGGTGGTGCAGTGAGTGAGGGGGGGGGGGGGCGCTAATTTGTCATATTTCCCAAATACTCAGTTCCCAAACACTACCACTTGGGAATTTGTTCAAACACAACTAGATACAAAACATATTCACATGCCCGCACTTCGGCATTAATCGTACGAAAAATATCGCAAAACCAGGAAAAAGATGAAAAACTAGATGATGTAAAGGGAATATGCTGAAAATTTCAGTCAAATTGCTTCTCTCCAAGCCGAGAAAATCTTATTTTATAAATCTTTGTAGTCTCCATTGTCATTGTTAGCGCTGTCACGATAAGTAACAAAGTCTCGATTGTCCAATTTTGCGTTTAATTATCTACGGACGTTGAACAGCAGATCGGATTTAAATCCATTGAAAATCGGACAGATAAGATGGCATCGAGAATAGGCAAATTTATTTAGCTCTTGCAAAATGTATGTTTAACACCATCATCATTACTTATTAAACGCATTAACTCATAAAAATCCGTCATTTGCCGTATTTCTGTTTGGGGATGGGGGCGGTATTTTGGTACCTAAAATGTTGTATTGATCCAGTGAAAACTCCTGCAAGTGGACGTGAAAAGATAATTTGTAGTCCAACTCTAGCGTGTTCGCTAATCTACCATTCTGATTAAAATACAGATCCTATTTCGTTCCGTTTTTATAGTTCAAAATTTCGTTTTACTTGTCGTTACTACACTAGGACCTGGAAGAGTTGTTATATACAATACAAAACTGCGGAAATGCACTACTGTTTTTATTAGAGGTAACCAGTGTATGTTAATAACAGGCCAATTGCCTACACATGAACATAAACAGTTCACATGGGCGGCTTATCTGACAGCCCCATTTCACTCGCAAAGAGATACACCGTCAAAAGTGAAAATGGACGTTTTTGATTTTTGTCTTAATAATGATTAATTGCTCCACCAATCCTCAGACATTCAGCAATTCGTTGTGGCATGCTCTTGACTGTGGGTAAACCACTAGAAACATCAATGCTGATTGATTAATCAATGTCTGACGTAATAGGGTCAAAAGCCGCTCGAATGACCCCTGATGCGACCTCCCACTATAACTAGTCAGATCTTCATGTAGTAGAGGCCATCTAAGGTTTAAAAAATAACGAAACGAGATATAGATATTTCAATCAGGTTGCTAATCTACCAAATTGATTCATTGACAGGGTCCTACACAGCCAAATTCACCGAGACGCCCGGCACAACCGTTCTATCCTCTTCAGACACGATCTACCAGAACATCAACTCGGACAACCAGTGTGCTAGATTATGTGTAGATTATAATGAGTTTGATTGTAAATCGTTTGATTATTGTCCAAACATTAACACATGTTTTCTGGGCAGGAAGCACGTGTTTGATGTTCCTAAATCAAATATTCAAGAAGATCCGCAGTGTAACCATTACTCAAGTATTTAGAACTTTTATTCTTTATTATTGTTATGGTTACTGTTATTATTGTTATTATTATTTGAGAGAGCCACGGTGGTTCAGTGAGTAAGACACCCACTCACTAACCTGGGGGTCGCGTTCTCGGCGTTGGCAGAACGAGTTCCTCCGCATTTTCAAAGGTGGTTTCCCGCTTGTCAGTGATGTAGGACGGAGGGCGTCAAAAAAACCGAGATCTGGTTACACGTAAATCAACTAATGACATTTCCAACAAAGTGAGAGAGAGAGATAGGGAGAGAGAGAGAGAGAGAGAGAGAAAAGAAATGGGGTTTAACGTCCACTCGACACAAACTAGGTCATTTCGGGACTAACATAGGATTCAATTTTATTTCAATAATTCGCTTGCGCGTAGGGGTCTTTTGCAGTAGGAGGAAACCGGGGGATCCGGAGAAAACCCACGAGGTTGGAAAGGCGACCCTACTCCGTGTCACGTACAACTGGGGAATCGAAACCACGCTAGTTGACTCAATGACAGACCTTATGATACAACGCGCACGCTCTAACCACTCGGCCATCCAACCCCCGTCCAACAAAGTACAACGTTTTATATTATTTATTTCAGGAAACTATGCCGATGATTTTAAACTAAAAGCACACAAGGAGATAGCTCTACGAGATAATCGTGTGATAGAAGGTGTCAGTGCTGAACAGTGTGCTAAAATGTGTGTAGAAGAGGAGTCGTTTTCGTGCGCTAGTTTTGATTACTGTGGCAACATGACGGAGTGTCGCCTTAGTGACGCCGCCATGTCTGATATTGGTCAGGTGACCATAGAAGCGTCCACATTTTGTGAAGTTTACATACGTATGTTTTTGTTTATTTATCTATTTGCGTTTGGGAAATTTTTGGGAGGTTTCCACTTGTCAATTGTGCAGGAAGTAATAACACCTAGTCGGTCGGATGAGACCAGAAAACGAGATCCCGTGTAGACGTGGCATGCATGTACAAAAACAATTGGCAGTTGCTTTTCGATGAGGTGAAGACAGAAAACGCAACAATGCATCCCGTATGCACGTCTTTATCTCAATTGGTGCAGAAAAGAAGGACGTTAAACCCCATTTCATTTCGCCTTTGTTTTTATTTTTTTTATTTTATCCAAGCGACCCGTCAATGCTTAATTTGTTTGATACCATATAGTCCCATTCTTTTAGCTATCGTTTGACGTATGCTTATAAGATTGATTGACTGATTTAAAGACGTTGACTAGCTAACCTGAAGGTACCGTGTTTGATCCCTGCGTTGGCCGAGAAAAGTTCATCCGAATTGTTCGATGTGGTTCCGCATTGTCAGTGCTGCAGGCAGAGGGCCTGGCTATGGAGAACGTATAGTCGTTCGAATGGGACGAAACGTCTAGGTACCGCGTACACATTGACGTATACGTAAACGAACCCTTGTCAGTTGGAATTCGATAAAAGATTAGGTCGCAGCGCCGCTGGGCGACCAAGCTAGCGTAGACTTGTCTTCATTCGCTCAGTCGGAGCATAACAGTAGGATGTTAAACCCCACTTCATTTCATTTCGAAAATCTTTTATGTACTTCGGGCCTCTCTATGGGTCTTTATTCGGCCCCGCAGGCCTACGTTAAACCTCATTTTATTTCATTTCATTTCATCTCATCTCATTTTTATTTCATTTTATTTCATTTCGATGCAGGACGTAGGGCGTGACAAGAAAAGTTGTCTAGTCGTTCGGACGGGACGATAAACCGAGGTCCCGTGTACACATTGGCGTGCACGTAAAAGATCCCTTGACAGTTGGAATTCGATATAGGCTAAGAGTAGGCCGTAGTGCCGCTGCCCGGGCAAAATTTCCCTCATAGCACACTGTATGGCGTATGCCCGTCTTCATTAGCCCAGCATAGGAGCAGAACAGTAGGACGTTAAACCCCATTTCATTTCATTTCATATTTCATTTCGTTTCGTTTCGTTTCATTTCATTTATTTGTGTGTCTTTCAACAGGTTCGTATTATCCAGATGGATCAGTTTATACTAAACCTGTTGCTAGTGGTTACTCATCAGGTAATATAATATAATCATCAATTTTAACTAGTTTCCATCAAACTGGGGAGGGGTGAAAACAAAATGTTCTATCTAGTGCAGTGCTAACTACTATTTAAAGATGAATTGGTATATAAATAGGTAGTGCACGTCAAAGAATCCCATATCTGATTGGAAGTCACGGTGGCTCAGTGAATAAGACATTGGCTCGCTAACCTGGAGGTCCCGTCTTCGATCCTTGCGTTGGCCGAGACAGTTCATCGTGATTTTCCGGCATATCATCCTCCCGTTGTTAGTGATGCAGGACGGAGGGCCTTGCAAGGGACAAAGTATATAGTCTTTCAGGTGGGACGAAAAAGAACCCTTGGCAGTTGGTATTATATAGATATAAGAGTATGCCGTAGTGTTGTCCCGTTGTCCGGGTAAAAATTCCATCATAGTATAAAGGCCGAAGTATTGTGCCCACAAAATTGCAAATGGAGTCAAATTCCTTTCCGGAACGATCTCATATTTCTTCAGTGTGGCGTCCCATTGACGCCGGTGCAGTGGGCCTAGTGACTATTAGCATCAAGTTGTTCGGGCGAAACCCCGAGTTCCTGTGTACACGAAACATTGACTGATGGAATTCAGCGAAGAGTATATTCATATATCCGTTTAGTACAGACAACCATATTTTAATTCATTTCTCGCATATTGTATAATTTCAGGTGCCATGGGAGGTCTAGGATTCGCCATGTTGGTTTTAGGGGCGTTGTTGGCTGTGGGTATATATGTAGCAATCGGTAAATACCAGGGAAAATCTCTGGATTCTATGACCATTTCCTTTAAAAACATGGAAAACTCAGATTAACTCGGAGAATTTCAGTATCTACTTTCATTTTACATTTTTATATTGTTGTTGATTTGAGATCTCTGCCGCTAGACCACGTGTCATCGGATGCATGACGATTTAGATACAATTTTATCCACAAGTTTTTGCAAAACATAAGAAATACGTGGAAAGTTCATATTGTATTTAGATTCGATTGTTTTGTTTATCTGACAGCGGATGATTTGTCATCAAGTTTTGTCTACCGATATGTTAGTGTTCAGTGGTGTTTGTTTAATTGTTTGGTTTATTTGTTTGTTATATTTGTAAGTATATAATTATGTACTTTATAATGTTACACACAGACATGTAATAAATTATAATCACTGTAAATATAAATTCTAATTATTGTAGATATCTTTTTTTACATTATAATTCGTTCGTTTTATAAAGTAGGGGTGGTCTCGTAATTATTATTCAGTCCTTCTTCAAAAGCGTTGTGCATATAAATTATGTTCGATCATTCTATAAACGTGTTGGACATCTAAGTTATATTTTGATTCCGCTATAAAAGTGTAGGACCTCTAAATTATAATTCGGTCTTTCTATAAAAGAGTGGGGCCTCTTAATTATATAATTTGGTCCTTCTATGAAACCACAGTGCCTCTAAATTATAATTAGATCCTTCTATAAAAAATGTGGGACCTCTAAATTATAATTTAATAATTATAATTTGATCATTTTATCAAATAGTAAGACCGCTAAATTATATAATTCGGTCTTTCTATAAAAGAGGGAGGTCTCTAACTATAATTTAATAATTCTATAATGGTGTAGGACATCTAAATTATAATTTATTAATTATATAAAAGTGTAGGACCTTTAAATTATAATTTGATAATTCTATAAAAGTGTGGTGCATCTTAATAATAATTTAATAAGTCTTTAAAAGTGTAAGACATTTTTAATGTAGGTCGAATTAAAATGTTTGATTAGGTTAATCTGATGTGTTATTTTGAGAGTGGGGGGGGGGTAGATGGCCGAATTGTTAGCACGTGCGTGCTGTATCATAAAGCCTGTCATTGAGTCAACTGGCGTGGTTTCGAATCCCCGGTTGTATGTCCAACCTCGTGGGTTTCCTCCGGTTTCCTCCCACTGAAATAAAAAAAATAAACCGTATGTTAGTCCCGAAATGACCCCATTTCTCTCTCTCTCTCTCTCTCTCTCTCTCTCTCTCTCTCTCTCTCTTATTTTGAGAGTACGGGTGTATATTATTATGTACACGATATACACGGCTAAACTGTCAATTCGACAGAGTAACAGAAAACAGGTCTGTTTACTAATTTTTTTAGCTTAGTTTCGTATAATTTCGTTTTTCCCTAAAATTGTTGACAGTTGAAAAGTCAGGCGGTTATATCTTGTGTTGATTTAATAGAAATAAGTTATCGATAGGGTTGGGTTAGGGTAATCCCCTATATCAATAGGGTTGGGTTAGGGTAATCCCCTATATCATAAGGTTGGGTTAGGGTAATCCCCTATATCAATAGGGTTGGGTTAGGGTAATCACCTATATCATAGGGTTGGGTTAAAGTAATCACCTATATCATAGGGTTGGGTTAGGGTAATCACCTATATCATAGGGTTGGGTTAGGGTAATCACGTACATCATAGGGTTGGGTTAGGGTAGTCACCTATATCATAGGGTTGGGTTAAAGTAATCGCCTATATCATAGGGTTGGGTAAGGGTAATCCCCTATATCATAAGGTTGGGTTAGGGTATTCCCCTATATCATAAATATTGTATCTAAATTGTAATCTTTATTCATAAATACGATATTTGAGGCAATCTTGATTTCGTAAACATTGTGGTTTCAACGTAATCCTTATTCGTAAATGCAGTATTTGAGGCAATCTTTATTCGCAAACGTCACACTGTGGTTATGGAGTAATCTTTATTCGTAAATACTGTAATTACGAAGAAATCTTTATTCGCAAACACTATAACTACGAGGAAATCTTTATTCGTAAACACTGTGGTTACGAGGAAATCTTTATTCGTGGTTACGGGGTAATATACAGACGTGAAACGTTTTATGTGCATAGTAATCCAAGTGGATCAAGTTCCCCCTCCCCTATTGTCCACACATCCGTAATATCGCTATACAAAATAACACATCAAATATAATCCCAGATCAAACAGATCTTATCCTTTTTAAACTGTTTAAACTGAGGGAAAATCAAGAGAGTGTTCAGTATTTCTATATATTATATCACGGTGGCCTGAAAGATTATTTTATTTTGATTACATTGTATTTGTAAAGACTATCTTGTATAGAATAAACAATTTTATCAGCTATTTCTCGTCATCTCAGCCATCGTCGGGTGTGTGTGGGGGGGGGGGGGGGCGAATGGTTAACGCGTGCACGTTGTATCATAAGGTCTGTCATTGAGTCGAGTGGCATAGTATCGATTCCTCACTTGTACTTTACAAGGAGTAGGGTCGCCTGACCAACCTAGTTGGTTTTCTCCGGGTGCATCGGTTTCCTCCCATTGCTAAAGACCCTTACGCGCAAGCGAATTATTGAAATAAAGCTGAACCATAATATGTTAGTTCCGAAATGACCTTGTTTGTGACGAATTGACATTAAACCCAACTTCTCACTTGCCGGCTTCATTAGCCCAGTCGGAGTAGAATAGTGGGGCGTTAAAACGTTAACACAATAAATTAGACATTTATTAACATGACAAGACTATAATCAACTCTTGTTTCGAATCCCTGGTTGTACGTGACAATGAGTAGGGACGCCTGTCCAGCCTCGTGGGTTTTCGCCGGGTCCTCAGGTTTCCTCCCACTGCTAAAGACCCCTACGCACAAGCGAATTATTGAAATAAAATTAAAACTATATGATAGTCCCGAAATGACCTAGTTTGTGTCGAGTGGACATTAAACCCCATCTCTCTCTCTCTCTCTCTCTCTCTCTTAGCCATCTTGGAATATTAAAGTACCAAAGTCTATCTTCAGTGCACAATCCAGGCTTTTTACGAAGACAAGGCGATGAGTAGCATTTGGCCCGGTCAAACCTGGTCCAAAATTAATAATTTAATTTAAAAATGAATACTCGAGACTTTGTTTAATATTGCATCCACGGTAGCAATGATAATCAAGACTATGTTGTTCTTAAATCAGCCATAACTCTGCTCGGAATGAAGTTATTTAACTAAAAAATTTCAAGATATTCCCTTTTCGTTATCTTTTTCTAACTATTCTCGCGAGAACTGTCAGCTCTTTACCTACATTTTACATAATACATCTTTAATCTTTATAACCACAAAAGGCCCAATATGTGACAATTGTCGGATAGGCTGTGTCGAGTGGACGTTAAAGATTAGATCTATTTGATAAGGCTAAGTTCAAGTTTGGTCGTCACAAGATGTAAACATGGCTAGCGCTAACCCTAACCCTAACTCTGGACCTAGACCTAATGCTTACCCTTACCCTAACCTAAAATCTCGCCAACAATCATGTGCCCTAACTTTATTTACATCTCAGCGACCTTGACGAAAATTGAGCTGGCCTTAACAAATAGATTTAGCCCTTGCCATCCGCCAGGGTCTTTAGCAGTGTGAGGTCAACCAAAAGGTTAGCCAAGCAGACGACCCTATTAGGCACCTACTCCTTGGCAAATGGAATCCCAAGAAAGGTAGACAGAAAGGCTGCTATCAGGACAGTTCCTTCTATTTTTCACCGTCATTCAGCTGAGACCCACGACATCTGCGAGTTTTATAATGGCGGACCAAATCAAACGTATTTCGTTTTTGTTTTTGAATCGCACATTTCTACTTGAAAATAGTGTTGAATTATTTGGCGGGAAATGATTCCTTTTGGCTAAGAAAGAAGAATCACTGCAAAAAAAAAGACGGTAAGGATTTCAAAATAGCTTAGAACAGAGGTGGGGGTAGAGCCGTATTTTTATATTGCAGTAATAGGGTTGAACAGGAACGACCAGGAACTATATGTCATCTAGAGACTCAATCATTTTGTATACCGTATTCTTAAAGGCACTACTGTCTCGGCACTCAGTGTTGGTAATACTAACTAATAATAAACCAAATCAAAAAACAAAACAATACTAGTTATTATATGAAAACAAGACAAGGATACTTTCACGTACAAGCCAATATGTACACGGAAACTCGATTGTTCGTCCCATCCAATCGACTAGACATTGCTCATTACCGGGCCCTCCGTCCTGTCCAACTGCCATGGGGAAACTATGCCGAAAAACCCGAAGAACTTTCTCGGCCAACACCGGAAGCGAACCCAAGACGTCCTGGTTAGCGAGCCAGCGTCTTATCTAGCGGCTCCCCTTTCAAAATAAGGATTGGAAAACAGATCATCTCTACGTAAAATCCCTCTCATTGAATTAAGGGTCGGTCGTACTAAATAATAATAAATAAATTTTAAAATAAAACTGGGATATTAGAAGACTTTCGTAATCCTCTGTAAAACAGATTGGCTATATACTTGAAGGGTTTATTTCAGCGACGTTTCGACGAGAGTTCTCCCATCTTTATCAAGGAAAAGGAAATAAACCCTTTAAGTAACTTGTATTCCATATAATTGTGTCATGTGTTATTCTCATCTAGTTACTAAATACCACTTAAACAATTTAAAGATACATTAGTTAAGAGTTTAATAAAGAAATCCCCATTCTTGCTATAATAATTCAAAAATAGATGATAAAAAAAGAAAATACTGAAAATTTCATTCAAATTACTTCATTCTGAGCCAAATTATCACTGTTTGTAGTTTTGACAAGATGTGTGCATAGTGGTAACCAGGGTTCTGGTGCATTTGAGACTTAGCATCGCTTTCCCATTTTTAAATTAGATTAATTCTCGATTATCAGATACAATTAAGAGTTGATTATGGCCTTGTTTTGTTAATAAATGTCTAATTAATAGTTTATATAACATACCAAGCCTAAAGAAAAACCTACTATAGGCAGATTTAGCTCTTGCATAATGTATGTTTAACTGCACTAGTTATTATATGAAAAGAAAATTGAATTGAAATGAAATGGGGTTTAACGTCCTACTGTTCTGCTCCTAAACTGTGCTAATGAAGACGGGCATACGCCATACAGTGCTTATATCGAATTCCAACTGCCAAGGGATCTTTTACGTGCACGCCAATGAGTACAGGGGACCTTGGTTTTTCGTCCCATCCGAACGACTAGACAGCTGTCCTTGTCAGGCCCTCAGTTCTGCATCCCTGACAAGGGGGAACCACGCCGGAAAATCTGGATGAACTTTCTCGGCCACTGCAGGGATCGAACACCCGACCTCCGGGCTGCGAGCCAGCGTCTTACCCACTTAGCCACGTGATCCCCCGTATGAAAAGAAAACACTACAAGTATTTAATATATCAAACAGTATAATATATCAATTAAATATAACAAACTTTAATATAACAATTATTCTCTGGCTATTCTCTGACCATTCCATATCCGCCAGACCCTTGTAGTTCTTGTGCCTCTTGTACCAAGGCACACGGATGACAGAAGATAACGTTAAGCAGGTCTCCGAAACAGCTACCTTCTATGTTACTTTGTTGGCGGACTTTTCCTCGAACGGAGACTAAAGCGACGAGATCGACACCGGGAATAAAATACAACAATCCACACAGAATACAACTCTCCCCGACCTGTTCGCTGTTTTTACCAAATGTGTAGCAAGGTACGAAATAGGTGATGATACATAATCCCATGTTATCAAAACAACCAAATATAGAATGCTGCCAGTCTCCCATCTTTCTGTTTTACTGAAATAAAAACAACGTGATTGTAAAACAAGATTCTATCCAATAACATTCGCAATAAGGCCAGTATAAAAGACAAACAAAATCTAGGAGTAAGCACATTACAATATCTGAAAGTCGTTTTTGGTGATATTGAATCGTTTTTAACCTACGATATTGTGAAGGATCATCCCTCCACAAATGGTTCGGTTATGTTTATTATTTACAAAGATATTGTGAACTGAAAATTTGTGAACATTCGGCATCCACTTGAAATTATTTAACAAATGGTGTTTAACATCCTGTTTGTCTGCATCAGCCAGGATTGCCATTACCCACTGGGCCACGGTTATAGGTCTAAATATTAAGACCACCTGCAGATTTCGTCAAGGTCATGAGATGTAAACAGGACTACCGCTAACTCTAACCCTAGCCCTAGAACTAGCCCTAAAACTAACCGTCAACCTCGTCAACAATCACGTGCCCTAACCCTATCTACATCTTGCGACCTTGACGATTTAAAAAGTCAGAGCCACCTATAAATGTTGTGTAAAACCTTTTGATGGGTCTCTTTTTAATCGTGCTGAGAGATTATCTACCGTCGATATCTAGGTTTGGTTTCCTTAATTCTATGTTAAATAATTAGATAGATAGAGTATTAAATGAACAATTTAGTTCATACGGCTTTCTGCAGGTCCTAAAGACCCCTGTCTGCAAGCGAATTATTGAAATAAATTTGTATCATATGTTAGTCCCGAAATGATCTAGGTTGTGTCGAGTGGGGACAGACTTTTCGGCCAGTGGACATTTCGGCCTATGATGTTTTGGCCAGGGTATATTTCGGCCTAGGATGTTTCGGCCAACGGACGTTTCGGCACATTTTACAAGAAAAAAAAAATAAATCTGGCAGAAACGTCCACTTTCTACAAAAAAAAGTGGCCGAAATGTCCTAGTCCGAAATGACCACCGCCCCCCCTCTCTCTCTCTCTCTCTCTCTCTCTCTCTCTCTCCATACTACACAATACTTTGCTACATACACAACGATATGAAATACTACCCTGTCAAATTACTGTTATCAAAAGTTGTAGGACAAATTCTTTACTCTTTTGATAGATACAGCCTATAGTGTGTGTATTCAACATGGCCTCGGTACGAGACAAAATTTTAGCTAAACTTTGTAAAAATAAAGTGAAATGAAATGGGGTTTAATGTCCTATATATATTTCTGCATGGACTGGGCTATTGAAGACGGACATACGTCATGCAGTGTGCTATAAGAGAAATTGTGCCAGTACCCTTATTTCGAATTCCAACTGTCAAGGGGTCTTCGACGTGCATATTAGCGTGTAAACGGGACCTCGTTTTTTCGTCCTATCCGAATGACTAGACACTGTCTTTGCCAGCCCCCCCCCCTCGCCCCCCTCATCCTCCCCCAGTGCTGCACCACACATGATAAGAGGAAACCACACTTTTAGTAAACAAACTTTCGAAAAAACAATGTAACAGAATATAGATTTCGGGGCAGGGGTTGTGTGAAGGAGACGCAATGGCGCTTATTTTGTTTTAGCCAAAGAGTATCAAATCGATTCTATAGGTTTCACACAGATCAACATTTCTCGGCGCGGGGTGGGGTGGGGGGTGGATCTACTCCTCCCCTCCCCCTAACGATATAAACTGGGAGTTTGTATGTACCCCCTCCCCCTCCCCCTTCGCCACAGTATATTGTTCCTCTTGTAAAATCAACCGTCACCGCCACGCCCCTTTCTTGTCGAATCAACACAACACAGATCGATCAAATTGTAAAACGTGGTTTGGGTTAAAATCAATGCGGTTTGCAAACACCTCGAGGACCACGTACTGGCATCTCCTGGGGACCACTTTGGGACTTATCAAAAACATTAAAAATACATTAAAATTAATATTTATAATTACCTTTTTAAAATGAATCAACGAGTTTTCTTATTCACTTCACTAAGGTCAAGGTCCGTCGACAGTTTCCTTGTTGGTTTGTTGCAATACACTCCCACAATTTTAATGAAATAAAATGAGTACAACAACGGCTTTTGTTGCGGTATTTGGACTATTGATGTACACAAAGTGCAGCAGTTTATCAATATTTGTATCTTTTAGTTCAGGGTGCAGCAAAAGTTACACATTTCGCAATCGTCTACTTGGATGTTATCGTCTGTGTTATCGGATATCCTGTTATCATGTGCAAGATATCAAAGGTTAACCTAAATGGTCAAAATCTAAATAGGCCTTAAGTTTAATTAAGTTGTTTTGAGGATTGATATCAGAACAGGCTAAAATACCACTGAATTTAGTGTAGAACAAAATATTGATCAGGAATATTGATGAGGAATATTGATAGGGAATATTAATAAGGAATATTGATAGGGAATATTGATAGAGAATATTGATGAGGAATATTAATAAGGTATATTGATAGGGAATATTAATTTAGATTATTAATTTAGGTATATTGTTAAGGGGAGTGGTCTCAGGCGTGCTGTAATATTGACAGACAATGTATATCTATTGTTTTTTATGGTCGACAATTTTTTCAAGGGGGGGGGGGGGGACTTTTTGCAGGGGGGGGGGTCTACATGCCAAGCGGTAAGGTCGCATTTCCAACTTCGTGGGTTTTCTCCGGGTCCTCCGGTTGCCTCCCACTGCTAAAGACCCCAATGCGCAAGCGAATTATTGAAATAAAATTGAACCATGTGTTAGTCCCGAAATGACATAGTTTGTGTCGAGTGGCTGTTAAACCCCAATTCTCTCTCTCTCTCTTTCTCTCTCTCTCTCTCTCTCTCTCTCTCTCATTCCTATACCACTGACAGTAAGCCAGAGTCATTGAGCCAGCGTTGAAACCTATCTAGCAAATTCTTAAATCGTGAATGAAAGTTATGCAGTAAATCGGCGCACAATCCACTAAATATCGCAGGCAAGCGATGCCATCGAGAGTTGATTATTGTCTGGATAAGTTAATTAATGTCTAATTAATAATTTAGATAACATTGCAGGCCTAAAGAAAGACCTGCAATAGACATATTTAGCTCTTGCATAATGTATGTTTAACAAGCTATGTAAAACTTGTGATGTATGACAGTGGCCTAAGAAAAGAATCAGACACGAGTTTCTGCGTCACAAGTCTCCTTAAAATATTTGGCTATTAATGTATATCTTCTATTTCTTATAAATCCGCCCACTTGATTCCCGGTCACGTGTGTAATATATAGGATCAAAGGATGTAATGATAACGGTGACTGTTGTGTCTCCCTTCATAAGATTACAACTCGACATCACGACGTATAGTCGTTCGGATGGGAAGGAAAACCGTGTAATACTGGCGTGCACGTAAAAGACCCACTGTCAGAATTTAATATAAGATTATAGACCGTAGCGCCGCTCTCCGTATAGCGTAAGATTTTACTGCATCGAAACATCCTTGACGACAGCATACAATATAAACATGTACATAAATTTATAAAAATATGAGAAATAATATATATATTTACAAACAAGAATTTTAATCTAGGTTACACATTTACTAACAGGACATACAGGTGTTAATCATCTCAGAATACACATTTACCTCAAACTGGTCTGATAATGACACAACATTCAACATTCTGCTCCGAGTGGGTTAATGAAATGAAATGTGGTAAATTTTGCCCGGGCAGCAGCACTACGGTCAACTGTTATATGTATATCTGACTGCCATTGCCAAGGGATCTTTTACGTGCACGCCAATGTCTACACGGGGCCTCGGTGTTTCGTCCCATCCAAGCCTATTATGATTATCCAACTGAATGGAATGGAAGGTGAGTAAAGTTGGCTCATTAATCAGGGAATTCAGATTTCGTTCCCAGTGGTTACCGTGGAAGTTCCTCGGATTTCTATAGCGTAGTTTCCGATGTCACCCATAGAATAATGTATGCCATGAACAGTACAGGCCCCAAAACTGATCGTTGCGGAACGCAGAATTCCATATACCTAATCAAATGGAATCTGTTAGCATACAAAGCGTTCGTCAATTGTAATTAATTATAGACCGTTGTGGTTGGTTGTTGACTGTCCGGGCGTTATAAACTGTGTGGTTGGTTGTTGACTGTCAGGGCGTTATAAACTGTTGTGGTTGGTTGTTGAATGTCAGGGCGTTATAAACTGTTGTGGTTGGCTGTTGACTGTCAGGGCGTTATAAACTGTTGTGGTTGTTGACTATGAGAGTTACATAAACCCTAAACAACTATTTTATACACTTGAATTTAATTATTTAAAGACTCTATAGACTTGATCACCGTTCAACACGTACCATTTGTTCCTAAACCTACCAAAGCAGACAGTTTGCCAGTTTGTGGCACTCTTAGATTTTTTTTCCTGTGTGTGACCCATGGGTGTTTGTTTTAGGGAATCCAGTATTTTTCTAGTAAGATTCAGTATCCCTACTTTTCATATTTAGGAAATATGCTATATTTTTATTGGAAATACATTCGTGGAAGGGCATCTTTAAAATGAGGTATCTTGAAATGTAGTTGAATTGTATTATTATCCCATACATGCATGTATTATATGACAATAAAACCTTGATACACAATTCAACAACGCCTCAAGATATGTAATATAAAAAAGATAGGTTGCCAGGCAAAGAAAGAGAGAGAGAGAGTGAAATGGGGTTTAACGTCCACTCGACACAATTTAGGTCATTTCGGGACTAACATTTGGTTTAATTTTATTTCAATAAATCGCTGGCGCGTTCGGGTGTTTAGTAGTGGGAGGAAACCGGATGACCCAGAGAAAACCCACTCCTTGTCACGTACAACTGGGGAACCAAAACCACGCCAGTTGACTCAGTGACAGACCTTATGATACAGTGCGCACATGCTAACCATTCGGCTATCCAACCACCCAACATGACTGGTTCCTCGACTATAATCAAAAGCAATTATTAGAAATTGTTCAAATCTGCCTATGGCAGGTCTTTATTTTGGCTTTAAATCTTCTATATAAATCACCATGCTCCACACCCACATAATTATGTGGTATCAAATTAACCAGCATAACCCCGTGAATCTCATAGGCCATTGAATTTGGGCCCCCTGGCGAATTGGGCCTGTGCAAAAAACGCTTTGTCGCCACCCCCCACATATGTGGTATCAAAGTTACCAGCATGACCCCATGAATGTATGGCCATCTTCACAAGTCTATGTGGTGCCCCATGGCAAAAGTTTCAGTGATACCCCCCTCCCCTCCAAATACCGTAACTGCTTTGTTTAGTGCATGCGCTCGGTTGACTCTCTATGATTAGAGAAATTTTCAAATACAATTTTAAAATGTTTATATTTATTTCACCTTCAACCCTCCATTTGATCGAAAAAACCTAAAATATATCTGGGAAAAATCATAATTTTTCTCTCTTTATTTGCTAAAATATGAACTGGTTTACACAGATTTAGGGGAAGCGAAGGCCGGTAATTTGCTATTTGAACATTTCTGGTATGCACTTAGATAATTTGCCGCCACCAAGAAGTGTTGTCCCCCACAGCCTCCCCTATGTGAGGGCCCTGCACCTGGCTAATTGGGTCTCGGTCGAATTTCGGCCACAATCAAATTTGGGCCCCAGGTGATTTGGGCATCGTGCTAGTACATGGGGAAACAGGAGAAACCCACAAGTTTGGACAGACGACCCTACCCCTTGTCATGTACAAGTGTGGGATCGAAACCACGCCACTTGACTCAAAGCCAGATCTTTGACATACCTTATGATCTAAATCACAAACATTACACTATTCAGCCCCCAACAACATTAATCAAACGTGTAAGACTAAGAGTAAATAATTATATTATACGTTTTATTCTTAACAGGATCATACATTTTATTTTCACTTTTTCCCAAATTTAAACTATTTTACGTAGTTTATTATGATGTATTCAATATGATATACAATGTCTGTTGACACTTTAATAAAATGAATAGTAAGTCCTCTTATTTTAAACTTTAGTCTATTTTACACACTGTTTATATAATATCTCTACTTTCAATTTAACGTTTATTAAATCCAGGTACGTGCATCGGGGGTGGCTCAAGGTATGGTCTGCCTTGTTTTTTTCGTTCTTCCTGCATAATTTTATATCGTTGATACTGAAAGTAGAAATAAGAGATTTTATTTGAAGTCGCTGATTGTCATTATAAGCAAAAGAAATCTCTTGCAAACTATAATGCTGTGAAAGATGAATCTCTAATAGGAATATAATAATAATAATTTATTGTTTCCAGTCAGTCACATGTACATATCAATGGACTTTATACAGAATTAACACAAAATTTCAGTCCAATAATGGTTCAATTCTGTTCGGTATTTACAAAGATATTTTGAATGGAAATTTCATCGACTTATGCTGCTCGCTATCATCGATCTATGCTACCAGCTATCATCGATCTATGCAGCTGGCTGTCATCAATCTATGCAGCTCGCTGTCATCGATCTATGCAGCTAGGTGTCATTGATCTATGCAGCTCACTATCATCAATCTATGCTGCTCGACAATTACGCCACAATATTTATATACATGCCAAGCCTCAAATCAGTTTCACACAATTATAGTCACTAAATAAACGATCGTGTTGTACTTAATTAGCTATGACCATTAATCATCTATAACTAATAGACTGAAAACTGGTTCCAAATGTCGTCCATAACATCCAGACACTTTTGAGTAAAAGATAGGTTATGTGCCCTTGTTTTGAAATTAGTCTCGCTTAACCAGTCTATCGACCATTTTACGTCTGATTGACAAGTCGGGATAATCAAGACTACTTTTTTACGAAACATAACAGAAAGCTAGAACAAGAAATTGAATTTAGAAATAAGCACTTTAGACAACTCAACAATTGTTTTAAGAAACTTGTAAAAGTAAAATGAAACTACAGCTAGTATCACGTTCCTGCTAAAGAAAGTGATTCAGAGATAGTATTTGTACTAAACCAAAAGATGCCGCTCTTAACGGTACAGTTAATGATAAAGCAATTTAAAAAATAAAACAAACGTAATTTCTAAAGCTGCTGTAATAACCAAGAAGTTAAATTTTACTGCTATTCAAAATTGTCAACAATAGATTTTTTACGGCTGTAATAGTTGATATATTTGTAGAGAATTGCACGTGCCATGGCTATTTATCGACTCAAAGAGAGTGCGGGGTAGTCAGAAATCAGTTTGAGACACGCAACTGAAGCGTGCACATTTAGCCGTGTCGAGACCAACTTTCTGTAGAGTGCACGGGTCGCCCTATCACTGTCCCATATCATAACTTTTCAACTTCAACGGAATTATCAGTGAAATGAAATTTGATCGTTTGTCTGTTACCGCTCGTTACTTCAGTCTGTTATATAGAAGGAGAACTCGTGTTTGTCATGTTTGGCGTCACTTCCCGTTTCTTCACGTGCTTGTTACACATCTCCCGTAGCAATGATCTCTGTGTTAAAATTGTATTTGGAATGTATTTAACCAGTTCTATCACATATGTAATAATGACTGACACCAATATTGTCCTTTAAACCCAAACAAAGTGACGGTTTAAAATCAGCTCTTAGTCTTATAATCAGGTACGATCGTAGGCCTACCGGCTATGGTAAATCACTCATTTTTGATTTACTGCAGTATTTCTCAAATTCCAAAATATTAATTGCCAGTAGTGTACCGTAAAATTTCTTTATTGAGAAAAAATTGCATAGTTTCGGGTCTAATCCACAAGCTAAACATAAACGATCGCTACATTTAATTGATGTTGACATCTTTATGGCATACTTCAGCGTCCGATCATGCTTTTGTTTACATTGGTAATTTGCGCAGAAAGAGGTGCCCACTACCGGGAGGAATTCCTCCTGGCAAGAAGGCTGCCCGTTACCTGTCTAGATATATTGAAGTCAGAATAGCGCAGTGACATAGTAACCAGTCTGACGTCCTTTAGAGCAGGTTATCCAGTCTACCCATCCCAACAACTAAACACTATCATAAAACCAGCTGTGTTACTATTTACCTGTACACTGTGATTTAAACATTCAAACATATCTTCACGCTCTTTATTACATACATCATACACTTTACCATATCCTACTCTAGATCCACATCTGTATAAATCCATTTCAAAGTCAGCACATGGTCCCGATTGCCACGTTACCCATCCCTGCATACGCCTTGTCAGATCTGTATAAATTACTGGGTTCAGATTATACGTTGACATCTAAAAAAAAAGAAATTTAAAAAAAAGATTACAACATTGAATGAATGAATGAAATTGGTATTAGCGTAACTATTTTCCAAATCCCCCAATTTTAAGAATACTGTCTTAACTGGAAGGTATAAAATCAGTACACCAAAATCGAAATGAAATGAAATGGGGTTTAACGTCCTACTGTTCTGCTCAGACTGGGCTAATGAAGCAGGCATATATGCCATACAGTGTGCTTTGGGTGACATTTTTCCCAGACAGCGGCGCTTCGACCTACTCTTATATCGAATTCCAACTGCCAAGAGATCTTTTACGTGCACGCCAATATATACACAGGACCTTGGTTTTTCGTCTCATCCGAACAAATACACAAGTCGAGTCACTCATAGAATAGTAGTTTATAAACTTGCGAATTAGTACTCCGATTCAAAATGACATATCTCTGTCATATAACTGCAGTATTACATAAAGTCTATATTATTATTATTGTTCGATTTATATAGCGCTTCATTACACGTGAAGTGTTTCTAAGCGCATATCACAAACATATACTTCAAACACACAGAAACAATCAAAATCAGGAGAACATAATTAAACACAGCTGCCTGTTAGGCGCTATTATTCAAAGGTTTATATCCAACAAATCAACCGGCTAATCTCTATATTGAACTCAGTCGAGGTATTACCTGATGAACACCTACACCAAGTAGAGTTCAAAAATAAAAAACGAAGTTTAAAAGAATCAGCTTCATTAACAAAAATTAAACAATCAAAAACTAAACAGATAAATCAAATTCAAACGAAACAAATAAAACAAAGAAAATGAAAAGAGCAGTTCATTACCATTCTACATTAACAAAATAAAGGAAAACAACTTGTGAAATTTTTTTCAAAAAATAAGAGCAACTGATGTCAAGCCATATCTACTGTAGAATGTATTATTGGGTTATAAAAACGTCTATTTTAAGTTTCATCAAAAGCAGATAAAATCTATCTACACAACAATGTGGACATATATAACAATGAATGAGTAATATTTGCCTTGAAAACAAATTAATTGGCAATTTTGCTGATGTTTTTCAATCTAAATCAGAATATAAATTGGAATAAATTACCGTTCCTCCAACAATTCTACCCAATGGATACCATGCTCTATCATCAAACCAATTAAGAAAGTTATAGAAGCCATGGGTCACCATATGATGTGTTGCCCGATAGTTAAACCATGGGTCATGACATGGAATGACCAACATGTAACCCTTAATAACCTATATTATTTTTAGGCTACACCAATTTGATCTTCTGTTTGTCAAAATTCCTACACGCAGTTTTGCAGTTGTTGTTTTTTGTATTTCAGACAAGAGCCAAAAAAAGCTCCCCTCAATCAACAAATTGAAAAAATCGCTCCCCTAAATAAGCTCTCTGAGTTTCGATAAGAAGAATGATTAAGAAATAAAGGAGAGTGATTTAGAAATTAAGGAGAGTGATCTGATATTATGGAGAGTGATTAGTTGTGTGTATGGGAAATGGTTATGAAGATCAATAACTGCATGTTAGGGGGTCATTCCTGGTTTGATAAATGCTAACAAACCCCCAATGACTTTGTAAAGGAGAGCGATTTTCAATTTTAAGGGGAGGGAAAAAAAACTCCCCTCGGTTGAAATTCAGGTGAGCAGCAGGCACTTGAGAGCGATCACTCGCCTTAAAAAACAATGACAACTGGTTTTGATCATCGTAATTTTTCTGAGCTTAGGGTATTTAAGAAAAATATATCCAGCATCTATATTCACAAACAGCCGCTCATCATTTCAATGGTTGTTATATAAAAATAAAACATCGCCCGTCTATAATGTTTAATTTTCTTCTTTTTTGTCGTGAAAATTCATTTTCTTGTTTTGTTTCAGAGTGTTAATTGTATTCACAACCTCTACATGATAACCCGAGGATTGTGTGTCGCCATATCAACAAGACAGTTCGATTATTCTTGAAATTCCATTATTTTTATTTCAATTTTATAAATTTGCTTCTCCTGGGCCTCAGAAGCTCTTCGCCCCTATGCAAAATTTTAATTTTAAACAATATTGTTTTCGATTGCTCGTTTTTATTAGCTGAACGAAAAGTTAAACGGATCTGGCGTACTAACTATTGTGACGAAAACCCCCCCCACTAAATCTGGAAATGAAGGGCACAACATTAAACTAGAAAACCATCATTCTAGATTAGACGTACATATGGAAAAACACTTTCTCAATCAGAGTCATAAACAATTGGAACGCATTACCATACTACGTTGTCAATGCTGTAACCCTGATTAATTTTGAAAAAATGAAGAAATAAAGTTTAACCCAAGTTGCTAATATACTATACTATACTATAGATAATATTTAGACCAAACACTTTGAGAAATTTTTTTAGATTCAGCTCAAACATGCGCAATCCTATCAATGCTAGAAGTAATCAAGGTGGTCAACAAGCCATAGAGTCTTAACGGTAGACCGAAGAAAAGGTATAAAAGGTATTTAAAGGTATAACAATTTAATTCTTGTTCAGGTCCACAAAATAAAATCCTGACTGACGAAGCCTCGTCCTTGACCGTGTCTTTTGGTTTAGCTGAGCACAAGTTGCTAGGTTGGAGATGGTAATTCTCCTCCTACCAAACAAGTCAACATGAAAATTATAAGCCTACTATAATAACTTTGCCAAATGACTTAATTGGATAAAATATAGCATTTAATAAATAAAATAATATACAGTATTTATAAACGTACTTTGACGGTCGAGACGATCCAACACAACCCAGGAGGCGCTCTCTACAAGGGGGATAACTCTAAATTAACGAAGAGAAAAATCGTCGTCGAGGGGTTCAAAGATCGTATTCATTTGAAGACAAACAACATAGCAATAAGCAGACACGATGCTTGGCAGTATTTGGAATTTTGTTAAAAGGCACAAAAAGAAGTTCATCTTCTCTGGGGTCGTTGTTGGAGGTAAAGATCAATAGCTAGTACAATGTCAGATTAGTTACTTAGTAGGGCCAAAATTCAGTAGCCCGTAGGGTCGTTCACCATTCTCAATCATTGTTATACCTCGGATATTTTTATCTTGGATATACATGTATGAATTTTGTAAATTATGTTTTTAGACAGTTAACTAACCAGAAGTTCCCGCATTCGACCCAGTTGTTGGCTGGCAACTAGTTCCTTATGATTTTCGAGCATGATTTCTACTTGGTTAGGGCAGGGACAACCTGGTAATGAACAGTTACAGTGTCTAGTCGTTCGGATTGGACAAAAACCGAAGTCCTGTGTAGACCTACATATTGGCGTGTGCACGAAAAGAACCCTTGACAGTTGATATCCAAAATAAAACTGTCCGAAGTCCCACGGTTCATGCTGGCAAATAGATAAGAAGAAACCACATCTCGAGATAAGAGATGGAACTATATAATTATACATGGCAAATCCCGACGTGAAACGCGTCAGACTTCAATAAGCAAAATTGACAACATTTTTCATTAAAACAACAATTGGTTATGGTTATTTATAACATTTCTGCCTGATTCAACTACAATTAAGCATATAATCAATCCTGCCTGACACAGATAGCCTACAAATCATGTCTTTTTAAATTGAAGCGATGATAGTCTGGCATTTTAATTTTAAATTTGACATCTTTGACGTCATGAAGGCCAATCAAAGTACTCACCTGATATGAGTTGCACAGGAAAAATACACAGTAGGGCCTAATTATGAATGTCCGTATCAATTTTGATAGAAACAACACTTGTTTTAATTTATAGACAATATTTGCAGATAAACCAAAGTTGGTTTCATTAGAGTGGGATGCTTATGTTTAATAAGTTCTATTAGTATAAAATTAACTTATTTTCAAGATGTTACATGCATTAATAACGAAATTAAGTTTGCCAGGTGAAACTAAAGTCACCCAATCGTAGGTAAACACAATCACATCAGTACATCTTAACGTTTTTAGCTACCTGGCAAAGCACCCCTCAGACCCGTTGGTACAGGAAATAGTAGTTACTTTAGTGGGGGAGGGAAGATAGCCGAATGGTTAGTGCGTGCGCGCTATATCATAAGGTCTGTCATTGTACGTGACAAGGAGTAGGGTCGCCTGTCCAACCTTGTGGGTTTTCTCTGGGTCCTGCGTTTTCCTCCCGTTGCTAAAGACCCCTACGCGCAAGCGAATTATTGAAATTAAATTGAACCATATATTAGTCCCCGAAATGACCTAGTCTGTGTTGAGTGAATGTTAAACCCCCATTTCTCTCTTGCTTTTAGAACCATCTCTCTCTCTCTCTCTCTCTCTCTCTTTTTACCACTACTGTCTAAAATTGATTAGAATGACATATAAGATAATATTATAATTATTACAGGAACATGGATGATGTATAAATATTGTAAATATTACAGGATAATGATGATGATGTATAAATATTGTAAATATTATAGGAACATGGATAATGATGATGATGTATAAATATTGTAAATATTACAGGAACATGGATGATGTATGAATATTATAATTATTACAGGAACATGGATGATGTATAAATATTTATTAAAGAGATTAAAAGAGATACGAGAAGAAGAAGACAAGGAATACATAAATGTTGTCAGGTAAGAGAGGTCACAATATTCCAGACTAAACTCAGATTAGATGGAAAAGCATGTTTGTTTTCTCTCAGACTATAGCAAAAGGCTGAACAGCGTGCTTTGGCTTTGCTGTATGAGTACTATTTAACAAGCAATGTTTTTTACTTTTCAGGGGTGTTGTATGGCTGAATGGTTAGCGCGTGCGCGCTGTATCATAAAGTCTGTCATTGAGTCAACTGGCGTGGTTTCGATTCCCCGGTTGTATGTGACAAGGAGTAGGGTCACTTGTCCAACAATGTGGGTTTTCTCTGAGTCCTCCGGTTTCCTCCCACTGCTAAAGACCCCTATGCACAAGCGAATTATTGAAATATAATTAGACCATGTTAGTCCTGAAATGACCTAGCTTGTGTCGAGTGGATGTCAAACCCCATTTCTCTCTCTGTCTTTTTACTTGTCATCCTTGTGTAAATCTTTATGGACTACCAGACAAAGGTTTCACTCTTACGGGAAAAATGTAGCAACTCTTATCTTTAAAAATACATGTACGCTAGACATATTGCACGTCCATCAGTAAACAGCTGATTTAGAAATGGAAAATAATGGTGGACAGATTCTGCCATCATTCCATTTTAATTTTATTAGAAATTTTATAATTGCTATGGAATAATGGGGTTTTTTTTTCTGTAATTGTAGAAGACAACATCATTTTGACAGTAATCAACGAACATGTAATATGACAGGTCAGTTCAACTTCAAATTAATTTTCTTTGATTTAAACAATTTTTAAAAAATTAAATTTAATTAATGTCAACAAATGGATCATGTTGTGTAGGGTAGTGTGTTTCTGAATATGAAACTCTGAGCTTGGTTTCCTCTTGTCACTTAATTACTGGTGCACGATGTTGAGTCTGGCAGTGAACAGTGTCTAGTCATTTGGATGAGACCAAAAACAAAGTTTCATGTCAACATTGACGTGCACGTAAAAGATCCCTTGATAGTTTGAATTCAGTGAAAAGAAGGTAGAATTGCTGTTGTCAAGGTGATATTTCCCTCATGGATGTCCTCATTATCCCTACTGGTGCAGAAAAGCAGGATTTTTTGCATGACAGTCACCTTCGAGAGTCAGGTACAGCGGAACAATCTGACGCAAGCATGCTGTCTGCCATTAACCTTGTCTGCAAATAAAAGAATCCTTGATTAAAATACAGATCAATATTTCTTGTCATTTTTTTATGCTTTCAATGGCCTACATGAAGATCTGACAAGTTGTAGTGGGAGGTTGCGTCAGTGATCATATGAGCCGCTTTTGACCCTATGACGTCATACATTTGATTAGGATACCCACAGTTCCGTGCACCTCACACCAAGAACTCGCTGTAACAGACCACTTTAATTGGCTCCCTCACATCATCCAGGAAACGAAATTTTGAACTATAAAAACGAAACGAAACAGGATCTGTGTTTTAATCAGATTGCGAAAGCCCATTATATTTGATTGTTTTTGTGGTTTTTAGTTTTATCTATGATTCCTAACATCAGAGAAATACTGATAAATAAATTAAATACAGAAGAATATACAACTCAACTTAAACAGAGGTTAGTTTTATAGTAGAATTTACTTCTTGTCAGCGGGAACCACAGTGACTTGGTGAGTAAGACACTGTCTCGTTAACTAGGTGGTTCCAACTTTGATTCTGGGGTAGGTCGAGAACGTTTGTTGAGATTTTCTGGCTTGGTTTGATCTTGTCAGTGGTGCAGGACAGATGGCCTGACATGGAACAGTGTCTAGTCATTCAGATGGGAAAAAAAACTGGGATCCTGTGCACATGTTGGTGTACATGTAAAAGAACCCTTGGCACCTGGCATTTGATGACGATTAGACAGAAGCCTTTTCAAGGAATAATGATTTTAGATGTACCAGACAAAATGTCACAGAACCTGAAGTCATAGTCGAGTCCCAAGTTGCTGCACCTCGAGTATGAGTCGAGTCTCAAATCTTCCCCAAATCTTTCGTTCTTTCGCTCAAATCGCCAGTTCATAAAATGAGTTAGCAATTCATGGCGAATAAGGTAAATTAGAGGTATGGCCCTTCATTGCTACTTGAATCCTAAGCTCTTTCAAGTCGCAGGTCGGATCATTGATGTGACTAAAGTCGGACTCTAGTACTGTTGGAATCAGATTAGAATATTGCCATCAGTAATTTAACCCATGAGAACATGTAGTAAACATAAAATATTTATTTTGTAGCCCTGCTAATAAATTAGAATTATGGGCAACATTAAAAGTCTGCAGTAAGTATTAAGAGTTGTATTAGATCTAATTTAACTATGGACATTCACTATTTGTATATAACGTTGGTTTTATTCTATACAGCGCTATTCATGACATTTACTGAGCACATGACTATCATAATTCTATGAACCCATGGCAGATTGCTTCACTGAAACAGGCCATTTCATTAAATAATCCCCCACATCAAACAGAATGTTATTTATATAAAAAGTCTTCGAGAAACCAAATGAAACCAAATTTTGATCTATTCATTGGCTGATCCCACTGCATGAAGCACAATAGAGTTTATTTTAGAATTCTTCTCGATTCCACTAAATTTCAACAATGGAAAACTAAGTTCAACAGTAAAAAAAACCAAATAAGATACAATCTGTTTAAAATACAGATCTATATTTCGTTACGTTATTTTGTATACTTTCAATGACCTACACTACATGACGATCTGACCAATTGTAGTTGAGGTTGCGTCAGGGGTCATACGGGCGTCAGGCGGCATTTGACCCCATGACGTCAGACATTTGATTAACCAATCAGTGTTGATGTTTCTAGTGGGTTACCCACAGTTCCGTGCACCTCAGACCAAGAACTCGCTGCAACAGACCGTTTCATTGGCTCATTCCTCACACCAGCCAGAACGCAGGTTATATAACAACTCTTGCAGATCCTAGTGTAGTAAAGACAAGTGAAACGAAGTTTTGAACTATAAAAAACGAAACAAATCGGTTCTGTGTTTTAATCAGATTGATTGAAATAAGATGTGTGTTTTACTGAGATTGTAAATATTTGTATTTTGTAGGTTTTTCACGAACGATATCATCAGTGTATGGTTGTTGTTTAATGTCCGTTATATTACGAGTACAGTTAAATGTTATGGGTGGATATATTTTCCTTGATAACTCACAAGATTCTCAGAATGGATATGTAAGTTTAACCGTTTGACGTGAAATCACAAGGTCTGTCATTGAGTAAAGAGGCGTGGTTTTTAAAGAGTATTCTCTTAACGTTTTCAAGCTAATACAACAATACAGATAGGAGTCAAACAGACTAAGGGAATGCCGTTCCCACACATTCCCTCCTGCGTTCTTAATCCATTTTGAAATGAACCGGACAGAATTGGGTCAAATGAGGTCCCGGTAGGAAAAAGGTTAATTATAAGCTTCCATTCCCTTATTGAACCTGTTATGAATTAACAGGAAGCTTGTTTAGTTCTTTTACCGGATTATCAAAATTACCGTTAAATGTGCGAATTAGGCTTCTCAGATTATGAAGCACATGACGGATCCTCACTAAGGTATGACTGTAGCCGACAAGCAAGTTGATTGACTTCTTAATTAACAAGTAATAATTTACCCGTTGTAATTTAGCCAAAAGTAGATTGATTTATGATACCATAGTGGACAGTTCATTTGTTTTACTAATCGGCTTGATTAAACATCAGTCAGCTAAAGCCGACAAAAAACACCCGATTAAGAACAGTGGTTCATTGTTTTACTAATCGGCTTGATTAAACATCAAACACCCGATTAAGAACAGTGATTCCCACAGTACTACTCCTCTACTGACTACTAACATGAATTTATTGTTTATTTTGTTTAGATTGCCAGAAAACATCGAACAACAAAAGCTGTACAAGAAAGATATTTGTCATTAATTAAACATTTTGTGGGACCAGGTAATGAAATACAGATTATTTATTTTAAAATCGTATGGCAAGAGAAATACAAAACTGCTAACGAAACCAGAAATACAATTGTTTCTAATTACATCGAACTGTAGTGATTATCACTTTGCAGGATGACCCTCTTGGTTGACCAAGAGTTCATTTTACCGCTGTTTGTTTCACGAAAAATACAAAGCCATTCTTTCTCACTAACCAAACGGATCCGGCCCCGGTTTTACAAAACATTCTCAAAGTTAAGTTTAGAATTTACTCAAAATTTTTCGCCTTATTTTAATAAACAAATAGCGCTTTATAAAACTTTTGTTGTTTTAGTGTATAAAATACATCAATGAGGAACTATGTGCAATGTTTTGTGTTTCTGGATCAAAGATATTTCTCATAAAGAGTGATTGAAGGTGAAGTAAATTCTTCTGAGAATGCTTTTTGAAACCGGGGCCACGCTTTGATCTCTGTAGTTTCTCCTTGTCATTAGTGAATGCTGGAGGTCCCAGTCAGGAACAGTGTCTAGAGATTTGGAGAGAGAGAGAAATGGGGGTTTAACATCCACTTGACCCGGAGAAAACCCACGAGGTTGGACAGGCGACCCTACATGTACTCCTTGTCACGTACAACCAGGGATTCGAAACCACTCCAGTTGACTCAATGACAGGCCTTATGATACAGCATGCACGTGCTAACCATTCGACCTAGTGATCTGGAGGTCCTAAGAACACCTAAAAGAACCCTTGGCAGTTGGAATTTGATGTAAAGTGGGCAGGAATACCACTGTCCAGACAAAATGTCCCTCATACATGTAGCATGCAGCATGGCATAAATTAAAACAGATTTAGAGAGTTTTACCCATCACTAATTCATCAGATCAGCTCTGTAAAACAATTAGTTTTCACCTAAATAAAAGACGATCACGTCCACTAAATTTTTCATGGGTTGGGTGGCCAAATGATTTAACGTGTGCGTGTTGGATCATAAGGTCTGTCATTGAATCAAGTGGCATGGTTTCGATTCCCCGCTTGTACCACCATGTGTTAGTCCCGAAATGACCTAGTTTGTTCCGAGTGGACGTTAAACTTCATTTCTCTCTCTAAATTGTTTAACGGTTGGAGTGGACATTAGATAAAGCTGTTTCACACCTATATCATCATTTAAAATACTTTAGGTTTAGAAGATTTAATAGAGGTGGTTAAAACTGCTACAGGTAAAGAATTGGACAGGTGAGTTATTATTTTATACACCCACATTATTACCTTTCTTGAAATTACATAAACTTTACCAAATGAAAACAACTGGCTACCTAGTTCAGCTCTGAACATAGGTCTCATTACACTCACCCTGTACGTTCAGGAATCGGCCCGGCCTATTGACTCCTTGTTGAAAAACTTTCGGTTCCCAGTAAGATTTACTGCTGAACGGTCGTGTGTCAGTCCCTATGAATGCCTCTACAATGTAAAGGAACATTTATGTCAGAAAATAAGACCTTGCTTACCTTGTATATTCAGTATGTGCGACACAACATGCCGTTAAAAATACATAAATATTTGCGTTACCCTATATTTAGATTTCAATGGTGCCTGCAAAGCTATTTAGCAGAAGGGGAGATATTTTTTTTAACGGCATGTTGTGTCACACCACAAGAAATCACTAGGCCGGTTCCTGAACGTACTGGGCGAGTGTAACGAGTGTAGCTGAACTATTGGCTAGCCAGCGCTCACGCTAACAGATGCCAAAGTTTGCTTCCAGTATTTGCCGAGAAAGCTCCTTTGGTTTTTCCAGTGTGGTTTCTCCTTGTCAGTGGTGCAGGATGGAGGACCTGACAAGGACAGTGTCTAGTTGTTCGGATGGGTTGAAAAACAAGTTTCCATTTTCTTTTTGATGTGCACATAAAGAACCCTTGACAGTTGGAATTTGAAATAAGAGTAGGCCATTATGCTGCTGTCCTTCATACATGTTCCTGAAGCAATGACTGCGAGTTTCACAACATCTGGCCGTTGCTTGTTTACTTCACAATTCCCAAACTTATAGCTATGTTATCTACAGACACGTGAACAGTAGCGTCCAATCAGAGGTTGTGACATTGTGACTTCCACGGAAACCTTGACATTGAATGAACCTTGAACTTTGCAACTCGATTATCACAGGTAGACATTTTAGCTTGAAAGTGCGAGACTTGGTATTCACCACGATCAAGGAATTGGCTTGTACCCAATCGAAATTAGTGCCGAGATATGCAGGGTATTACGTGAAGGCCTTGATAAGATGTACTTAGTTAAAGCGAGATCAGGCCTTCTATCAAAGATGTTGATCATAGTACACTGTACGGCGTATGGTCGTATTCATCAGTGCAGTCGTTTAAAAAAAAGTATGACATTATTCCATGTATATATATTACAGTTTATCATTACGAGATCAGTTGAGTTTAGAAAATATGCAGTCATTAATTCAACATATACGTGATCGTGTAGAAGAACGTAATGATCTGCCGTCAACTCATCCTCTCTCATCGTATCTCATGGCCAATGAACAGAAACCAGATATAGTAAGTATTAAATATCATTTACATGGCCATGTGCTTTTAAATTGTTTGTTTACATTATGCCCTGAACATGTATTATTATGTAGTCTCGTGAGATTTTGTTGTTAACTGTCATGACCAAAGCCCAACTTGCCCCGCGGTTCATGGCAAAAAGAGAAAAAAAATCAAATTCCAGATGAAAGTTCCACGGTAATCTATCTAGTAGCGCGAGGACGGAGACTGAGCGATCCCTCGACCTTCTCTGTGAAGTTATATGCCATTTCCGCGCATTGTACGCCATTTGGAACTGAATAGATTTCGTATGTGATCAGATATTATGTAATTGTTCTTGTATTACAGACCGTTTAATGGTGTGTTATGCATGCGTGCTATTCAAAAGGATATGAAATAATCTTTTCGTCACGTTATGGACCCCACGATTCTAGTCAGGCCCAGATCCCCGCTTCGGTTAAGTTGGGCTTTGGTCATGACGGCAAGTGATCAACACATATAAAGTTGATGAACATTTAAGAGATTTATCAGTTATCAGCGAGTTGATATAATATAATTATCATACTTGTCAAATTGGCATAATGTTCGCTTTTGTTTACTTATTTCTGGAATTTGACAATGAGTAGTGGTTCTCCCTTGTCAGTGATGCAGGACGGAGGGGCTGACAAGGAAAGCTGTCTAGTCGTTCGGATGGGACGAAAAACCGAGGTCCCGTGTACACATTGGCGTGCACGTAAAAGATCCCTTGGCAGTTGGAATTCGATATAAGAGTAGGCGATAGTGCCGCTGTCCGGGCAAATTTCCCTCATAGCACACTGTATGGCGTATGCCCGTCTTCATTAGCCCAGGTTAGGAGCAGAACAGTAGGACGTTAAACCCCATTTCATTTCATTTCATTTTTGACAATGAGTAGACTGAAATGCAGGTGTTCGGGCAATATTTACCTCATGTCACGTTGTATGCCAGTCTTCATTAGATTGTTGGGTGAAGAAAAGTAGAACGTTTAACTCCATTTCATTTCACTTGAAGAGATAAATATGAAACTTCTTATGTTTTATTTTATTCATTTGAAGTGTTTGTGTGATCAGTACAGAATACTGACAACATGTGTGTATGACATTCTAGATTCTATGTCACAATATTTTAATTGTAATATTCCACAATCAACAAACTAAACAAGACTGTATTAGATGTAGAGCAGTTTTAATCCAAGACATGTTTCAATTTGATCCCCAACCGTATCACAGAGATCAGGCTCCAAGTTCACAAAACATTCTCAGACTTCAGTTAGGAATTAAATCAAAATGGTTCGCCTTATTTTAACTCAAATATAGCCCTTTATAAAAGTATTGTTGTTTTAATGTATTAAATCCATCAATGAGGAACTATGTGCAATGTTTTGTTTTTCTGGATCAAAGATATTTCTCATAAACAGCGATGGAAAGATGAGAGAATTTTCAGCTTAAACCTGAGAATGTTTTGTGAACTTCAGGGCATGTTCTTGCCTGCTCTCTACAGGGATTCTTCCACCCAATGGCAATAGCCTGGTTTCGTTAAGGAGTTAAATTTTATTTATATTTTAATTAATTCGAACTGACTAGTGACGTCCGTTTCTATGATTGATGTTTTTTTTATAGGAGATGATTAATAAGGAAGAAGAAATTTACGATAAACTGATTCAAGAAACAAGAGATGTGATAGACAGGTAGGTGGTTCTCTATAAATCAGGTAGTCGAGGTGGTTCTGTGCGTAAGATGCTGACTCGCTAACCTGGAGGAAACTGTGGTGGCTCAGTGAGTAAGTTGCTGGATCGCTAACCTGGAGGGAGTCATAGTGGTTCAGTGAGTAAGATGCTCTCTTTTTCTCTCTCTCCGTAAATAATCCCTATGTTAGTCCCAAAATGACCCTTGCACTTAAATAACAATCAGTGACTTGAACAGTTACATTCAAAGTTTGTCCCAGGTTGTAAACCAATAACTGACATTTGCTAAGCACATCATTTGGCCGTTGAATTTCATTTGCTGCTGGGGCAAAATTCTCTGCTATTTTCCAAATTAAATATGATCTTTCTATTTTTATTCTTTTTGAAATTTTTCAGCCCAGATTTCCAGTCAGTGATAACAGTGTGTTTAGACAAAGGTTTCTCTAAATTAATGGATTATATAGCAGAACATTATAAAAATATTTCCAATAAACAGTAAGGCTTTATCATTCTGTAGACATTATTATATTTATGATGAGATAAAGACAAAGAGGTGGGGTTATATGGCCGTATGGTTAGCACATGCGTTGTATCATATAGTCTGTCATTGAGTCAACTGGCATGGTTTTGATTCCCCGGTTGTACGTGACAATGAGTAGGGTCGCCTGTCCATCCTCGTGGGTTTTCTCCGGGTCCTCCGGTTTCCTCCTACTGCTAAAGACCCCTACATGTAAGCGAATTATTGAAATAAAAATTGAACAATGTGTTAATCCCAAAATGACTTAGTTTGTGTCGAGTGGATGTTAAACTCTATCTCTCTCTGTCTCTCTCCCACGCTGTCTCGCTGAAGAGCCCAAGGGGTAAACGATCTATGTCACATTTTTGTCTTTTTGCATAAAACACAAAACAAACTTTGAAACATGATGGACGAGAATGCTTGATACGACTGGCATACTGTGGATTTAGATCATTCTGGACCTGGAAACCATTTCAGAAGGGTCGATGTTCGATGAGACTCCGATCGTTTTTACCTGAAGTCGATTGTTCCACAGCACATGCACATTATTCACAGTGAACTGTACTCGACCAGATTGTTCCAAGTATCTATCATAGCGTAGCTGAGAAACAGGTTAGGTCTATATGATAAAGCCAACTTCAAGTCACAAGATGTAAACAGGGCTAGCGCTAATCCCAACCTTAACCCTGAATCTAGCCCTACCCCTAATGCTTCCTAACCTAAACCTACAATATCGCCAACAATTTATATCTCAGCAACCTTGACGAAATTTGAGCTGGCCTTAACAAATAGATTTCGCTGTGAGAAGCATCACCATAGGATTATTTAAGACCTGTTCATCCATGTAGCGTACCAGAGTACTTGTTCAATGATTAACATTTTGAGCTGAAGCTAAGCAGAGCTAATCAATTTCATTGGTCGATGCTTTAGGACAAGATAATCTAGATTCTATCTGATAGAGAGTGGTGAAACTTAGTGTATAGTTCATATTCAGTTTGATACTTTTGAAAAAAATAAATGTGCAATAAATTAAAATGTGTCATCTATTTATTTTGGGATTTTGGCAGGGGGACATCAGCCTCAATGTTTGCTTGTTATCCCTAGCATTTCACATCAGAACCATTGAAAAAATAATCTTGTATGATACCTCTAGGAGCCACTGTGGCTCAGTGAGTAAGATGTTGGCTCACTAACCTGGATGTCCCGTGTTCGATCCCAGTGTTGGCAGAGAAAGTTCATCGGGAGTTTTCTGGCGTTATTTCTCCTTGTCAGTGGTGAAGGACAGAGGGCCTGGGAAGGGAAAACATACGCGTTCGGATAGGATGGAAAAACAAGGTCATGTGTACATATTGGCGTGCGCATAAAAGACCCCTTAACAGGTAGGCCGTAGTGCTGCTGTCCGGGCCATTCTCGCACTACACACTGTACGGCGTATGCCCGTCTTCGTTAGCCCGGTCAGAGCAGAAAAGTAGGACGTTAAACCCCATTTCATTTAGTAATACCTGTAACTAAAATGGTACCTGTAATAAAATATAGATATATTTATGTTATAGGACTGATATACATGATTGTGTGATACCTCTAGCTAAAATGGTGCCTGTTGTAAATGGTCTGGTGTTTAAAATCGTAGCAGATGCTCCTAATGTCTTTATTCAGGTAAGATATATAACATGTTGTAGCCTGTGTTTCCTAAGTCAGTACACAATGGAGACAATGGTTTTGAGCGCCATTTGTAAGGAACAAAGAAAAACACCCTGAAGACAATGCAGAAATAATTGAAAATGGATGATCCACATGCAACAAAATAGTAATAAAAAACTTGTGTAGAATGGACTAAGCAGGTACAAACAAGTTTGGACTGTTCACCAAACATAATTTTTTAAAAATTCCAATGAAAAATTTGAAAAATTGAATGCAAGTCACTTTATATACATTCATATTACATTAATATGAGCTTTTAGATCCATTGTTGTCTATTTTAATGCTCCAAAGAATAGAGATTTGTATTTAATTGATATATTGTGTGTTTTCAGTAGATTTATATTTAATTGATATATTGTGTGTTTTCAGGAGATTCATATTTAATTGATATATTGTGTGTTTTCAGATTCATATTTAATTGATATATTGTGTGTTTTCAGATTCATATTTAATTGATATATTGTGTGTTTTCAGATTTATATTTAATTAATATATTGTGTGTTTTCAGGAGATTTATATTTAATTAATATATTGTGTGTTTTCAGGAGATTTATATTTAATTGATATATTGTGTGTTATATTTAATTGATATATTGTGTGTTAGATTTAATTGATATATTATGTGTTTTCAGGAGTTATTACTGATGGAGGAAGTAAAGAAATTTGCTGGTAATATCTATGAAGCTTTTAGTCAGCGAGAGAATTCCTGAAATTTTGAGTAATTGTTGATGGATAAATTTAATCATTGTGCTATTTCCAAGAATCAAGTTTTGTGTGAATCAGATGTGTTTAACAATATATTGAAGTCAGATTCAGGCAATCGAGAGTCGTCATAAGAAAGATTTATAAATTATTACGTATAGAAACACCAAGAAAGTTACTAAAAGAATTTTGCTGTATGTGACTCTGTTGTCAGATCTTTGGCCTGAAAACCAAGTCAGTGTGAAAAGCGATTGGTCTTACTTTCTGCACCAATTGGGCTAATGAAGACAGGAAAAACCCAGTGAAGTCTATTACTCCATGTCATTATATAAGCAGTGAGGGTGTCGTACATGAGGTGCAGTATGCTGTCATTCAAGAACATCTGATGCCACTCCTGATACATTTGCCACTTCATATTTGTTTCAGGGTTCCTCTGTTCATCTATTTATTGTGTGTAACTGTCATTTAAAGTCCCTGACCCTGACCCTGATTATGCATTTTCAGTACAATATGTAATTTATCACAATTTAAACAAGCTAAATCTGCTTATTGCGGGTCTTTCTTTAGGCCTTAAATGTTATATAAATTATTAATTAGACATTTATTAACACTGGTTCATATTGAGCTAATTATCTCTGATTATTATCAACATATTCAACATGTTAACTGATTCCATATGTAATAAAAAAAATGTAAAATTATTGACTTCTTTATTAGGCCCTACAATAAAAATATGTCATTCTCAGACAATCCGGGGGTCGGGTGGTCGAATGGTGTGCGTTGCATCATAAGGTCTGTCATTGAGCTTGTACATGAAAAGGGGTAGGGTTGCCTGTCCAACCTTGTGGGTTTTCCAGTTTCCTCCATCTGCTAAAGACCCCCTACGCGCAAGTGAAATGGAATGAAATAAAATGAGGTTTAACGTCCTACTGTTCTGCTCCTATACTGAGGTAATGAAGACAGGCATACGCCATACAGTGTGCTATGAGAGAAATTTTGCCCGAGCAGCGGCACTATCGCCTACTCTTATATCGAATTCCAACTGCCAGGGGATCTTTTACGTGCATTCCAATATATACACAGGACCTCGGTTTTTCGTCTCATCCGAAGGACTAGACAGCTGTCCTTGTCAGGCCCTCTGTCCTGCATCACGGACAAGAGGGAACCACGCCGGAAAATCTGGATGAACTTTCTCGGCCAATGCAGGGATCGAACACCCGACCTCCAGGCTAGCGAGCCAGCGTCTTACCCACTTAGCCATGTGATCCCCCACGCGCAAGTGAATTAATGAAATAAAGATTAACCATATGTTAGTCCCGAAACGACCTAGTTTGTGTGAGTGGACGTTAAACCCCATTTCTCTCTCTCTGATGATCCTTCCCAAAAAGCAGGCACATGAGGGAGGTTTTTGTTTCCCTGTTTTTGTCAAATGATGACTACTAATATGTAATATGGTTCTACTCCGTTTCACATCTGTCATACACACAAAGACTAATGTCCCTTATTACCTACAAAAACCAGCGGCTGTCAGACAGGATACGCCCACATTTTGCAAGAGATGGATAGAGAACAAGCTAAAAACATGATTTTCCGTACAATCAGGGGCCATAATTCTGGAAGTTACGGTCTGATATGTGCGAATATCGAAAGAAACCGAGATCTTTGGGTTATCACTTACATTTCAAGTTTCATCAAAATCAGAAGAAAAATTGTCACCTCTAGAGGGTCCACAACCTTGATATACCATATTTTTACGCTATTTGAGTACAAGGGGCGGCCATTTTGTCTGTCAGTTTTGGTCCGATTTTCACGAAATTCGAACTCAACGATCCTTAGGATGTAAAGGTGATATATTCAAACGTTTTATTTAAATCGGATAATAATTGTGACCTCTAGAGGTACCTCAAGCTAAAAACGTGATTTTTCGTACAATAAGGGGCCTTAATTCAGGAAGTTACAGTCCGATATGAGCGAATATTGAAAGGAACCAAGATCTTTAAGTTATAAACTTACATTTCAAGTTTCTCAGAAGAAAATTGTGACCTCTAGAGAGTCCACAACCTTGATATACCATATTTTTACACTATTTGAGAACGAGGGGCAGCCATGAAAATGTGGGCGTATAAAAATAAATGTGACAAACCTTGTCGACCACTCGGATGATTTAGCTGCTGTGGGCATATGTTTCGTTGCCTGACAGCTTATCTTTGGTGAATTTAAATGATTTTTACAATTGTTATAACAAAGATTTGATATTGATTGAATGTTAAAAAAATGAATACTAAATACACAAGATTAAAGATGCCTTCCCACATACAAACTGGGTGATTTGATGACATATTTGGACTAAAAATTTTATATTAATTAGTTTGAATATGTTTTTATTCTAATTAATACATCAAAAATATGCTTCAAATCCCTCTCAAAACATTGTATTTGCGAGGAAATACCCCAAGATATAAAAAAAATCGATTTTTAGAAGCCATCTTTGTCATGTAACTTGATTGACTACAGCCTATTCTTATTTCCATGTCCAACTGCCAAGGGATTATACACACCTCCCCATTGATTTAACGCTCATCAGGAATAAACCCACACCCCCACTCACCAGGCCACCATGGTCCCTTGACCAATAGAAATTAAACAGTGTAGTGTGATTGAATTGAAATTCTTTATTACAAAAAAATAATAATAATATTTATATACAATCGACAAATACAAATACGTAATAAATAGTCCCCTGAATCTATCATACATTTCATTTCAATCTCTGTTCAACGGAATCGCACTTGAAAACTCCTAAGCTCTTAAAACTGACATAAAAAATAAAAATATTAATTTAAAGACATTTACAAAACAATTACAATTTATTGTTGTCACTACAAGTTTTACGATTTTTGATGATAAAATAAATGACTAACCTATCAATAAACTACAATGGTGCTATGATAAATAAAACTGGCCCTAATTAATACTATTTCATCAACCTCAACTATAAAGAACCCAAGATTAAAGTACTGAATCTTTCAATTTTAACCAATTCATTAAATTTATAACCTTACAATTTTCATTCTTATCTTTAAATCATCGACATCTTTATTTCACACCCATTTGAATTTCTGTCCTTTGTGGGAACAACTATTACAAATTTTGCTTCTTATTTCTTAACCAGCAGTAGCCAGGCAAAATACGCCCACATTTTGCAAGAGATGGATAGAGAACAAGCTAAACAGAATTGCGCGAATGTCGAAAAGAACTGAAATCTTTGGAATATAAAGATATATGTTTTAAGTTTCATCAAAATCGGACAAAAATTTTGACCTCTAGAGGGTCCACAACCTTTGTTATTACATACTTTTACACAATTTGCGTACAAGGACGGACACATGAAAATGTGGGCGTATAAAAATTGTTTCAATGGCATTTAGTAATTGAACACGAATATACAGGCCCACAATTCTATGGAATACAATTCACTGAATGACATTTCGACTAGGCTTATCATTGCTTGATCAAGACTAGAGAAGCCTAGTAGAAACCTCACTCAGTAATAAGCAGTCATTGTATTCCATAGAATTGTGACATATATATTCCTAATTCTTTTTGAAATTCAAAGATAATTCAAAATTAAAAAGTAATTGTTTGAACTATCCAAAAACTTTAGTTTCAAATTTTTGAAGTTATGAAATATTACCGAAAACATTGTTCCCATGATTCCTGTGGCTGTTTATCCATACCCACAAAGAACAAAAAATTCAATTGGTCTAGCCTTAACCATTCTCGGTATTCCCAGTGGTATCGTTCCGCTTTACTCCACTAACCTCTCGGGGGAGACACATAGTCAAATTATCTACCCTTGATACTTCTATTTTTATCGACCAATCGAGTGGGCAAAGGAAAGTAATTCACATTCTATTGCAACTTAGATTATTGTGGTGAACATAAAAAATGAAGCTAAAACTGTTGATTGGTTCGTAGAATCAAGGGTAGATAATTTGAACTCGTGAAAACCCCGTGGATGGACCGAGTTTAGTGGAGTAGAAATGAACGATACCAATGGGGATCCCGAGAATGGACCTTAACAAGAACAATATTTAACTTCTTAAATCTATTTCCATGGTTACTAATTATCTCTTCTCAGATTTTCTCGCTTTCTCGGATATTCAACAACTTGACCCTCTATTTGATTTGTTCTTACATAATCATGTACATTATAATATTTTCCCTGAAGTCCATTATTCACTGAAATTTGTAGCCTCTGAAACCCAAATATCTTCTTTACAGGAATTAAAATTATCCTTTACGAATCCAAATGTATCCCTGAATAATGCGTTTTGGATTTTAAATAAGATTTATAAAGAGGCAGATTGAAATCCAAAACAAAAGGCACAACAATTTTTAAACTTTCAATACATGTACGAGTCAGGGAGATCAATGGACATTTTGATTAATAACTTCTTCTATGTATTTCAGTGATATGATTTTAAGATCTACGGAAATATTATTCCAAATTATTTACATTTATTTTATTGGTGAGGGCGATAATACCGCTTAAAGAGATACTCCTAAATACCTATGAATGATCGTTATGTTTCATCTTTATCGTAAGCCGATAGGTAAACACACACAAGTTTTCATGGTGTCACGAGGTAGTTCTTCACCTATATTTAGTAACATGTTTATCACCTATTGTTATACAGTAGTGGTAGTCCCAACGTACCAGGCCATTGATATTCAATATAAGAGTGGGACTATAAAAATTATATTCATATTCTGAATGCCTACATTTATCATCCAGTCAGCAGTAACCGAGTAATAGTTTAACAACTGGATAATTATATAATGGTGAACAAAATCCTTTACGCAAGCTTTCACCAAAACAAGGCTAATAACATCACCTACATGCACCGATACAAATTCATAAAATATTTTTTTTTTTTTTTAAATTTTTCAAAAATGACTTTATCTTTGTTGTCGGTATTTTATACATAAACTTTAAATAATTTCTCCTTCTCGCTTTAATATATTTACTTCCTATTTACAATCATTCAAACTAACAACTAACAAAACACTACAGACATAAACATAATATATACATGTTACTACCTGCTACATTACATTATACATATACCCTGGCTTTATTTTGTATAAATCACCATCACTTGTAAAAAAAAAAAAAAAAAAAAAAATATTTGGCAGTTATGTTCAAATTACAAATCTCGCCATCTTTATATATCAAAAAATGTTGTTTAAATTAGTTAACATAAGTTTTTAAGAAATGATCGTGAAAAATACCTTACTATAGTAGTACATATAGAGCTTGATTATACTTTCAAAATACCTCTTGAGGACTTGGAGCACCTATATCAACTGATCCCTGCCTGGGTCTTGCATCCAAGAACTATTATACGGTCCTAAAATATGTAGACCTAGTCACATGAGTTTAAGGCGGTCTAGGGAGTTCTGTATCTATCCTCAAAGGCCTGGGACATTATACACGAGGACTTTTCATTTAATTATAAAAATACAGCAATTTCATTGGCTGAATGTTAAAATAATAGGACAGATTGTAGCTTTAAGCCAATGAAAGGGATGTATTTTATTAAAAAAAAATAAAAAAATTCAAATCTTCATGAATAAGGCCTGTTCACATCCAGGACAATTCAAAAGTGTAATAGAGCTCTATCTTTGACATTTTGCTTTTTTCAACGATGAATTAAAGATGCATTATGCAAGAGCTAAATCTGCCTATTGCAGGTCTTTCTTTAGGCCTTAAATGTTATATAAATTATTAATTAGTCAGTTCAAGACATTCCCAGTTTTACTATCTAGTTTATTTTAGCTATTATAGCGAGAACTGCTAGTTCTTTATCTAAATCTTACATAATGCATCTGTAAGCTGTGAAACATTAGATATTATACGAAAAATGCAAATGACGATCAGCAGCCTAAACTTTACAAGAAGCTAAGCTATCACTATGTAATACATAAGAAAATAAGTTAAAGATGCATTATGTAAGAGCTAAATCTGCCTATTACAGGTCTATATTTTGGCTTCAAATTTTTATAAATTATTATCTAAACATGCCCATAAAGAATTCTCTAGGCCTTCGGATGGCTCTGATTTTAAGTAGATTAGAATGTTTTGGCCATTTAATGATTTTATCTAAAAATGGAGAATCTTACGTAATGCATCTTTAACTTGGTGAATTAAATATAGATTATAATGTAAACACATCGATTTGATATATAAAGACAACAATAGATTTGTAATTCATTATTGATTTAACTTACTACATCTAAATTCTCTTATAATAATATTCATTTCCAATTTCATACGACAATACATACATGTTAATAAACACAAGTTTAGTACACAAATGTTGATTGTAGCCTTTAAACACAAAAACTAGTCTCTTGGCCAAAGAGAGAGAAATGGGGTTTAACGTCCACTCGACACAAACCAGGTCATGTCGGGACTAACATGTGGTGAGGAAACAAGAGGACCCAGAGAAAACCCACAAGGTTGACAGGCAATCCTACTCCCGTCTTCTGGCCAAAGATTGTGTCATCTGAGTACAAAACCCCCCCAAAATATTGGTCGGTGAATGGCAAAGGAAAGAAAATAAGTTTCCTCTCAAGACAATAAAAATTATCAACCACCGATATTTATAGCCTGTATGTCCAAATGATGAAGTCACATGACTCGCTAGTTTTCATCTATATTTAGCTTTTTGAATAAATTTGTCGCCTAAGTGTGATGATAAATACAGCCAAAAACAAAATAATTCAAAGACCAGTTTTTGCTCTTCAAAGACGACAATCGACCTGTGACACCTATTTCAATTTTAAAAATTTTATATCTGATATTTTTGGTGTTTTCATGAATGATAAACTTTTAAAAAAACCATCCTGAAACTTTTTCTTTTTCTTAAAATTCTTGTCAGAAAGTGTAAAATAAATAATGTCTAATTTCATAATATAACTTTTTATATCAAAAGATGTAAATACGGCTTGTGTTGAAATATGGAATGGGTTTTAAAATATAAAATCACCATGGCTGTGCTGTGTAATTATGAATAATAAACAACTACATTGTTTTTGTTGTACTGGTAAGTTAATTTTAGGGGTTAACTATTCGCTTTCAACCTCAGGAGCTGTTCCAACCTGGGAGGAAATCATCTATATTTATTAAGTTGTTTACGTCACTAATTGAATTTTTTGGGGTGTCTTACAAACAAAATACAATTTTTTCATCTTATTTTGCAATTCTATTGGGAGGAAAAATCCATGTGTTTTGTTGTCATTTCCACCCTGCTCCCAAGCATTTTTAAGGCGAACAGCTCTGATACAGATTCTTTGGTTATTATTAAAGAAGAATTCTTGGTCTGGACCTCACCAGCCTAAAATGTTTCCACATTTCAACTGCAATAAAAATTGGTCTGGACAAAAAAGTGTCAAAGATCATAGAAAGATTACCATAAAGGAACATTGTTCATTTCGAGACTAATATGTGGTAATTTTTATGTCAATAGATATGTGTGCAATGTGAGAGACAACAACTGTTCCTATCAGAACTCATGTAAATTGTATACACGAACAAACAGATACCACACAATTGAGGCTATTTTGTCCACACTCATAATCGTGGAAGTAAATGTGGAGACAAGTCGGGCTGGAGCAATCAAGACTAAATAAATTTCTGTTATCTCAATAGACTTGTGAAAAACTACCGTTTTAAAACACAATAATAAAAAAACCTAATAACATGAACCCCCCTATCCCCAGAAATTTTATACTAATGAGATTTCTGTTTTGTGTACCACGTGACTTTTTCCTCCATTTCCTGAAAAAAAATTAAAAAATAGAGTTAAATGAAAAGAAATTGATGAGGAGTTCATATGGTTGGTAACATGTCAAACATGGGTCAGTGACATGGTCGGTAACATGGCAATCATGGTCGGTAACATGTCAAAAATGGTCAGTGACATGGTCGGTAACATGGCAATCATGGTCGGTAACATGTCCATCATGGTCAGTGACATGTCAATCATAGTTGGTAACGTGTCAATCATGGTCAGTGACATGCCAATCATGGTTGGTAACATCCAATCATGGTCAGTGAAATGTCATTCATGGTTGGTAACATCCAATCATGGTCGGAAACATGTCAATCATGGTCGGAAACATGTGAATAAATGACGAAAACATGTCAATCATGGTCGGAAACATGTGAATAAATGACGGTAACATGCTAATCATGGTCAGTAACACACCAATATATCCAGTAACATGTCAATCATGGTCGGCAACATGTCAATCATGGTCGGTAACGTGTCAATCATGGTCGGTAACATGTCTGAAAAAATCATGATGATTTTAGTCTTACCTTTATGAGGGGAATTTTATCATAAGATTTTCGATGTCTGTAGATACACTGACTAAGTATACTGTACATTTTTTCTAAACGTTCAATATTATTTCCACTAGTTGCCATGACAACTGTCTCAAGAAGACGAGATAGCCGATGTTTATCTGTGGTAACAGAAGGAACTTTATGTGATGAGTCATGTGACGGTGTGGATTTTCTAGCAGATGATTTGTTGCGACTTTTTTCTTCTGAAAAATGAAAGAACATTATTCACTGTACATGTAAATGAAGTACAAACAACTTTTCTGCACCAAATAGGCTAATGAAGACAGACATACACCATGTAGTGTGCTATGGGGTGAATTTTGACCAGGCAGTGGCATTTAGGATTCTTTTACATGGCTGCCACCGTGTACACAGGTTCTTGAGATATACAAAATGAAATGAAATGAAATGGGGTTTAACGTCCTACTGTTCTGATCCTATACTGGGCTAATGAAGACAGGCATACGCCATACAGTGTGCTATGAGGGAAATTTACGTGCATTGCAATGTATACATGGGACCTCGGTTTTTCATATATCATCCGAAGGACTAGACAGCTGTCCTTGTCAGGCCCTCCGTCGTGCATCACTGACAAAGAGGAACCTCGCCGGAAAATCTGGATGAACTTTCTCGGCCAATGCAGGGATCGAACACCCAAGCTCCAGGCTAGCAAGCCAGCGTCTTACCCACTTACCCACGTGATCCCCTGAGATATACAAACCATGTATTAATTTCAAACAGATATATGGCTATTTGTAGCCTGGATCGTGCAATCAAGAATTTTAAACAACTGACCGAAAAACAGGTGGATGCTGCACAGGAAATGATATGGGTTTTAACGCCCTACTGGGCTAATAAAGACGGGCATATGCAATACCATTTTCTACGAGGGAAATTTTGCCAAGACAGCAGCACTACGGCCTACTCTTATATCGAATTCCAACTACCAAGGGTTCTTTTACGTCCATGCCATCTGAACTACTTTACGTCCTACACCACTTGACAAGTTAGCGAGCTATCATCTTACTCACGGAGCCACCGTGGCTTCCAGAACACAAGACTTTGTTCTTGATTTCAATGAGATATACAACCCATATCAATTACAAGATATATGATAGCTATATTCTCTATTGTATGATCAAGTTATATAAACAACAAACAGATGGATGGATGGGGGGGGGGGGGGAGAGAGAGAGAGAGAGATGGGTTTAACATCCACTCGACACAAACTAGGTCATTTCGGGACTAACACATTGTTCAATTTTATTTTAATAATTTGCTTGTGAGGAAACCGGAGAAACCCAGCAGGTTGGACGTCAAAACTGCTCCTTGTCACGTATAGATGGAGTGACGGCAATGTACAGGTATATTACTTACCTTCAGTTACGTGGGGTAAATCTTCTCCATTTACCTGTAATAAAAATATATCATAATAAATTAATCTGTTCAAGATTTATGTATACTGAATATTTGAACAGGTTTCTATGGAAACATTAGTTTTCTAATGATACTCTACTATAATAATTTGATTGACATGTCTTTTTATTCTTCACAGACGGACAGAATTTTCCACAATGATGTGACCTTCTGATTCAGGCCAGTGAAAAGAGAATATTTTTCTCAGCTTTGACATGCAAAAACGTAATACAAAATTAACCAAAGGCTCAATTTCAACTAATGTAATCAATACTGATAAAAGTTCACCGGAACCAACCAATGAACCAACGGACATGCGGGGGTGACAACAATATATGGTCATGGGTATATGTATATATGTATATTAGTTGTAATCAAAACCAAAACACTAAATAAATCTGCTGGAATTTAAATATTTGTTTAAGCAGTAAACTAACCCTATGGTCGACACTGTCTCTAGAGTCTCCATTACTATCTAAAGATGATCCCAGTCCGCTATCCTGTACGACAGGAACATCAACAGTCTTAACCTCTTTAACCTCTTCGCCATAACTCTTACTGGCAATTTCCTCCTCCCTATCCGATAACATTCCAAAATCTGAATCATCATCCATGTCTGTATCCAAACCGGATCTTGCGTCAGAATCACGATCATAAACAGCGGCCACAGATTTCGGTCTACGACGTCTCTTCGTACTCGACCAGATACACTTTTTAGCCTTTTTCTTTGGTCGAACCGACGATGATTCGCTCCGCACCTTTTTAGCAGAATTGTCCCGTGAACGACTAGAATGTTCATGTTGAACTATTTGCACTGATCGTCTTTTTTCCGATTGTTCCATTTTATCGGGACTATTTTTTGATAAACGTTTTTCCACCTGCCAGTTTTTCTCGACCATCTCCAAGGGAACGGTTGTATCAACATGGATGCCACGAACCCTGCGACTAAATCTCTCTGTACTAGGAATAGGTGGCGGGGTGGGTTTCGGAGGTTGAATTGGAGTAATACGACTGGGAACAGGTGGAGCTGTGTAGTAAAAATCTGGCACATCTCTGGATTTAAGACCTGAAAATATAACAAACAAAAATTAAAAGTCGACCCACAGTTAAAATTTCTTGGCTGATTTTACTACCTATAAACACATTTTAAAGGTTGATATTGTTCAACCATTATTTTAAAACATTTTTCTCAGAATTTTTTCGTTTTCATGATTTGGGGTATTTTGGTTCTAGTAATGAAAGGAACCAAGCACCTCTGATTTAATCGAGTCATACATGATGTAATTAGATAACACACTACTTTCATTCCATTGGGTCCATTTTGTAAAAGGTTTTCAACTCTGGCAATGACTAAGATCGAAGATATAGATATATTCATGTTTAGTGTATCGAAGTGATAGTAATGCTAGTTTAAGCAAGGTCAACATCGTCATCAGGCTACTTAATAATTTCTTGCCGGCCAGCCATTGTAAATGTTAGGTTAATTTTTATCAATCATGTGCATCTACTAATATCTTTTAGCATTGTTAACACATCATCGTCTGTTCTCTTCTACTGTGAATAAGTTCAAATGAAATGGGGTTTAACATCCCACTGTTCTGCTCCGACTGAGCTAATGAAGATGGACATACACCACACAATGTGTTATGAGGGAAATTTTGTCTGGCCTACTCTTGTTTTGATTCCATCTGTCATGGGTTCTTTTACATGCATGCCAATGTATACATAGGACCTTGGTTTTGCGTCCCATTCGACTGACTAAACATAGTCCTTTGCCAGGCCCTCTGACGTACACCACTGAGAAAGGGGAACCATGCCGTAAAATTCCACTGAACTTTCTCAGCCAAGACTGAATAAGTTGAAGCACTCAGAAATAAGCTCAAGGTTTTATCCTCAACTGAGTTTAGGAGTTGGATCTCAATTTTCATCACAGTGCATTTGAAAGCAGGGATCTTAACTAGTGCTGGCACGATATATTGTTGAATCGATACTTGATTTGCGTATTGAATCAATCGATTTGTCGCTTCAGTAACTTACCTGTCACTCTTAATTAAACACCCTTAAATTGTTTGGTCCTTATTTTGATCAATATGAATATTGTGATATAAAACAGATTTATTTCTTTAACTTTGGCAGGACTAAAAAGTTTCAACATAAAAATATCAATTAGTCATTTATCCTGTTATTATCTTGGTAAATATCCACCTGGTTATGAATGATACGAATCGTATTGTAGCACCTGAATTGCAATACGTATCATATCTTGACTGCAGTCATAATACCCAGCAATAATGTTAAAGTATGAAATTTAAGGTCCACTCGACATAAACTAGGTCATTTCGGGACTAACATATGGTTCAATTTTATTTCAATAATTCGCTTGCACGTAGAGGTCTTTAGCAGTGGGAGGTAACCGGAGGACCCAGAGAAAACTCAAAAGGTTGGACAGGCAACCCTACTCCTTGTCACTACAACCGGGGAATTGAATGACAGACCTTATGATATAGCTAGCACGCGCTAACCATTCGGACATCCACCCCCCCCCCCCAATTTAACTCAGATAAAGAGAAATAAAACCATACCTCTTCTTTCTCTCGCCTCTTTTATTTCCTGACATTGTTTTTCAAAATCTGAGTTGAGTTCTGCTTTAATAATAGCATAAGCTGTATCTTTGAAGGCACATGCTCGGTGTCTGATAGCTCGACCTGTAAATTAAAACAATATCATAATAAAACCTTCAATATCCGCTGATTTTCCATCTTCATTAGCCCAGTCGGAGCAGAACATTTCCTTTCAATATCCTCAAAGGTATAATCTGCCAGCCTGACATGACAGTTTAGGAACCTGATATTACATTCAATTGTATTTCAATAGCAATAATTAATTATATGATTAAAAATAAAACATACACACAGACAGGGGTGACAGCAATATACATTCATAATGTGGACGTATAAAAGGTAATTGTACAATCTGATTAAAATACAGATCTATATTTCGTTTCACTTTTTTTTATACTTTCGATGGCCTTCAATATACTGGAAGGTCTAGTCAGAGGTCATACAAGCAGCTATGACGTCAGACATTTCATTAACCATTTCATTAACCAATGAGTGTTGATGTTTCTAGTGAGCTACCCACAGTTCTGTGCATGGCACGCCAAAAACTCACCGTAACAGACCGTTTCATTGGCTATTCCCTCACATCATCCAGAACGCAGGTCATATAACAACTCTTCTAAATACTAGTGTAGTAAAGACAAGTAAAACGAAATTTTGAACTATGAAAAACGGAATGAAATTAGATCTGTGTTTTAATGAGATTGGTAATTGTAATATTTAAACTGTACCTTGTGGATCTTTGGCTGGATTATATTCTAGAGCATTACGACAAATGAGATCAATATCGGACATAAAACTTTTAACAGTGAGATATTCATGGAGATCAATTTTAGTCATCATGGTTGACATGTCCATTGGTTGTTTTATAATCACCAGATAGTCCGGCACCTGAAACAAATAAAACAACAACATCAAGTCTGTGTGTAAACATTGGTTGTTTTATAATCACCAGATAGTCAGGTACCTAAAACAAATAAAACAACAACATCAAGTCTATGTGTAAACTAGTATTTTGACTCGGGTGGTAGAGTTGGTCTACAGAGCATTAGTTTCAATCAGTTTGGGAAAATGATCTGCATGTATCCATGATCAGCTCGTCCATTTTATTTTATTAAGAAAAGATTTAAAACTTTGTACAAACTTTTACAATTTATGTAACAAATGAAATATATATTTTTAAATATGAAACAAATGGGACAGACAGTGGGTCAGGTCCATAATATAGCTGAGCATAATCCACAGGGATTTGTGATGGCTTTGGGTCATGGGTCAGCCAATTGATGGGATTTTGCCCGTATATTCCGGACTTGTCTGAATCTTTTTTCCAAACGCCCAAAATTGTCCGACCGGGAATATGCCCAATCGGACATCAAGACATGGTGAATAATATTCAAAATTCCGAAATTAATATAGTTTACTGAGTGTATAACTACCACTCAACCAGATTATCGTCGATAATACTCTGGATTGATTAGGTAATTAAGTGATCAACGTATTTATCGTGTCATACCGTCTACAAACCTACCTTGAATAACTACTTTAACTTAATCTGACTTGATTGACTGACTTAATCCTTTGTCGGACAATTCATCAATCTAATCTCAAACAGAAGCCATTGTTTCCCCTTTGTCGAACTATTCATCAATCCATTATAATTTTAATATTCGTGTTAACCTCATGGTTTCTACATTGTCGGACATTTTAATCGCATTGATGTGAGCTGACAATATGTATAAACTAGTCATAGAAGTCACATATTGCAAGAATATATAACGCCCAGATCAATTGACAGTCATTATAATTCGTCTGCGATATCACTTTGGTGGAAGCGAGCGTTAAATAAAGCTATTTCACACACACACATATTCGAAAAATACTAGACATTGCTAGCACGCGGTTACAGCACTCGGAAAACCTCGGCAGATTCTGTTACTCTACATCTAGCTTAGGCTGTATGACGGTAAGTGATATGTACCTACGAACTTGCCGGTTTTAGAAAGAAGTTATCAAAATTGCGTCGTTCGAAGCGTGTTTAGAATTTTCAGAGCAAAGTTGTCCTTGTTTGAAGAAAATCTGATTAAACTTGAAAGAAAAACAGCTTCAGACGGTTAAAGTACGATAACTGAACCGGTATTAGAAATCTCGTGAGACGCGTGAAATTATGAAATGAATACGTGACTAAATACACGTTTATAATGTCGAAGAAAAGATTCTATTTTGATGGCATATTCTCGGATTTATGATCATATTTTGAATGGGGTTTATGTTTTTAAATAAAGAAATAAGTAATCTAGGCAATGTTGACAAATTATGTCCATTGGAATAGTGTAAGTACTTAATTGTTTTAGACGATAGCGCGTGCTAGATACAATGCGATTATTTAGCGGATGGTGTCATTCGCTCGTTGTTGTAGAGCGACGTTTATTACCCAAAAAAATTTCGGGATATCATTTTCTTACCCTCTGTACATAAGTCGTAACGGAGTATAAGACAAATGCCGGACTTCTGCTGAAAAATGTAGCGACTTATGACTCGAAAAATACGGTAATTTTGGAGGAATTTGAACCAGTACAGATCGGCAGTAGTCGGCACGCTTTCATTCTATCATATTACGAATTTTGTAGGAATGTTACTGACATAAATTTGAATCCCGTACGGGAATTAAATATGAAAAATAACTAGGTGCACCTATTTTTTTTATTACGGACGAATTTGAATATTTTGTTTACACATGATTTTTGAGTGTGGTCAAAAAACTGCCATCTTAATAAACGATAAGAGTTATGTCCCTTTATTTTGGGTAAAAATGTCTGACAAGAAAAATTTTGAAATCCCATAACTGGGTCAGACCTTAAATTCTTTCAATCTTTTTAAGTGTTTAAATATACCCTACCTCTTCAAGATCCACTGGTTTAGTAAACATACTAAACTTTCTATCTCGTCCTAATTTAGTGAGAACGTCTCGTAAAAATATTCTCAGTTCTCGTAAAGTGGCATCTTCCTGGTTTTTTAATTTTTTCAACTCCGCTTCCGTTAATTTTCTTGGTTTTGGAGGTGGGGCTACAGGTAAAACTTCTAATGCACGTCGAGCTAAAATAGTAAAAAACATGACATTTAATCTTCTAGTGTCATTTCAAAGACAACCATAACACTTCAAATTAGTTATTTACATGATATATGAAATGAAGCCTTTAGAGTTGGAATTTGAACAAGATACGGCAGAAATGCCGCTATCCAGGCAAACTTTCCCCTCATAGCATTCTCAAACTTAAGAACTTACTCAAAATTGTTTGTCTTATTTTAGCTAAAATATAGACCTTTATAAAACTTTTGTTGTTTTAATGTATCAAATACACCAATGAGAAACTATGTGCTAAGTTTTCAGTTTCTGGATCAAAGATATTTCTCATAAACAGTGATTGAAAGTTGTGTAAATTCTTAAATTAAGTTTGAGAATGCTTTGTGAACTCGGGGCCATCTAATAAAGGTAAAATATTACAGGTATGTGTGATTACCTGCAGCCGAATGTTTTGAGGATACAGGTTTCGCTGATTGATTTATAACTAAGTCCTGGTAATATTCTCGCCTCTCCTCTGTCGTAGGGTTGGTCATTTGTATAACTTCCTGAGATCTTAGATCAAATAATCCCTGAAGCTGAAAATAAAAACAAAATTTAACTTATAAATTTATCAGAGTATACCCTATATATCCATGTATCTGTGTATTTGTTTATTTTCTCAGTATCTGACTCAAAGCCAAAGGTTTTATGATTCACAAAAATTTTCACTAAAATATTTTAAGAATTGTGGCCTTTCATTGGTCAGGAGTGAACATCTAGACTAGGATATTGAGTCTCAACCAATGAAAAGGCTGCATCCCTTGTCATCCTATTTTTTTTTTAACCGACTAATAGAATAAGATGGACTTAATCATACTGTTAAGTCCAGTGTGTTGTAAGAATACAAGTATAAGATGGACTTACTCATACTGTTAAGTCTAGTGAGTTGTAAGAATGCTTGTATAAGATGGACTTATTGTTAAGTCTAGTGAGTTGTATGAATACTAGAATACGATGGATTTACTATTAAGTCTAGTGAGTTGTAAGAATACAAGTATAAGATGGACTTACTTGTACTGTTAAGTCTAGTGAGTTGTAAGAATACTAGTATAAGATAGACTTACTGTTGAGTCTAGTGAGTTATAAGAAACTTCACATGTAGCTAACATTAATAGTGGTGATGATGGTGACAGGTTCTGTACTAATGTTAAAAACGTGGCGCGTAGAGTTTCACCTATAACATCCCACCATTTGTTGATAAAAGGTAAATATATTATACTAGGTGCTGTTCTACGAGCTTCACAAAATACCTATAAATATAGAAACATCAACTATTAGGGAATTTTTCACACGCTTTCAATGGTAAACTTAATTTACACGATATAACCAATCCATGTCTTCGAATTCAATTTCTGCAAAAGCTTGGGTAAATAAAATTGACTTATTTTTAAGAAACCAAGGTCCTGAAATCTCTGGAAGGTCTACAAATATCTATTTATTTGATAGTGAAAGTGATGATCATACCTGAGCACAAGATTCTTCGGGTGTTTTAGCACTAACAGCATATAAAGTTGGAAGATCAATGACATGGACTGGTAGTTGTTCCATATGATGTAATATAGCTGGTCCAAGGTGACTTGTCTGACCTTGACCTGCTGACCCTGATATTAATAATCGTGGTCGGAATGTTGTTGGTCGTTGATATGCTGAACTGAAAATAAAGTGGAATGGAGTACAATGAGATTTTAACGTCTCGTTATTACAATATTTTGGTTATCTTCAGACTAACACAGAAATTTTCATTTCTATATTTATGTGTGGCTAAATCTATTTGTTAAGGCCAACTCAATTTTCGTCAAGGTCGATGAGATGTAAATAAGGTTAGGGCACGTGATTGTTGGCAAGATTGTAGGTTAGGGTAAGCGTCCAGGGCTAGGGTTAGGATTATTTGGGTTAATTTGTTCCATCCGAACAACTAGACACACCTGGGAAAGTTAAGGTACCCAGGTAATTCTAGTTGGGAATTTAGTGTGCTGATCGTTCAACTATCGGATAACTGATGTCTAATGAGCTGATAGCCAATATATTTCTGAAATAAAATGGGGTTTAAACGTCCCACTTTTCTGCACCAACTGGGCTAATGAAGATGGGAAATTAAATTTGAAAGTGGTTATAGAGAAAGAGAGAAATGGGGTTTAAAGTCCACTCGACACAAACTATGTCATTTCAATTTTATTTCAATAATTCACTTAAGTGAAGGAGTCTTTAGTAGTGGGAGGAAACCGGAGGACCCGAAGAAAACCCTTGAGGATGGACAGGCCAACCTACTCCTTGTCACCTACAACCTGGGAATCGAAAACACGCCAGTTGACTCAATGACAGACCTTATGATCAAGTTTTGTAAAAACTTTAAATTGTCCACATTGAATAGATGCTTTAAATTCTGAAATGATAACACAAATTATTTTAAATATAGAAGCTAAATAATTGTTTACTTTGAGAATGAGAGGAAGGAGGGAGGTAGATTATTGTCGTGTCTATGGTTACCACGGTTACTCTTCTCGTAAATACTTGGTTCATCTTTATCTTCGTCACTATACAGATCATCCAGACCGTTATCACCATCACCTGGATTTTTATCTGCAAAAATATAACGTACGTTATTACACTAATCAAATTTCATTCTAAAACCAGAAACAAAATTATATCAAAGCTGATCAACATAGTAGCAGCAATCTACGATTCTACAGAACACGTTTCTACACTTCATTTGTTTGAAAACATGGACGACCATATTATGCAATCAGGAACTGAATATCATGGCATCATCAGAGTCCTCTTAAATTGTCATATCAAAAAGCTTACACAATCAATTGATCTGCAATTGTCCAAAGAACAAGTATGTATGCAAAGTTCATGTTGATTGTACTCGAATCAGCTTTGCCCAAAGAGCAAGTAGATAACCAAGTTAAACATGCATTATGCAAGAGCAAAATCTGCTTATTACAAGTCTTTCTTTAGGCCTGAAATGTTATCTAAATTATCAATTAGACATTAATTAACTTATCCAGACCATAATAAACTCTCGATGTCAAGGCTAGCCTTCGATGTTGGCTGGATTAGATTCCTAAATGCCGCTAACGGCCATTGATAATTAAATAAAAAAAAGTGGATAATCGAGACTATACTGTTTATATTAATGATTTTAGTAATGATGACCGAGACTTTGCAAAAATTTCACCCGCTTCTTTCTCGGCTCATAGTGGATCAATTTGACTGAAATTTTCAGCAAATTACCTTTACACTATCTAGTTTTTAACTATTATAGCGAGAACTGCCATCTCTTTATCTTATCTCCCATAATGTATCTTTAATGGATCAGTTCCCAGTTTCAAGAAATAATATATCTTGAACGGTTTAAGAGATATACAGAAGATGGACAGAGTCTGTTTATATATCCCTACTTTATCTTTTATCAGCGCAAATAAAAAGAGAAGTTGTCTTAATACCTGACTGATATGGAGAAAGACAATTTGATTAAAATACAGATCTATATTTCGTTTCATTTTTTTTATACTTTCGATGGCCTACACTACATCAAGATCTGACCGGTTGTAGTAAAAGGTTGCGTCAGAGGTTGTACAAACGGCTTTTGACCCTATGACATCAGACATTGATTAATCAATCAGTGTTGACGTTTCTAGAGGTTTACCCACAGTTCCGTGCATCGCTTGCCAAGAAGTCGCTGTAACAGATGGTTTCATTGGGTAATCCCTCACGCCATCCAAAACGCAGGTTATATACACGTAACAACACTTCCAGATCCTAGTGTAGTACAGACAAAACAAAATTTTGAAATATAAAAACGAAACGAAATAGGATCCGAGTTTTAATCAGATTGGGAAAAAGACGGTTGTGTAATACTTTACTCACTTGGTGCATCTAGAGATGACATTTGAGCGAGAACAGAAGGAAAGGTTTCCTGTAACATTCTCAGTGTCTGATCAAACAAACGTTTTAATAGAGGTCGGATAACCGTGGACAGACAGCGACCCGGAGAGGCAATTGAACGTTGAGCAGTTGGTACAATAGTCTGCATAGCTTTATAAAAGTCTTTAGCTGCCAGATTAATTGACTGGACATCCAGCTGTAATTTCTCGGATGACGCGTAGATCTGTGGATATCGTCGACGTAGTGCCATTAATGTTGCTTCTGTACATAATGCCTTCATGTCAGCTCCACAATATCCTAGAAGAACAAGGTTAAAATATAATGTTACATTTTTTGTTAGTGAAACTGCTTATGGCAAAAGAAGGTGATAAACCTAACGTTACTTGTGAAGAGAGAGAGAGAGAGAGAGAGAGAGAGAGAGAGAGAGAGGAGAGAGAGAGAGTATTGGGGTTTAAGGTCCACAGGACAAAAACTAGGTCATTTCGGACTAATATAAGGTTTAATTTTAATTTAAATAATTTGCTTGCGCGTAGGGTTCTTTAGCATAGGGAGGAAACGGGAGGACCCTACTCTTTGTCACGCACATGCAGGAAATCAAAACCATCTCACTTGACTCAATGACAGGTCTACCTTATGATGCAACGCGCACGCGTTAACCATTCGGCAACCCATTCCACTGTTACTTATAGACACATGTTTAAAGGTGTGGCTATAGTAGAGAGCTGTGGTGAGTAAGTTGCTGGCTGACTAACAAGGACATCCCGGGTCCAATCCCTGTGTTATCACTGATTTAATTTCAGTGAATCACTCATCTGTGAAGATAACACACAAAGAAATTCCTATTGAAAGTAAAACATATTAATTTCTTGCATGTATTAATATTTTATTTGTTAAATCTATATTGAGAAGTAGTTTACATATGGATTATTTACCAACACACTTCTCTCCTAACTCCGATATAAATTCTCCAGATAATCTGGGTGTCCAGCCTTTTGTGTGAATTTTCAGGATCTGTGTTCTTGCCTGTACGAATAAAACGTTTTAGTTAATTAATAAAAATATAAAAGATTGATTAATAAAGAATGTATAATAAATAATGCAATCTGATTAACACACAGATCCTATTTCGTTTTGTTTTTATAGTTCAAAATTTCATTTTACTTATCTTTACTACACTAGGATCTAAAAAAATTGTTATATAACCTGCATTCTGGTTGATGTGAGGGATTAGCCAATGAAACGATCTGTTACGGAACTGTGGGTAACCCACTAGAAACATCAACACTGATTGGTTAATCAAATGTCTGATGTCATAGGGGCAAAAGCCGCTCATATGACCCCTGATGTGACCTCCCACTACAAGTGGTCAGATCTTCATGCAGTAGAGGCCATTGAAAGTTTAAAAAAAACAAAACAAAATATAGATCTGTATTTTAATAAGACTGAGAAATATTGATTTGTATGTATAATGATGTAAACATTCGTTTTTCGTGGGCTTCCAAATTGACCGACTCTGCCATTTTGAACTCAGACTCTGGAAAGTGACATATCAGTGAACAGGAGCCATTAGAGGCTGGATTATACCGTCTATAGTTCATTAGTGCCTGACATTAATCATTATTTCCATTCCTGTATAACCAAATCAACGACACCATTATTGTTCAAACCCAACAAACTTATACAGACTACATTGTAACAGCACTTACTGATAAAGATGGCAAAGGAAACAAAAACTCTCTATCAAATCTTCCTGGACGTCTTAGGGCTGGATCAATTGAGTCTATTCTATTAGTAGCCCCAATAACAACTACTTCTCCTCTGTTATCCAGACCGTCCATCAAAGCTAAAAGTGTTGAAACGATCGAGCTGTGAATCTGATCCTGTCGACTTGACCTTACTGGTGCCAATCCGTCAATTTCATCAAAAAATATAATAGAAGGCCTTGCCTGATATGCCTGTAAAATACAAATAAAAATATAATAGATGGCCTTGGTTGGTATGCCTCTAAAATATAAATAACATGTGGTATTAGATTTGATAACAATGTTATATTTTATTCTATTATCATTTAATGTGCACACTTCATTGGCCTCTTGTTAATTCCCCTATTTATGCGACTATGTGACAAACACGAAGATTGTCTACGTTATCACCCTTGGTGGAAGAGGAAGTATAACTCCAGAAACAAACGAACGAACGAAAACCCAAAGATTTCCACAGGCTACTTAGCCTCATGACCAACATGACCTAAATGGAGATCTCAGTTAAATGAAAATGTTAAACGCCATTCCTATTCATCATGCTTACCTGATCAAACAGAAGTCGTAACTGTCTCTCCGATTCTCCAACCCATTTACTCAAACAATCAGCACCCTTTCTCATGAAGAACGCTACTCTTTTATCTCCGTGGCTACATTCATTAGCTAGAGCCCTAGCTACCAGAGTTTTACCAGTTCCAGGTGGACCGTAGAAAATACATCCCCTCGGTGGTGTGATCTTAAATCTTTCAAATATTTCTGGATATAAAAGTGGAAAGACGACCATTTCTTTCAGGGCTCGGACATGTTTGTCTAATCCACCAACACTTTCAAATGTTATCTATAAAAAAAAAAGAGATGAGATTTATACTTTATTATGTTATGTTAAAGTTGCTTAAAGGGCCATTATGCAAGACTAGATAAAGAGCTGGCAGTTCTCACTATAATAGTTAAAAAATAGATAATGTAAAGGGAATATGCTGAAAATTTCAGTCAAATTGCTCCACTCTGAACCGAGATATTAGCATTTGAATTTTAGGTCTAGCCTTGATCATCATTACTAAAGTCAGTACAATGAAAAACATAGTCTTGATTATCCATTTTTGGATTAAATCATCAATGAACGTTGTGCAGCAAATCGGATTCAAATCCAGAGAAAATCTGACACATAAGATGGCATTAAGAGTTGATTAAGGTCTTTTCTTCATGTTAATAAATGTCTAATTAATAGTTTATATAACATTTCAGGTCTAAAGAAAGACCTGCAATAGGCAGATTTAGTTCTTGTATAATGTATGTTTAATATAGGTTTAAAGATGGGTTTCAAGAAAAGTATTTATCGGGTGGTTATTTCCAATAAAAGTATGGCAATTTTGGTATATATGGAAAGTAGAGGTATCCAATCTTACCAGAAAAATACTGGAGTCCCCGAAAAACACTAATGGAGCGTATACAGGACAAAAATGTAAGGGTTCCCCTAATCAACAGCCCGACGATTAAGAATTTCTGCTCGCATGATGTCAAAGGTCACACGCGAACATTGAGCGCTTGATGTACAAGTTGATAAACTTTATGAAGAGTTAGACGTACAACACTTTCTGAGATAAAAATGACGGAAAAGACGCGGGTAGTGGATAACCCAAGAATTTAATTAGGATTAGATATTTGTAATAAATAGTAAGCGATTAAAGACAACATCGTCTTATGTATGCAATGAATTCTCCTCTGATTTCCAAGACGTGATGTAAACATGACCTGGTTTGATCAAATTTTAATAGCAGGGCATTCCTTCGCAATTACAATGTTTAAGAAGGATTTGAAGCATAATTATGACAAATTAATTAGTTTGAATATGTTTTTAGTCCATATATACCATTAAATCACCCAGTTTATACGCGGGAACCCATCTTTAAATACAGAATAGATGTATCATAAATTCAATTAACGGTACAAGAACTTTGATAATTTTACATTATCTATAGAGGATGCGGCCATGTGAATATTCATAGAAATGATGTAACCACACTTGCATGTATATGTATATTGAAATACATAATAGAAAATTTAGTCTTAGAAAAAATATAAAATCATTATTAACTTACGGATCTATCCACTTCCATTGGGTCAATATCAGCCAAGCTAGCGCCGATCTTAGCTCTATCCTTTAGTATCCCAGTATTCATATCTTCCTTTGTTAAATTAAATGGCAAGCATCGATTTCTTGATTTCATCATACTCTTGGCTTTACGTCTCTGGAATCTTTCTTCATCGCTAGAGTTGCTGCCTGTGTCAGATGATGAGCTTGTGCTGGAGCTGCCATGGAATGCTGCACGCTTCCTAGAACAGTTTTCATTGGCGTTGCTTTCATACGATCGAATTTTTCGAGGCCACCTAAAAAAAAGATTCCTGTTCCTACGCACCTAGCTTTTCCTACCTTACCACTAATCATTTTTTATTTTCAAAATCTCATTTATGGTAATATTCCAGAACATGTACCTCCGTGAGTTTCTGAGTTTTAACTGCAAGCAAGTGAAATCCAAAGCCAGTGAGTTAACGACATTAGGACATCATCAAGACTCTTTCTTTACAAATATCAGAAATGAATGCCAGTCAAAAATACACAGTAAAAGAGAGGGAGAGAGAAATGGGGTTTAACGGCAGCTTGACACAAACCAGGTCATTTTGGGACTAACATATGGTTTAAATTTATTTCAATAATTCGCTTGCGCATAGGGGTCTTTAGCAGTGGGAGGAAACCGGAGGACCTAGAGAAAACCCATGAGGTTGAACATGCGACCCTACTCCTTGTCACGTACAACCGAGGATTCAAAACCACGCCAGTTGACACAATGACAGGCCTTACGATATAGCGCGCACGTGGTAACCATTCGGCCATCCAACCCCCCAAAAATAACCAGTAAACTACTGAAATTAAAACAATAAACTATAATGCATACTTATAGAAGAACACTTACTGATGTATTTAGGCGACGTTTCTAAGAGTTTTCTCTCAACGTTTTCAAGCAAGTATGTGTTATAGTTTATTGCTCTATCCAGTTACTAAATGCCTCTAAAAGATCAGAATTATAACAAATTTGACCAACATCTTTAAAAATAAACACAATGTTTCCAAAATTCACTTATCTGATTTATCCAAACATCTGTAAAGAATGAGTCTTGACTGAGTTGTTAAGTGTTAAGATATATGACTGAGTATATCTACTAGGGGATCGCTGTTTCGTACAAGCAAGATCAATAGTGTTATAGTAAAACATACGATTTACATGTTGTTTGTGAGACAGGTAGCAAGTATGTGAAAAGCGGAATAAGCAGGGTGCGAAATCTTTCATACACACTGCTCTTCTTACTATAACTATAGTCGTAATCCAGTAACCTTCTAATTTCTCAATTTAAACATTTAAAAATTGAAGAATTAGTATCTAAGATTAAAGATACATTTTTAAATCAAATTTTTAAATGGCAAACCATTCTAATCTAGTTACAATCTCGAGTATCCGATGGCATCGAGAGTTGATTATGGTCTTGTTTTGTTAATAAATGTCTAATTGAAAATTTATATAACATTTAAGGCCCAAAGAAAGACTTGTAATACTGAAGCTCTTACATAATGCATGTTTACGTAATTACTTATATCATAAGTTTTGTCATCTGAGTCCTTATTCATTATAACTCAAACATACATTATGCAAGAGCTAAATCTGCCTATCAAAAAGCTTACACAATCAATCGATCTGCAATTGTCCAAAGAACAAGTATGTATGCAAAGTTCATGTGGATTGTACTCGAATCAGATTTGCCCAAAGAGCAAGTAGATAACCAAGTTAAACATGCATTATGCAAGAGCAAAATCTGCTTATTACAAGTCTTTCTTTAGGCCTGAAATCTTATCTAAATTATTAATTAGAGATTAATTAACTTATCCAGACCATAATCAACTCTAGATGGCATCGCTGGCCTGCAATATTTACTGGATGAGGATCCGATCTGCTGCTCAACTCTCATTCATGATTAAATCAAGAAATGGATAATCGAGACTATGTATTTTATCTGGTCGACTTCAGTAATAACGATTGAGGCTAGACCCAAAATTCAATCACTAAATTCTCGGTTCAGAGTGGATAAATCTGACTGAAATTTTCAGCAAATTCCCTTTACATTATCTAGTTTTTAACTATTATAGTGAGAACTGCCAGCTCTTTATCTAATCTCCCAAAATGTATCTTTAAAATATAATATTGAATACTGATGGTTAATTGGCTGAGCACTAAAATCATAGTTTTCGGGTTTTAAATACGATACTAAAAATTGGACAATGTTTCAAGAAAGTACGACTTCAGTTAAAGTAAGAGCAATATGTATGACCAATGACTTGTGATGTTAATTATAAGAAAAAAGAAGCATATATAATATACCAATGTACTATCAATCTGATTAAAACATAGATCCTATTCCGTTTCTTATAGTTCAAAATTTCGTTTTACTTGTCCTTGCTACACTAGGATCTGGAAGATTTTGGTTAATGTGAGGGATTAGCCAATGTTGTGTTGAGTTCTTCGCGTGCAGTAAACGGAACTGTGGGTATCCCACTAGAAACATCAACGCTGATTGGTTCATCAAATGTCGGACGTCATAGGGTCATAAGTCACTCTTATCGTGGGTAGGCAGACGAAGTGACTTATCGTCAATAGGTTACGGTAGGAAGATTAGTCACTTCGTCTGCCTACAACCAGTCTGATCTTCACTATATATATTGGAGGCCATCGAATGTATAGATTTGTATTTTAACCAGATTGATGTACTATAAGCATGCAAGCAACCATAAACATATTTCCAGATTTTAATATAAAAATGGCCGAAACCTCTTTGATATAGGTAAAGAAACAATAAAGTACTTTATTGGGTTCTTTCATATCATTTTGATTACTAATTTCAGTTTCATCGGTGGCTTTCTGTCGACAGATGAACACACAATTGCTTATAAAAATTTGGGATTTATCTGTGGACACAGAAATCTGAACAAAAACAGATTGTCATTCTACAACACAAATCAGCTCTTAAAATCCCTAGATATCTACTTTTCTTTTTATTTCTGACCAAGATCAAAGAGGAGGTGCCATTCAAAATGTTTTTTCAGTCACCGAAACAAAGATATTTAATATTTTCCTATGTGCTAAAGTGTTAAATGCAGGGAGAAGGCATGCAAGACAAATTACCAGAACATTTACATAATATGACAATAGCTGGAAAATACACAGCAAGCAGATGTGTTAACATATAAGGAGAAGAGAGGGAAAAAAATATAAAAAAAACTACCGGAGGATTCTATCTTAATTAAAGTAGATCTTCATCTTTTTACATTGACAGAACAGAATCTTTTTTTTGTCATTAGTGTAATAATATAAATTTACATTTTATAAAATATAACAAGAGAGAGAGAAATGGGGTTTAACGTCCACTTGACACAAACTAGGTCATTACAGGACTGACATATGGTTCAATTTTATTTCAATAATTTGCTTACACGTAGGGGTCTTTAGCAGTGGGAGGAAACCGGAAGACCCAGAGAAAACCTACGAGGTTGGACAGGCCACCCAACCGGGGAATCGTAACCAAATCAGTTGACCCAATTACAGACCTTATGATATAGCACGCACAGGCTAACCATTCAGCCATCCAATACCCCAAAATATAACAACATAAGGCTACAAAATTGTCATCGCAATAAATAAGTTTATATAAATTGTTGGTATTGCCACGATTTATACTTGGTCATTTCCGTCTGCAGAACTAATTCTACAGCTCATGTCAAAACGCATGTCCATCTGTACGATTCGACAAAATCAAGGAATTGGTTTCGTTTTGTTGACAGTGGAGTGACCTAGATGATGTCGACTAGGGTCCGTTTTGCTGACAGTGGAGTGGCTTAGATAATATAGAATAGGATCTGTATTCCTGACAGTGGAGTGACCTAGATATCGAATAGGGTCTGTTTTACGGAGTGGAGTGACCTAGATATCGAATAGGGTCTGTATTCCTGACAGTGGAGTGACCTAGATATCGAATAGGGTCTGTATTACTGACAGTGGATTGACCTAGGATTCGTTTTGCTGACAGTGGAATGGCCTAGATGATATGGAACCAGACCTACCTGTGATGTTTACGTCTATGTGCAGGTGATCTGTATGTTTTGGAACGTCTGAATGAGCTGATGGTTCTGGGTGGAGTTTCTCCACGACTAAACACTGTGTCACTTCTCGGCCTTCGTTGTGGTTCTGAGAAAAAATAAACCATTGAGAGAGAGAGAGAGAAATGGGGTTTAACATCCACTCGACACAAACTAGGTCATTTCGGGACTAACATGTGGTTTAATTTTATTTACATAATTCGCTTGCGCGTAGGGGTATAAACCATTGAATCAACATGGACGAAAAATGAACTTGTCTATTCATTGTACACAAAATAATGATATCTACCATTCACATTTGGAAAGGAGGTTTATCGCAATGAAGATAAGATTCTAATATGGGCGGGGAAATGTGTTTTTAGAATACTTTAGAATGAATTATTGCTGGCATTGATGTATCGCTATTCGCCTTCTCACAAATCAATGTATCGCCATTCTTTTTTATGCTTTTTTTTTTGTCGCTTCACTAAGTAACCTGTTGCTCTTTAATTATCTAAGTCACACATATTATTCAAAGGTACACAAACACTCTTAAAGGTCACCGGAAAAGCATCAATTTTTTTTTAAATAATACAAGTAATTATGTCAACATATCCTTTCCATAAGTATAACCCGAGCCCGAACGTCAATATTACCTGCAACAGGTAAATTTCAACATTAGTAATTTCCGCCGTTCTCCGTCGGTAGTCGGAACTTTCCGTCAATAAGCAATCCGTGACGTCATTTTAATCCTTCTGCACATAGAAATATAGACCAGAATATGAGCAGAGGGACTAAAATGACGTCACATTTATGGAAAGTTACGACTACCCACGGAGAATGGCGGAAATTGCTAACGTTGAAATTTACCTGTTGCAGGTAATACTGACATTCGGGTTCGTGTTATACTTATGGAAAGGATATGTTGACATAATTACTTGCATTATTTAAAAAATTTATGAACCTTTTCCGGGGAGACCTTTAAATTGTTTTGGTCCTTATTTTGATCCACATCAATATCGTGATATAAAACAGTTTTATTTCTTTGACATCGACAGGACTAAAATATCAATTATTCATTTATCCTGCTGTTTTCTTGGTAAATATTGACCTGGTTATGAATCATGGTAAAAATCGTATCATAGTACCTGAATCGCAATACGTATTGTATCGTGATTGCGGTGGCAATACCCAACCCTAATAAGAATAATATAACTTACTTATAGATGGAGCTTCATATTTCTGTGTTCTAGGTTTATGTTCTCGTAGAAAATATGACCTCTGAGGTTTGTCATCTTCATCATCTTCTTCCTCTTCTTCTACTTCCTCTTCTTCTTCCCCACCTGAACTCTCACCTAAAATTACACGACAGCAGGGTTCGAATCTTATTTCCAATACCAGAAGCAATTTTTTGCTTGTTATTTTTAAAATTAGAAGCAAAAACAAAGTGTAACAAGCAAAAACTTTCAGTAATTCTAGTTGTAAATCTAAAATTAATACAACATTTTTCTGCCTGGTGCCAAATGGAAGTATTAGAACAGAATTTGATCGTTTAGACCTTTGTCCATTTAACCACCACTTATTCACAAATGTGTATTTTATTGGTTTTTGCGTTTACAAAATGTGGTAATCATCGTTTAGACCAAAATACTACGTCATACAATAAGGGAATCAAAACCATGCCAGTTGACTTAATGACCGACCTTATGATACAGCGCGCATGCTCTAACCACTCGGCCATCCTCCCCTGCAAAAGTTTATCGATAAAACATCTCTAGGTTTGGCAGTGTAGGTTAGGTTATCTACTTTTGGTGGAGAAGATTTGATTAAGCTGTAAAATGAAACAGTGACAGAACGAACCTGACGTTTCACAATCTGTGTCAATAATTGGTACACCATACATATCACGTCTAATATGTCTTCTCTTACGTTTAACTCGGCTGTACATATCGGTGAAACACTAAAATATTTAATAAAAACAAATTATTTTAAAAGTATGTTGATAATTGATAGGCAACTGGAAAAAAAAAGGAGAGAGAAAAATGTGGCTTGACGTCCACTCAAATCAAACTAGGTCATTTCGGGACAAACGTGGTACAATTTCATTTCAATAATTTGCTTGCAGATAGGGGTCTTTAGGAGTGGGAGAAAAGCAAAGGACCCGGAGAAAACACACATGGTTGGGCAGGTGACCCTACTCCTTGTCGCGGACAAGCTTGGTATCAAAACTACACAACTTGACTCAATGACAGACCTTTTTTTTTTAAAGGACATGCGTTGACCTATCTCCCCCCACCCCCTTTATTTAAAACAATGTCTAACAAAGTTTAGAATGTCACATACCAGTACAGTAATGCCCAACATTCTGTCAGGAGCAATTAAAAGAAATAATTTCCAGATTTCCATTTTGGGTTAAGGACAAATTTTAAGTGGCATGGTCAGGAAAATTTTCAAGTGACCTGTTTCTATTTCACTTTTACACAAATAACAATCTTACCTCATCGCCCTCCACCTCGTCTCCTACCTCATCCTCCCCCTCCCCGTCCCCTTCAACTCGGGTTCGTTTTCGGGGTGGTAAACTTTCCTCTGTGTCTCCATAACCATCTTTAGCACTGACCACAGCTTTATCTAGAAAGTTTTTATTCAATGTCGGGTAGACAGTTTTCTTTTGCCTCGTACTCCGACGTATTTCTTCAGGATGAATCCCTTCGTCTTCATCCTCCACATCAGCTACAGCCAGCACCTCTCTTTGTCTCCAACTCCGTGATTTCTTTCTATCGACCTGAGGTCTGCTACTTCGACGAGATTGACACGGAGGTTCTGATTTTAAAAGAAAACAAGTGCCACATTAAGATCAGGAGTTGCCAACAAATGTTTGTTTTCCTTTTATTTCTAACTATTAAGACAAGCATTATTTGTAGCTAATAAATAAATAAATTTAGACAAACAGATTGTTGTCAGGTCTACCCACAAATTTATCAATTAATAATAGTTGAGATTTATTTTTGAGAAAATAAATGAAATATGAATAATTCAAGGTAAATATTACCATAACAATCACTATTCCATCTAAAATTACCTGAGTGGGAATCTTTTGAAGATGGTCTAGAATGATTAAGATTCTATTAGTAGAGGGGGTCTTAAGCTTTCAAGAATGTATGTTCTGTTTTCATATCAATTTAAGAAAATAATTCTGTTGATAGGAGGCGTTAACAATTTACATTTTGTTGTGTAGAAGAGTCTATAAAAAGTGGAATTCCTATTTCCCCTCAGAATTTTAAATGGAATAGCCCTGAGTCAATTAGAAACAATCAGTGCATTTATCTCATGTACAAAGATATTTTTATTTGTATTATGTAAACAAAACAGTGTACTGAAACTGATGTCAACAACTTTAAGTGCTATACAAATTACTGTATGTTGATTAGGATTAGTTAGGCTTGAAATGTCAATTTATGAATTCATGGTAAATTACCCTCCAACCAGTGCCCCCAAATAATGATACTCGGGTTGAAATTGTGTGATTTCCTGAACAGAAAAGAACATCAGACACTGTCTCTTTAAGTGCGAAATCGCACGCAGTATTGTCCCTAAAATAATTTGAGAGGCGCAGACAAAGTAAGCCTAACACTAAAAACCAATAAAGAACAAGTGTTCCTCGATAATTTAGAATCCTGATGAAAAAAAGGTAACCTAGTTGAGCTTTTACCTGCTCACGGAGAATTTTTAAAAGACAGTGTCTGGAAGATAATATCAACAAAAATTTTGATCCCACCCGTAGTTATTGGGCTTTTCTCATCCACCTTAGATTTTGACAATTTCTCACATGGAATGGACTCTCCTGTAGTATTGTTATCTATAATACAGGTAGTGCTGGTGTTGCCTTCCTTTTTCTTTGACTCTGAAATAATGTTTCAACCATCTTGGATTGGATTGTTACAAATCGTCATATAGTGCTGGGCCATATTTGAAATTTTCATTATTACGAAAAATCCACAATCTGCACCCATCAAAAAGATTTCTTTCAGAAGCAAGTGAATTTGAATCATGATTAAGATTATGCTTTGATTCCATGAGAAGAAACGCAAAAAGAGATCATGTGTTTTTATTTGTTTTAAAATATAAAAGCTCACCATCATCTTCTGTTGAATCTTCGTAGAAAAATGAACTTCTGCAAGAAAATAAAATGTTGCAAATTGTTTCAATTGATTCCAAAATAAAAATTAGAGGTAAAACATGGAATTGCTCACCAATTATAAACTGCGAATAAATTCAAAACGACCTTAAAAAATGGAATGCAATGCAACATCTCATCAACATACCACTTAGTTCTTACTTAGACTAACAGTATTTTTAATTCTGATGGTTATGAGTGCAATGTGGACCATGGTTTATGTCCCATTCTAATGACTATCTCACTATTCACTCTTTCATTGTCAGACCAACTGGTGTCATTCCTAACAAAAATTATGAAAGCTCGCAATATGAACCCAGGACATTCTAGACAATATAAACTTAAAGGGACAGTTCTAGATGTGGCAAATCTGTTTAAATTGTGCATTATTTCAAGATAACTTTAACGTCCTCAATAGGCCTATACATCAAATGGAAAACTACTGATTACTGAGTGGTAAAAACTTCCAAAACCCTATGACTATTTAAATCTATGAAAAATTAAATGAAATAGGGTTTAACATCCTAATGTTCTGTACCATCCGAGCCAGAAGACAAGAAATCAAATGAAATGAAATGGGGGTTAATGTCCTACTGTTCTGCTCCGACTGGGGTAAATGAGAGAGAGGGTTTAACATCCACTTGACACAAACTAGGTCATTTCGGGACTAACATATGGTTCAATTTTATTTCAATAATTCGCTTGCGCATAGGCGTCTTTAGCAGTGGGAGGAAACGAGGACCCGGAGAAAACCCACAAGGTTGGACAGGCGAGCCTACTCCATGTCACGTACAACCGGGGAATCCAAACCATGCCAGTTGAGTGACAGACCTTATGATGCAGCACGCACAAGCTAAACATTCGGCCATCCAAGCCCAGCTGGGATAACGAAGACAAGAACCATGCAGTGTGCTATGGGTGTAATTTTCTGTCTAGTTTTTAGTTCGAGGAATTCCTGGATAGGGGCCTCGACTCCAGGTTAGTGAGCCAGTCTCATACTCACTTACGAATCCACTGCGATCAAAATCTGTCATAAAAGATTGAGTTTATGTTTACCTGTTGGCTCGTCTTGGTCTTCTTGACATCCTCTGTGGATTATAATTATACGACTGATTTCTCCTCAGTTCTCTTCTAGGAACAGACGACACTCCACTCTCATCACTCTGAAGGTCATCCTATCAAAACAGTTTAAATTCACATTAAAACAATATTAACTTACCAAATTTCTAATATACTCATATCAAACTTTGTTTTTTTCATCTGAAAAATTCACTGCACCCAGGAACAGAATAAAACATGATGTGATTTTGTGACTAATATTAATATGCAATGCGAGGGGGAGAATTTTGCCAAGATAGCCATCATTCTTCTAACAACACTTCTTCAAATTTCAACTGCCAAGGGATTTTTTTTACATACATTATTAGCACTAATGAGCTCTTAAAATCAGTCTTGATTCGAGATTCTCAAGACATAAATTAAGATATAGTTTTACTGACTAATTACTGACATCTGAGATCTTATTTCATATACCGACTTTAAATATTCATTTGTTGTGTACATACTACTAGTTTAGTTGAATTGCTTCCTGTTTACATTTTTATTATTATTTTTGACATCCACCAATTAGACTTTTTACAGTCTGCAGTGGATAATGTATCCCTGTCCATACCATCACAATAAAAATAGATTATAAGATCCACGATACAGGACTCCTAACAGACAAAATTGATTGACTAAGGCCTATGCCTGAGATGATTTCCTGGGCCGAGCTCCAGTTATTTGATTATAAGATCCACGATACAGGACTCCTAACAGACAAAATTGATTGACTAAGGCCTATGCCTGAGATGATTTCCTGGGCCGAGCTCCAGTTATTTGATTACGGTAATTTTATCTAGTTAATATTTTAACCAAATTGATTCATGGAGTCAAGATCCATGGAGTCAGAATCGGGTGCTTAAAACAATTAATATACTATCTAAACATAATCAATAAACCACAAAAAGACATCAAAACACCTATCAATATTAAAGAAGATTGGCAGACATTCCTGAGTTCAATGACCTGATTTTGTAAACAATCGTGCCGACTGTCGGGTTTAATAAGTTCAATTACGATCAAAAGAATCATGTTCTTGCCGAAAACAATGATTGGGCCCTCGGTTCATTTTTAAAAACTGTAATCATACGAAAGAAGTGTGTTTGTCTTGTCGGTTTGTATTATAAACTGGATAAGATTAAAAGTGATAAAATAAATCGTCTGCGTGTAAAATTCAGAGCATTCAACCAGGGTTTTGTAAATCTGGGAGGGACGTGCGAGACAGACGATCAGTAGGTTGTGAGGACGTGTAAGACTCGGTTTACCTCTGGAGGTGGGTCCTGAGACCTTCGAGAACCCCTCGTTCCAATCGTGATAAACTCAGAACCCTCGTCTTCTATCGGATTATGCCTTGTTCTCACCATCGTCTGATGTGGATTTGCCTTACATTCCCTCGCAGACATCCATCTTTCACCAAACAACACAAATAATTACTCTCTCTCCGCTCCTGAAATAAATCCAAATATTGTTGCTGATTTAATCTTTGATTTTCAATGATGGAAATATAATATTAATATTTGATGAATTGGTTAGCAAAATGTCTTCAGAAATAATATGTTGGGCTAAATTTTTGTTTTTGTTTATATTTGCGTATTAATTACCCAAGCGGTCAGACAGTGAAGCGGTCTGGGAAATGGCGGGAAATAAGTTTGAACGATCCAGGAACAGAAAATATTTCAGAATAGCCACATTCTAACGAAGACCACAATTATTATTGACAATATGAAAGGAAAATATGACTTTGTTTTTATACGCAGCGTATTTAGAGTCACAGAAGCGAGTTTCAACGATAATTTCAACTTTTTAGCTGGCTTCTTTGTCCCCAGCCGAACTCACTTTAACCCGGAAATATTAAATTGTTATATACTGCGCATGTACATGGAGTTCACAAGGTCAAGAATGTTATGGGTGAACTGTCAACAAAGGTAGATTTGGCTAAAATTAACTCTGAAACCCAGTTAATTATCGTCTGCTACAGTTTTGTTTGTATTAGATAAGCTGCATAATATATGCCTAATGTTTTGTTTTCTATTTTAGACCATTTTGTTCAACACGTTGAAGTGTTTTGTGGTGTTTTATGGCTGTTACTATGTTGTTAGTAGTGTTTGTTATGCGTGTTACAGGTACGATTTCTGACCCACTTTCTTTCACACATTCAATATTCATTTCATTTATGATGTACATGTAGGTTCTCGGCTGGGGGAAATGAACACAAGCCCCCAATCCACTTTATTTTCGTTGTATTAATCATATTTATGTCTTCAGTATTTCCCTGCAAAGTATGTAATTTTTCCAAAAATTCATCCATCACATTCGCATGCCACCACATGAATGAATTGAATGACCAATTTTTGGAAAATTTATATTTTTTGTGTGACAAACTTGAGCTTAGTAGACGTAGGTAGTAGGCAAATGTTTTTTCAGGTAGCTATGAATACCAGGGCCCAAATATATAGTTTTAGTCATATAATTGTGATATTATTATTATTAATTATAAATTAAAGTAATTAATGTTGATGTTTATCATGGGCCTACCAACAATTATAGGCCTATCTATTAATGACAACATTTTTAAAAGCTTTACAACAGATAATAATGACTTGAACTTCTTGTAACTGCAGATTGTCAAATTTTGATGGACGAATCCCATTCAATTTTAAAACATGGGTGAATTTATCCAACTGCTGTACTGGTTATACTGATGAAGAAATTGGTAAGATTAGAATTATCAGTTATTTTACCGTACTTACAAAAGTGATATGGTAAGCTTATATAACAGATCTGACATTGCCCTTCACTAATTGCTGCAGATTAGTAAAAAAATAGTGATTTGCAGAGTTATCGTTCCACTCATTAACACAAATGATTTTACATAAGACGGACGGATCACATCTCAAACTAGGAGGTAACCTACTATAATGTGGAACCAAGCTGATTGGGACCATGGCTGATTGGGCCAAAAGTCAAAGCTGATTGGGACCACATTCCAGGCTGTTTGGGACCACATTCCAGGCTGATTAGGACCACCACTAGGCCGATTCGGACCACACAATAAAAAATACTAGAAACTGAGGTTTTGATATTGAATTAAGTTTAAAGGAGTTTTATCTAGGCTATAGCGTGACTATAATTATGTGCTTTTATGTAGGCCTACGTTATTTATGTTTATATTCCATTTTTTATGTCACAGTTACTATATTAACAGAGATTATCTCATTAATCTTATGTAAATTATCATACGTTTTATGCAATTTAAAAAGATCAATTTTATTTTATTTTATAAACTTCAAAGCTTGTTTCGGAATCCATTATAGCCTATATATTGTGTGTAATTATACGTAGAAATACTGTTTAAACCAATTTATTCTAATTTCAATAAGTCATACAAATTTGAAAACTAATACTAGCAATACAGTAGCATAACGGAAATCCGAATCCATTATACATATATTGGGTGTAATTATGTTATAGAAATAATTTTTAAACCATACAAATTTGAAAACTAATACCAGATCTTACTGACAGCCACAACAGGGAATTTGTGTGATTGGATCTGATTGTTTATTGGATTACTAGGCTTGTCATTAATTAACAATAAATGGTGTGATTAGGGTCTTGTATATTGCTACCGGAGTTTTATACTATAAAGTTTGATTTAATTAACTTTGTTTAATGTGTATATAACTAAGAAAATTTTACACATTTGTCAACCAATTTAGTGTATTTATTCAACACTTGTCTAGATCAGGAAGGTCCTGTCTCGGCTACTACTAAATAATAAAATGTTGGTTTGTAAAGGAATTGAATCGCCACCAAATGTCTTGTTATATGAAATAAAATGATATTTACTAATTAAAATATTATACAAAGAACAATTTGTCTGTCATTTTTTCAACTTCACTCATTACAAAATATCGCATTCGTTGCAGTAATCATACTGATATGAGGCTATTTGATATTGGGTTACAATTTGATAGTCATGCAAACATATTTAAAACACTCTCGTCATTGATCTGATCATGGTCCGAATCAGTCAAGAAATCTGGTTCCAATCAGCCAAGAATGTGAAGCATCTTCTCTGTGATTTAGCTCATTTGTATTGAAGCCGTCATTCACTAATTACACTATTATTTGTGACTAATTACACTATTTATTGTGACTAATTACTCTATTTATTGTCATAGTTGTCTTATTATCAAAAATATGCAAACATATTTTAAATACTCGCGTCATTTAAGTAATGGTCCGAATGAGCCTTGTCGTGGTCCCAATCGGCCATAAATCTGGTCCCAGTCAGCCAAGAATCTGGTCCCAATCAGCCACAAATCTGGTCCCAGTCAGCCACAAATCTGGTCCCAGTCAGCCAGGTCCCAATCAGCCATGGTCCCAATCAGCCAATTACCCTATAATGTATGCAAAAACCATTCGGTGAATTTATGAAAGAATGTGAGTTAGGATGGATTGGATATATACTTTACATGGCCCACATTTAAGCATTAAATGACGTCCAGTGACAGCCTGGAGTAGAAAAATTGTTATCATTTGGTATCTTATATAATAGGGAGAAGCAAAGTTCTATATTAGTAGCCTAGTACCGTAATTGATGGATATCTATTATTAAGGCCCTATGTTCCACTTGGAACAGAAATAACAATTTAAAAAGAAGAATATGAAATAAGATATATGTCCATGTTGTCTATATTTTTAAAGAGTTAAATATTATGTTTATATTTTGTAGTAAATGTGATATCAATGGAAGTGAGTTATAGTTTATGTGGTATTATTTATGGTTTATTGGTGAGAAACTGGGCCTGGGATTATGCTGTATCAATAGCTCTCCTGCATTTGGCTCTGTCATGTCTTGGTAAGTTTAAGATTGATTAATCCAGTCCCTAATTCAAACTTATCTTAGATCTAACGAACAGTTCACACTATAAAGTCACATGGTAGACTGAACATAAGTGATATTTCGGTCACAAAGGTTAAATAGGTAAGCCTATCAATAAGTGGTGCTACTATTATAGGTAGGTCTACAAATAACTGGTTCTAATAGGTAGGCCTACCAATAAATGGGTGGTGCTAATAGGTAGGCCTACCAATAACGGGTGCTAATAGTAATTGGAGCTTACTGGATAGAGATAAAGATATCTGGATTTGTATTAAATGATTTTAAAAAAAAAGGAAAATAACTGACTGACAGCTGACAAAGTTACATTGATATATTTTGGCATTAACTCTTGAGTTGATATTAAAATTTGTCTCATCAGTTTTGTTTTACGTGTAGTTTAAATGTTTGAAGTTGACTGTTTATATTTTAGTTATGTTAGATTTTCCTGTCAATTGGTCTTGGTGGGTTTGTTATGGTAAGTTTGTATGATTTTCTACATTATCTATTATTATACAAGATATACCATACAACAAAAGAAATGGATAAATTTAAGCCATAATAATTCTTGGTTTACTTGGAACAGGATTACCAACATAATCAACTAATGTTTTGTTCTCTTCAATACACTATGGCATTAGGTTTATCAAAAATATTTTGATATTAATTACCAAATTATTTAAGAATCATAATCTAAGAATTAACAATGGCAGACAAATTCCAAATGGAAGAGCCATTTATTTCTAGTTATTATCAAGCATAATCGATCCTAACTTGTCATCAAAATATAAAATCCAATGGAAAGTTCCTTGTCAGTACTACAGGATGGAGGGTATGCCAAGGAAAAGTGTTCAGTCATTCGGATGGTATGAAAACCTGCAGTCCTGTGTAATAAAGTATGAGTAGGCCTTACTGGGCCACTGTCTGGGCAAAATAACCCTCTCACAAAGCATGGCATATGCCCATCTTCATTAGTCCAGTTGGAGTAGAACAGTAGGACATTAAACCCCATTTTATTACAATGTCAAAATGGTTGAATTCACTAAGTAACGTTAACACAAATCCATTATTAAAAATGATTATTTGGTTTTATTTCAGGTTGTGCCTTGTTGTTAAAGATAATATTTGGAGAAATGATCTGTTTCCTGTGGAAACTAAAGAGAAAAGTGAAAGTAGAACCTGGTGAAGTTCCAACCCAGAAATCCTATCTCTATCACAAAATGTGATCATATCATTTATTTGAGGAACTGTTACTTTACTGTCTCAAATTTTACCAAAGATTTTACTCTGCATTTATTTAGTGGCTTCTCATTATCAGTGCCTCATTTATCTTTTTTTTGTTGAGGAGTGAAAACCCTTTATCATTTAATATTTTAAATTTTAAAAATGGATTTTATATCTTATTTTTAAAAAGTTACAACAATTGTTCTCAAAACATTCTCAGGCTTTAGTTAAGAATATTTCAAAATTGTTTGTTTTAATGTATCAAATCCGTCAATAGGAAACTATGTGCAAAGTTTTGTGTTTCTGGATCAAAGATATTTCTCATAAACAGTGGTTGAAAGATGAGTAAATTCTTAAATTAAGTCTGAGAATGCTTTGTGAACTTGGGACATGGTATTCTTAAATACAGCTTAGAGCTAAAGTCTAAAGGGATCAAGCACACGATCATTGTTTGAGAAATTGTTAATCCCTAGTGTAGACTATGTACAATAGTTTGAAAGTTGAATCTCTATGAGAAATATCATTCTAAAGATAGTTCAGTTCCATTCAGTATTTACAATCTCTGAGGCTGGAGATCTATCGTTGATATTTTGATGTTATTTTCTTAATCAAATAATAATTTTGTAAATAAAATGGATATTGTCTGACAAATGACGACCAGACTTTAAACACAGATTAGTTCTAATCAGCATCTAGAATATATGTCCCTAAAAAAGACTTATTAATGTTTCAAGTAGCATCTAATTGTTCAGGACTTAATGTAGAAAATATTAGCCTGCTAATTGGTGAATTTGTTTTCATCCCTTCTGTTTAAGGTTGTCTTTGTGAAATTCATAGATCACATCATGACAGAAACTGTTAACTGTGCCTTTTTGTTTTTATTATACCCCTGATGTTCAAGTCTTTGGAAGGTGTAAGCTTATTCATAATCGCGGATCATCATGCTAAATGTTTTATTTTGTTTCCATTTTTTAAATCTCAATTTATGGTCCCCTGTATTTGCAGATGTGAGTACAGTGAGAGGGGTGGAGACTGCAGTTGTACACACTGTTTTTGGCAATTTATTTTTGAGATATTCGATGTCTCTACTACAATTAGAATGCCCCTCGTCAATATTATTATTTTGTCAGTTATTTTTCATTTATTTATTCTCTTTAGTAGAGTCCATTTAATAATACTGCACTTTCCCAACAATTCTTTACGGTTAGAACAGATTTGATTTGTACACCCGGACCCCAGCCGGCCACCCCAGACCCTCCCTAAAAAAATCACGACACAGTCTTATCTTTAAAGACCACGTAAGATCAAAAATCTAAATTGCATGTATGTATAGCCCATGGTTACTATATCAACTTTACGGCAAGTTCACACCAATCTGATTAAAATTAAGTCCGCTATTAACGTTTAAGTATCCGACACGCCAAAACGCTTTTCGATTTTTCAATTACGACCTTAATCCGGTTGATTGGCTGGTGACGTCACAGGCACTACACATAGGATATACATTATCTATACAATATCTCACTGTATGTACAATATAGCACTATCAATACACACGGCAACTGGACAAGCGTCTATTGACGGTCCAATTACCACGTGACTGGCCTAATCATAATCACCGAATTATCGTCTTTCATTGGTATAGATTAGACATTTGTGAATGGAATATTTTAGAGTGAATTTAAAATGCCGTATCATGCCGTAGATCAATTTAAGCTGCCTTTGTTTAAATAGGCCACGTGTCAAATAAAGATGACTCAAGAAATTGGCGTATTTACCGGTAATTTGGATAACCCCGTAATACTTGATATCCCAAACTTAAGTACAGAAATACAAATGGTGCCAGTCATTTGTCGATATATTCATTATTAGCTATATATAATAATAATAACCATTTCTATACATAAAGAACAACTACAGTGAATATGGAATTTTCCGATGACTATGCATAACATGTACAATAAATCGCACTCATTTCTCTGCCAATCAACGCTTGGTATCTTATTATCATGTACCGTTCCATGTACTACGGGTGTAGTAAATGAGGTTAAACTTCGCCGCGAAAATTGCACGGGATCATTCGTGGAGTTCCTGGTGCCGTTTGGTGAATGATTAAACTGTCAAAGCTGTTGTCGTTGTTGTTTATTTAACGTCCAATACATAATGCATGATAATTATTATGGACAGGTTGATTTAATTAAACGTCACTTTAAAACAGATTTAAAATAATTAAAAGTTCTTGTTTATCTAAAAATCACTTTAAAACACGGTTTTAAAAATCGTTGTCGTGGGAAGAGAGGGCGGGTCATCTTCTCACTTTGTCATAATGAAAGTTAAAATAGGAGATGCAATTGTAAAATACTTTTATTATAAAGAAGATAACCGATGTTAGACATTATAACCTAATCGTATCAAAAACGTTAATCCACCATCAATTAAATGTTGTTTAAACACCAGTGAGCAATAATTATTGGGTATATAGTAATTTTAAAAAAACTTATTAGTAAAACTTAATTATTTTATACAATTAATGTGTGTGTGTGATTCTACCATTAGTTCATGAGGTTAAACTTCGCCGCGAAAATTGCACGGGGTCATTCGTGGAGTTCCTGGTGCCGTTTGGTGAGTGATTAAACTGTCAATGCAATTGTAAAATATATACTTTTATCATAAAGAAGATAACCGATGTTAGACATTATAACCTAATCGTATCAAAAACGTTAATCCATCCACCAATTAAATGTTGTTTAAACGCCAATCAACAAATAATACGAGGCTACTTGATTACAAAAACACCGGTAAGCAATAATTATTGGGTATATAGTAATTTTAAACAACTTATTAGTAAAACTTAATTATTTTATACAATTAATGTGTGTGTGTATGATTCTACCATTAGTTCGTTCGTGAGGTGTTACGCACACGTTCCACTTAGAGTGATGTCTTGGATCTGGCCGGCGTAAAAAAAGATAATTACCTAATCAACATTCTTAATCCCACTAACACTCGCTGCTAACACCAACTTGAAATTAATTTATGACCCATGTCTGTATAACTTTTATAGTCGGATTGATTAATTAATGACAGATATTAACGACACTACACTTTATGTGGAAAAGCGAAGGGCTCGCAGTAAAAACCACATAGCTGGACCCGTATGTTATTTACATATTAAAAGTGTTCGTCTAATAAGTTCATATATTCTAAAAAATTAATTAACAGTTCAGGACTTCAAAGTTTAAAAATTGTAGGCACTCTAAATTGGATCTTAAATTAAAATGAATTACAAAACAAATTATTCCGTAGTCAATTGTTTTATTTAATTAGGGAGATTAAGGAATCATTCAGATGTTAAAGAATACACACGCCGGCTGTATATAGGTAATTAAGGAATAAACATTCCGAATATGCATTCGCTCACTGTGACGTCACTGGCGTCTGAGGGGATTAAGAGTGTTTTCGATAATTGGCAAAGCCGTTTTTACGGAATTTCTATTTTTACGACTTTGAGTGAAGATAACTGACTTAATTTCAACCAAATTGGCGTGAACTTGCCGTAAAGTGGATATAGTAACCATTGGCTACACGTATCTCCAATTTTCCGGGACCATCTTATGTGCACTTTAATGTACGGTATCATGATGTATATTGGTCATTAATTTAAGTGGTGAATACCCTAGTAACACTCGCGTGTGGTAATAAACATTGTGTATCATAAAGCATCCACATTATGTGTATAAGGCATCAAAGCATTATTATGTATATATATTCATAAAATCCGTTAAATTCAACATTTTAAAACATTGTATTGATTTCTGAATATTGGAAAGAATATCAGGTGGTTTTAAGTTAATAAGCTAATAATTGCGTTCGTCCGTTTTCCAAGTACAATTTTGTACGGGTTTCCGTGGCGTTTTAGCCGACGAAAAAGTCGATCTAAAGCAAATGTAATGAAGCCGTTTTCACGTACGTGATAACAACGCACGCGGAAACACGAAAACACGTGCATGTATGGACACAGATCACCAAATATTCCTACGAAACAAGGGCCAAAGCTATTTTTAGTCTTCCTCTCCCTTTTCCTTTTTCCCCCTTTTGCATGGCGATTTTTGTTGACTTTTTGGTGTAGAATTGAGGAAAAGGGTTTGAAAATACATTTTCTGCCAGGTTTTGGTGAATATTCATAATTTTGATGCGGAAGGATACAAGAGTTGAGAGGTTGGTTAGGTTGAAATGTAGGGCCTGAAATTGCATGTTTACTTGTCTCTACTTCCAGCTTGTGTATCTCAAGTTTTTCATGAAGAACCTCATACGTGCTTTTGGGCAAGTGGTTGCCACATGTTGCTCCATCTGTGGTAGAAAGCGTTCTACCCAACGAAAATTTGGGAAAAAGTTAGAGCCGGTCTAAGATACGAGAATTAACATTGGAGTCAATGGGGAAATCTTTAGTGATCTGTGTCCGTATGGAAAACGGGCTTTCGGTCGTTAAATTCCTGTAATTGTCAATGCATAAAATTCGCTTTTTGTTATTAAATCATCGTAGCTAATGCTCGTTCGGCAGCCATTTTTATAAATTTAGCACAGCCGTTGCATTTTCAAATCGACATCGTTAATTATGCTTCACCTTTATTTCAATTTCTTTCAAACACATTTAGGAAAACAAACTAATCAATCTGAGGTACAAATCTCGTGCATATTCTAATTCTGGCTCGGCAGCCACATTTATAAATTTAGCGTAGCCGTTGGATTTGATCAAATCGTTTTACCTTTATTTCAATTTCTTTGAACCGATTTCAACAAGATAGGAAAAGGTACTAATCAATTTGAGGTACCGGTAAGAAGTGAAGTACGAAACGGCTCATATGAGGTACGAATGAATTAAGGACGAAACAGCCAGGTTACGGAACGGCTGACATCCTCTACAGTTGGTTCCTGATAATGATATTCGAAATAAGCTTATAAAAGAGGCTTATAAAAGAGATTCTGTAACCCGTTAAAAGTCACTAGGAATTTCGAACGACTCGTTATTTGAAACGTAAAACATCTGTATCGGTACAGTGGTGGATCGATAGTTTATTCTCAAACGTCATCACACAGTCTTAATGGAATACCCTGGTCATGACTATCCTAGTCAAACTGAAAAATTATTGTTTTTTCTTACTGATAAAGATCTAGACTCTAACTATTTTGTTTTTCTTTTCAATTTTGTCACAATTTTATTCCGTCCACTTATAAAAATGACCATTTTATTCTTTATCAAAAATACTATTTTATTAGTCTAGGCTACATAATAACTTTAAAAAAAAACAATTATAAGACTTTTCTGTTTCAAAAATGGCTCGAGTCTAACTTTTACAAAAGAATTATATAAAACGAAAAATGTGCCTTGAAAACATTTGCCTTTTTCGTTGTGGTATGAAATTTAACAATACTAAATACTATTTAATTTAGTATGATATATCGTTGGTTATATATATAATATTGTTATTAATTTAGATCAACTATCCAGTAAATAATGAAGATAAAACAAGCTACAAATTTATGAATAGATCTAGGCCTATACAATTAGGCTAGTGGATTGATAACCATGCAACGTTGCGACGAGGATAGGCCTAGGCTACGTTCTCGTTTATCAATGAAACGTCGCCATTGTAATAAATCAACTAGCCTATTGTCATTGTGTGTCCATAAATTGTTCAATTACTAAATGTAAATATTAGGCTAGCCTAAATGTCTATCAAAGAAGTTATATGTCGATAGTTTGAATTGCATCTTGAAATGTTTATTTGAAATACTTGAAAATAAATTGTGACTTATTTGTTATGTTTGGTTTTTGTCTAGATCTAGAATTAGATATTATCCTATATATGCCTAGTAAGATCAAAAGTGTTGTAATTTGTAAAGGAAAGGGTAGTTTAATTTTGAAATTCGATAGTTTGCACATGAAGCGTACGTTTATGATATTTACGCATCTATCTTAAAAGTTGTGGTTACATGGAAGTCCCTCAACGGCTCAATCAATGGAATCCTTGCATCCATATGGGCCATTTTTTGTTTTTTTTTTTGTTTTTTTCGTTTCTTACTTACAGAGGACTAGGCTAAAGAGTAAAGTTGCCATACTAACTGCGGGGGGGGGGGGGCGTGGAGCAAAGAACTTGATGAGATAGAAGTGCTGTCAAGGGTATGTCTGTTAATATGGCAATTAATGCAATGCCATGGTGTCTCTCTAACCAGAAGGTCCCGGATTTATTCGTGGTATTGGCCGACAAATTTACTCAGGATTTTCCAGCCCGATACCCTGTCGTCTGGCAAGGAAAGGCGTCGAGTCGCTGGGATTGGGTGGCACACCGACCGAGTTGAGTTCCCAGAATCCTACCCGTAGCGTAGAGCTGGCTTTGCGTAAACTATCTCGGTTTGTACAGAAAATTACACTTACAGATCAAAAGTCACAAGATCGGAGGAAATATTAAATATTAACTCACCAATCTATGAAATCGAAGAAGATCTATTACTTTTGCAAGGAATTTCTTATTGTGTCCCAGAGATTTGAAGACTTTCCATGTGCAGCTGATTCTGAAAGAATGACGTTGTTGGGAATGTTTGGCAACTTTATGACGTCATGAACGCACTTACATCATTAAATTTATACGTCATGCAACATTATAACTTTTACGTTGGTAGGCTACCGCAAAATTGCCCATCAAAATGGCTTGTTCCTAGCTTAAAATTCCGCGAGGCCATTAATGTCAGTCCAAAATATTTGGGCATTTACCTGGAAAATGTTTTTACGGTGAACTGCACTGCCCACACACCCGGGCTCTGGCTCTGATGATTTCTAAATTGTGCATCGATGTACTGTTCTATGGATATTCTTCGGACTTTTGCCCTGACACCTTAGCTTGAATTCAGGGATCCATCAAAACACTATATATAATGACGCTGGTTTGCTGAATGCTGGACATTTTCATTTCATAATGTTGCAACCACGGAACGGAAATGAGTCATTTCTGAACTTATATTCGTTTTAGGAATTCAACTTTAATAATATTGTAATTTGCAAGGGATTAAAAAATACAGATGAAGATCAGAGGGTGTAATCATTTCAATAATTTGTTTACATAAGTTTAAATGGGTTTTATTTAACCAATTCAGTATAACTTTGATACTAATAATTTAAAAAAAAACATGTTTGTGAATGGGGACATCTCACTGTGCCCCCTGCTATTGTTCTCATGGGGGGATTAATCAAGCAAGGGGATTATCGAATACAATGGTGTTAAAAGTATAGTCTGTCTTTTTTTAAACTACTAGGTTTAAACTAATTAACAACTTTATTCACAATAAATTTCATAAAAGTAACAACAAATACATGTATCAAACTTAAATCATAACCCTACTAAATGTGATA